GACAGAGACAGTAGTTAACACTATGTACAAGTCACACGGACACGCCATCTGAGTGACAGAGACCGTATTTAACAGTAAGTACAAGCCACACCGACCCGGCAGCTGACTGATAGAGTCCGTATTTAAAGTAAGTACAAGCCACACCGACCCGGCAGCTGACTGATAGAGTCCGTATTTAAAGTAAGTACAAGTCACACCGACCCGGCAGCTGACTGATAGAGTCCGTATGTAACACTTTCTCTATTTTATTATCCAATAGGATTAACAACACAAAATACGAAAATGTATTTCACGGCGACAGAGGCATCGCGACTGATTTATTAAGCAAACATGTAAATCATACACTAATCTGTTACAAATACACAATATACAATGTATGTATATATATGTCACTCCTTTCCATTAACAACTATTACATTTTACCGCCGCAAAATAAAAATTCCACGTCCGTGTGTCTCTACCTGTGCCGCCTGAATGACACGTACAGGTAACACGCGACAGTACGACCCTAGTCTTGATTTGCACGTGCAAATCATACACATAGCGCCCCCTATTGGCGACTCAAACCGTAGAGAAAATAATTTCACCCTAATTCCAACCCGTCAAAGGGTTGAAATAATATATTTACAGCTGTACATCCAGGGGCGTAGCAAGCCCAGCAGAAATGTGTAAGCCCAGGCGAGGGGTCTGAATTTCATGATTTCAAAGATGCTTTAATTGTTTTCTGAGACAATTTTTTTTATCTATTTAACAACAAACTTCAACCCCTGATATCTATTTTCAACCTTAGCTTTGTTATTTTGTCCGACATACTCTATGCACGGATTTTTTTTATGTGTAAGCCCGAGCTTTTTCTATGGAAGCTACGCCTCTGTGTACATGGGCCAATGAAACTATTTCCAACAGTCTGACTAGAAGTACGAGTAAGTTTCACTTTATCGTTAAAGATATACATATAAAAAATAAATTGAAAAATAGAGCATTATATATAAAGGTTTTGTTCAACATATATTATATGTATCACAAAGAGGAGATTGTGTCAGAAGTGAATACGCTGAGTGAGCACATGTAACATTATATTGATGGTTTGTCATATCTTACTAGTCACTCGTCTCTGTCACAGCTGACTAGTCACCCGTCTCTGTCATAGCTGACTAGTCATCCGTCTCTGCAATAGATGACTAGTCACCCGTCTCTGTCTCAGCTGACTAGTCACCCGTCTCTGTCACAGCTGACTAGTCACCCGTCTCTGTCTTAGCTGACTAGTCACCCGTCTCTGTCACAGCTGACTAGTCATCCGTCTCTGTCACAGCTGACTAGTCACCCGTCTCTGTCACAGCTGACTAGTCACCCGTCTCTGTCATAGTTGACTAGTCACCCGTCTCTGTCTTAGCTGAATGACTAGTCATCCCCGTCTCTGTCATAGCTGACTAGTCTCTCTGTCACAGCTGACTACTAGTCACCCGTCTCTGTCACAGCTGACTAGTCACCCGTCTCTGTCACAGCTGACTAGTCACCCGTCTCTGTCACAGCTGACTAGTCATCCGTCTCTGTCACAGCTGACTAGTCACCCGTCTCTGTCATAGTTGACTAGTCACCCGTCTCTGTCATAGCTGACTAGTCATCCGTTTCTGTCACATCTGACAGTCACCCGTCTCTGTCACAGCTGACTAGTCACCCGTCTCTGTCATAGTTGACTAGTCACCCGTCTCTGTCTTAGCTGACTAATCACCCGTCACTGTCACAGCTGACTAGTCACCCGTCTCTGTCACAGCTGACTAGTCACCCGTCTCTGCAATAGATGACTAGTCACCCGTCTCTGTCACAGCTGACTAGTCATCCGTCTCTGTGTCAGCTGACTAGTCACTCGTCTCTGTCACAGCTGACTAGTCACCCGTCTCTGTCATAGTTGACTAGTCACCCGTCTCTGTCACAGCTGACTAGTCATCCGTCTCTGTCACAGCTGACTAGTCATCCGTCTCTGTCACATCTGACTAGTCACCCGTCTCTGTCACAGCTGACTAGTCACCCGTCTCTGCAATAGATGACTAGTCACCCCTCTCTGTCACAGCTGACTAGTTATCCGTCTCTGTCATAGCTAACTAGTCACCCGTCTCTGTCACAGCTGACTAGTCACCCGTCTCTGCAATAGATGACTAGTCACCCGTCTCTGTCACAGCTGACTAGTCATCCGTCTCTGTCACAGCTGACTAGTCACCCGTCTCTGTCACAGCTGACTAGTCACCCGTCTCTGCAATAGATGACCAGTCATCCGTCTCTGTCATAGTTGACTAGTCACCCGTCTCTGTCACAGCTGACTAGTCATCTGTCTCTGTCACAACTGACTAGTCATCCGTTTCTGTCACAACTGACTAGTCACCCGTCTCTGTCACAGCTGACTAGTCACCCGTCTCTGTCACAGCTGACTAGTCACCCGTCTCTGTCACAGCTGACTAGTCACCCGTCTCTGTCACAGCTGACTAGTCACCCGTCTCTGTCACAGCTGACTAGTCACCCCTCTCTGTCACAGCTGACTAGTCACTCGTCTCTGTCACATCTAACTAGTCACCCGTCTCTGCCATAGCTGACTAGTCACCCCTCTCTGTGATAGCTGACTAGTCACCCGTCTCTGCCATAGCTGACTAGTCACCCGTCTCTGTCACATCTAACTAGTCACCCCTCTCTGTGATAGCTGACTAATCACCCGTCTCTGTCACAGCTGACTAGTCACCCGTCTCTGTCACAGCTGACTAGTCACCCGTCTCGTTTATCATCCTTAGTTATGTTGCGTAAGAATGAAAAGTGAAAAAAATATGAATATTTCCATTACGTAATCCGTTTTTGTCGTTTTAAATAAATGTCGATTGCGAAATTTTGTAGTGTATGGATACGTCTAATGTTACACCAAGTGTTATTTATTCAAGTGGGAAATCCATGTAACCTCGACAAAAACTCTACTTTCAGTTTATATCTTTATTTCTTTTTCATTTTGTTTGACACCGATCATTACCAACAAAATCAATAGATCGATAATTCATCAATTCAATTCAAATTACCGTATTTATTCATTGAAACATGATTATAAAACTGATGCTGACGACCAACAGGATGTTTTTATCAAGTGCCCTTGTCCCAGGTATGTGTTTTAATTAAGAAATGGATAAACATTTAAAAGGATATTCTTTTGAATTTGTGGCCTTGACATGGTACTGTTATATAAATTAGACCCTGTCGTAGATCTCCTACAGCTAAAGTATACAAATCCACAAACATTACGTAGTATTAACTCTCGTGGTATTGTTCACACAATGTAAAAATTTAAATGTTGTCAATCCTTACTTTAAACTTCAATGTTCGAATGGTATTTGATTTAGCTGGGATCGTCGGTTTACTGGAGATCTTCTGTACAGTATGAGAACATGTCTCGGTAGTGGTCGGTTTACTGGAGATCTCCTGTACAGTGTGAGAACATGTCTCGGTAGTGGTCGGTTTACTGGAGATCTCCTGTACAGTGTGAGAACATGTCTCGGTAGTGGTCGGTTTACTGGATACCTGTACAGTGTGAGAACATGTCTCGGTAGTGGTCGGTTTACTGGAGATCTCCTGTACAGTGTGAGAACATGTCTCGGTAGTGGTCGGTTTACTGGAGATCTCCTGTACAGTGTGAGAACATGTCTCGGTAGTGGTCGGTTTACTGGAGATCTCCTGTACAGTGTCAGAACATGTCTCGGTAGTGGTCGGTTTACTGGAGATCTCCTGTACAGTGTCAGAACATGTCTCGGTAGTGGTCGGTTTACTGGAGATCTCCTGTACAGTGTGAGAACATGTCTCGGTAGTGGTCGGTTTACTGGAGATCTTCTGTACAGTGTGTACAGTGTGAGAACATGTCTCGGTAGTGGTCGGTTTACTGGAGACCTCCTGTACAGTGTGAGAACATGTCTCGGTAGTGGTCGGTTTACTGGAGACCTCCTGTACAGTGTGAGAACATGTCTCGGTAGTGGTCGGTTTACTGGAGATCTTCTGTACAGTGTCAGAACATGTCTCGGTAGTGGTCGGTTTACTGGAGATCTCCTGTACAGTGTGAGAACATGTCTCGGTAGTGGTCGGTTTACTGGAGATCTCCTGTACAGTGTGAGAACATGTCTCGGTAGTGGTCGGTTTACTGGAGACCTGTACAGTGTGAGAACATGTCTCGGTAGTGGTCGGTTTACTGGAGACCTCCTGTACAGTGGTCTGTTTACTCTCTGTTTCAGTGGTGATTGACTTACCGTGAATTGATGTATGTACAGGATATGTAACAGGTTTAAAACCAACCCGTCATTGTAAAAGGCTTGATAAGAATTGAAAAAAGTAAAAAAGTAATTGTAAAACTTAACAGTATTTATTGATGAAGTGTTTGTCATTATGTATCAAAAGTGTAAACAAGATATAAACAGCATGATATCATAAATAATAGACTACAAAACATCAATATCAACAATTACAAGATATGTATGTAGATATATGTATCAATAAAGCACATTCATTTCGTTGTCATTAAATACAACAGTTAAACGTTTTATATATCAATATAAAATAGTTTTTAACATTGAATGGAAGGTTAATGTGAAATCTTTTGACATAAAATTACCATTTTATGGTAGAATGACCGATGGAAAGCTGAAGTGTTAAAGTAGCATTTTACTCATTTTTGTATCTTCAGTACTACTCACTAGACACATTATAAAATACCACACATACATTTAGTTACGACATGTACGATAATATTCTGTGTCCATTAAAACAAAATTAAACATATATTTACTAAAACAAGTAATTAATTTTCAATCTTTTCTAATCTACGATTGTCTGATTTTTCTAAGTTTTGGTTTTCCATAAAAGAAGTGTTTCAAAAGTCACGTGACAATGATATCCGTATATGGCGATGATCGGTCCTAGCTAGTCCCACTTTAAAGTGCCCCGACGCTGATTGATTGAAATCAGCCATGATGTGACGGGAGGTGACGAGATGTGACGGGAGGTGACGAGATGTAACGAGAGGTGACAAGATGTGACGAGAGGTGACGAGAGGTGACGATGAAATAATGACGCCATTGTTCTGTATTTACCCATTAAGATGCCCGTTGTTTCCCGGTTCTCAATGGCCCACGCCTCCTGTGACACTAGAGTAATCATGGAAGTTTGAACCCAATGTTGTCATTTTTTCCTTCCTTTCATCTTGCTCACCACAACATTCTGAAAAATAAATTGATATCAATCAGTTCGTTATTGCACGTGAGTTAGCACGAGTTGATGATTTTTGCCATTTCTCTTTGTCAGTAACGCGACAGACTCCACGCGCCAACGCGACCATCTGACAAAAGTACCTGCTAACTAGTTGGTTGGTTGGTTACAGGTTTTCGACCTCCAATTTCTTGGAGTTTTCTCACAGACGGACGTCAATGTTCTGGCGACGTGTACTAACGGGACATTATCTTTTTTTTTATCTGTTTGTCGCATTGTCGCGTTGTCGCCCTCGCTAGCGTGACAGAGAGAGATGGCTGAAATCAGCTACCATATTTATCAGATTTACTCACATCAGTTACAAGTCTCTAGTTTGTTAACTGAAATGGTCTACACAGGATGTGAAATAGACTGTAGCAAATAAGTCATTGGTCAAGTAAGCATTACATCAGTGTTGGTAACTACAAAACACACCCACACGTGATTCCTACATCATTGGTCAAGTGAGCATTACATCCGTGTTGGTAACTACAAAACACCCACACGTGATTCCTACATCATTGGTCAAGTAAGCATTACATCCGTGTTGGTAACTACAAAACACACCCACACGTGATTCCTACATCATTGGTCAAGTAAGCATTACATCCGTGTTGGTAACTACAAAACACACCCACACGTGATTCCTACATCACTGGTCAAGTAAGCATTACATCCGTGTTGGTAACTACAAAACACACCCACACGTGATTCCTACATCATTGGTCAAGTAAGCATTACATCAGTGTTGGTAACTACAAAACACACCCACACGTGATTCCTACATCATTGGTCAAGTAAGCATTACATCCGTGTTGGTAACTACAAAACACACCCACACGTGATTCCTACATCACTGGTCAAGTAAGCATTACATCCGTGTTGGTAACTACAAAACACACCCACACGTGATTCCTACATCATTGGTCAAGTAAGCATTACATCCGTGTTGGTAACTACAAAACACACCCACACGTGATTCCTACATCACTGGTCAAGTAAGCATTACATCCGTGTTGGTAACTACAAAACACCCACACGTGATTCCTACATCATTGGTCAAGTAAGCATTACATCCGTGTTGGTAACTACAAAACACACCCACACGTGATTCCTACAACATTGTATTCATTCTTACCTCTAGCGTGTCCATAGTAATGAATTGAGAAAATGGCTCTTTCTATTTCAACAATCCCATTCAATTATTTTAATTGAACAAAACAGATCGTCCTTCATGATTCATCAAACATGACCTTGACCTGCAACATCACTGCAAGTAGTAGACTGACCAAAGCCAGAATGAGCATCACATGTTTGGCATTCCATTTCCGTTTGCCACTGAGGAAAGTCACGCAATCCTCTATATTGCTAAGTTCTTTGTTGAATTTTCCCTCCCTTGCATGTTTCTCTGCGTTTTGCATTTCGGTCAATGCTTCATTGGGTTTTCCTTCGAGATGCAGTAGTTTGCTATTGGCTACATGAAATGCCACGTGCCAGCGATTTTCCATTCTTTGCATATTCTCCTCCTTTCTGATTTCCTTTAAAATGGTTTCAGCTTGATTTTTGTCCTCAGCTGTGATATCAACACTGTCCAAGTTGTTATAGAAAAGTCCTATTCCCAGGTGTAAATGTGCTTGTTTAATCAACACCATTCTACGGAAATCCTTTCCGACCATTTCCTGTTCTCGACAAAAATGGTCAATGGACTCCTTACCAATTTCTAACAATCGTTTTTTCATTTTCAGTGTTGGATCTTTCTCGTATTTTTGTGAAATTAACATGTTATATTCAATATACAAAACAACGCCAGACTCTCTACAGGCAGGAAGTGTTTGCAGTCGCTGTTTTGCTTGTTCCACGTAACTCAGTGCTTCCTCCACCGGCCTCCCTGCCATTAGAAGGGCGGAACCGTAACGTGCCAGATACATAGCTACAGGCAGGGTAGCAGAGGAGGTGTACAGGGACATCTTCTGCATTGTATCAAACAGTTTATCATCTTTATACAGGGTCTTGTCGTACAAGATTCGTCTTCTTTCCATGGTTGCGTCCAGGACCATGAAGTACATGTCCGCGAGCTCTTGATGATTGTCCAGAAATATTTCGGTTTTCGGGACGGCATTCCATCTGTCGGTTATTGCTTTACTCCTCTGAAGGAATGCCTCTGAATTTCCGGTCAGAGAATATCTTTTTAGTTCATGTCGGAACAATATTGCTTTCGCACGCTCTGGTGTGAATAATGCCTCTTTTATTTCAAACTGAACACTTTTGAGTTTATCCTTTGAGATATTTTCCAACTCTCTCTGTAATTTTTCTACGAGAAAATCATATGCATTGTCTATTAACAACGCTTCAAGAAACAGTGAAAATGAACAATGATCAACTATGTATTCCAGAAACTTCTCCGTCCTTCTTGTTCTAACCGGATCACGACCCAGGAAGGTAGGACAGGGAAGAACTCCTTTCGAATACAAGAACGATCTCAGTTCCAGAGGTTCAATGATCTCCACTAGATCACAATGACAGGTTTGTAAGGCTTTCCTTTCTGATTCATTCATATCCAGTATGTACCTTACCACATGTCTACAAGGTGTAGATCTGGAAATGAGAATCACATATTTCTATTTTAGTATATTTTGATTTTGTTGATATATATACTGCTTGTACTCTTTAACTTAAACAAGGATGTATAATAAACAAACACAGTATTGAATAATTTCATACCGATTGCATATAGACTAGCTTGACCCATAAAAAGTCAGTACCAACATCGCTCATGAAAGGTTTTACTTTCTTGTTAAAGAAATAATATAGATCCATTACAATACAGATAACAAAATTTGACCGGAAGCCATTTATCATTCACATCACTGTTTTAGATATTATGTATTCTGTACTGTACCATCACTGTTTTAGATATTGTGTATTCTGTACCATCACTGTTTTAGATATTGTGTATTCTGTACTGTACCATCACTGTTTTAGATATTGTGTATTCTGTACCATCACTGTTTTAGATATTGTGTATTCAGTACCATCAATGTTTTAGATATTGTGTATTCTGTACCATCACTGTTTTAGATATTATGTATTCTGTACCATTACTGTTTTAGATATTGTGTATTCGGCATCATCACTGTTTAGATATTGTGTATTCTGTACTGTAACATCACTGTTTTAGATATTGTGTATTCTGTACCATCACTGTTTTAGATATTGTGTATTCTGTATCATCACTGTTTTAGATATTGTGTATTCTGTACTGTACCATCACTGTTTTAGATATTGTGTATTCTGAACTGTACCATCACTGTTTTAGATATTGTGTATTCTGTACTGTACCATCACTGTTTTAGATATTGTGTATTCTGAACTGTACCATCACTGTTTTAGATATTGTGTATTCTGTACCATCACTGTTTTAGATATTGTGTATTCTGTACTGTACCATCACTGTTTTAGATATTGTGTATTCTGTACTGTACCATCACTGTTTTAGATATTGTGTATTCTGTACCATCACTGTTTTAGATATTGTGTATTCTGTACCATCACTGTTTTAGATATTGTGTATTCTGTACTGTACCATCACTGTTTAGATATTGTGTATTCTGTACCATCACTGTTTAGATATTGTGTATTCTGTACCATCACTGTTTTAGATGTTGTGTATTCTGTACTGTACCATCACTGTTTTAGATATTGTGTATTCTGTACTGTACCATCACTGTTTTAGATATTGTGTATTCTGTACTGTACCATCACTGTTTTAGATATTGTGTATTCTGTACCATCACTGTTTTAGATATTGTGTATTCTGTACCATCACTGTTTTAGATATTGTGTATTCTGTACCATCACTGTTTTAGATGTTGTGTATTCTGTAACATCACTGTTTTAGATATTGTGTATTCTGTACCATCACTGTTTTAGATATTGTGTATTCTGTATCATCACTGTTTTAGATATTGTGTATTCTGTAACATCACTGTTTTAGATATTGTGTATTCTGTACCATCACTGTTTTAGATATTATGTATTCTGTACTGTACCATCACTGTTTTAGATATTGTGTATTCTGTACTGTACCATCACTGTTTAGATATTGTGTATTCTGTACCATCACTGTTTTAGATATTGTTGTGTATCCTGTACTGTACCAACACTGTTTAGATATTGTGTATTCTGTACTGTACCATCACTGTTTTAGATATTGTGTATTCTGTACCATCACTGTTTTAGATATTGTGTATTCTGTACTGTACCATTACTGTTTTAGATATTGTGTATTCTGTACCATCACTGTTTTAGATATTGTGTATTCTGTACCATCACTGTTTTAGATGTTGTGTATTCTGTACCATCACTGTTTTAGATATTGTGTATTCTGTACCATCACCGTTTTAGATGTTGTGTACTGTTTTAGATATTGTGTATTCTGTACATCACTGTTTTAGATATTGTGTATTCTGTACCATCACTGTTTTAGATATTGTGTATTCTGTATCACTGTTTTAGATATTGTGTATTCTGTACTGTACCATCATGTTTTACTGTTTCACTGTTTTAGATATTGTGTATTCTGTACTGTACCATCACTGTTTTAGATATTGTGTATTCTCTGTTTTAGATGTTGTGTATTCTGTACCATCACTGTTTTAGATATTGTGTATTCTGTACTGTACCATCACTGTTTTAGATATTGTCTATTCTGTACCATCACTGTTTTAGATGTTGTGTATTCTGTAACATCACTGTTTTAGATATTGTGTATTCTGTACTGTACCATCACTGTTTTAGATATTGTGTATTCTGAACTGTACCATCACTGTTTTAGATATTGTGTATTCTGTACTGTACAATCACTGTTTAGATATTGTGTATTCTGTACTGTACCATTACTGTTTTAGATATTGTGTATTCTGTACCATCACTGTTTTAGATATTGTGTATTCTGTACTGTACCATGTACCATCACTGTTTAGATATTGTGTATTCTGTACCATCACTGTTTTAGATGTTGTGTATTCTGTACTGTACCATCACTGTTTTAGATATTATATATTCTTTACTGTACCATCACTGTTTTCGATATTGTGTATTCTGTATCATCACTGTTTTAGATATTGTGTATTCTGTACTGTACCATCACTGTTTTAGATATTGTGTATTCTGTACCATCACTATTTTAGAAGTTGCGTATTCTGTACCATCAATGTTTTAGATATTGTGTATTCTATACTGTACCATCACTGTTTTAGATATTGTGTATTCTGTACTGTACCATCACTGTTTTAGATATTGTGTATTCTGAACTGTACCATCACTGTTTTAGATATTGTATTCTGTACTGTATTGTGTATTCTGTACATCACTGTTTTAGATATTGTGTATTCTGTACCATCACTGTTTTAGATATTGTGTATTCTGTACCATCACTGTTTTAGTTATTGTGTATTCTGACCATCCACTGTTTAGATATTGTGTATTCTGTACCATCACTGTTTAGATATTGTGTATTCTGTACCATCACTGTTTTAGATGTTGTGTATCCTGTACTGTACCATCACTGTTTAGATATTGTGTATTCTGTACTGTACCATCACTGTTTTAGATATTGTGTATTCTGTACCATCACTGTTTTAGATATTGTGTATTCTGTACCATCACTGTTTTAGATATTGTGTATTCTGTACTGTACCATCACTGTTTTAGATGTTGTGTATTCTGTACCATCACTGTTTTAGATGTTGTGTATTCTGTACTGTACCATCACTGTTTTAGATATTGTGTATTCTGTACCATCACTGTTTTAGATATTGTGTATTCTGTACCATCACTGTTTTAGATATTGTGTATTCTGTACCATCACTGTTTTAGATATTGTGTATTCTGTACCATCACTGTTTTAGATATTGTGTATTCTGTACTGTACCATCACTGTTTTAGATATTGTGTATTCTGTACCATCACTGTTTTAGATATTGTGTATTCTGTACCATCACTGTTTTAGATATTGTGTATTCTGTACCATCACTGTTTTAGATATTGTGTATTCTGTACTGTACCATCACTGTTTTAGATATTGTGTATTCTGTACCATCACTGTTTTAGATATTGTGTATTCTGTACTGTTACATCACTGTTTTAGATGTTGTGTATTCTGTACATCACTGTTTTAGATATTGTGTATTCTGTACCATCACTGTTTTACCATCACTGTTTTAGATATTGTGTATTCTGTACCATCACTGTTTTAGATATTGTGTATTCTGTACTGTACCATCACTGTTTTAGATATTGTGTATTCTGTACCATCACTGTTTTAGATATTGTGTATTCTGTATCATCACTGTTTTAGATATTGTGTATTCTGTACTGTACCATCACTGTTTTAGATATTATGTATTCTGTACTGTACCATCACTGTTTTAGATATTGTGTATTCTGTACCATCACTCTTTTAGATATTGTGTATTCTGTATCATCACTGTTTTAGATATTGTGTATTCTGTACTGTACCATCACTGTTTTAGATATTGTGTATTCTGTACCATCACTGTTTTAGATGTTGTGTATTCTGTACTGTAACATCACTGTTTTAGATATTGTGTATTCTGTACTGTACCATCACTGTTTTAGATATTGTGTATTCTGTACCATCACTGTTTTAGATATTGTGTATTCTGTACCATCACTGTTTTAGATATTGTGTATTCTGTACTGTACCATCACTGTTTTAGATATTGTGTATTCTGTACCATCACTGTTTTAGATATTGTGTATTCTATACTGTACCATCACTGTTTTAGATATTGTGTATTCTGTACTGTACCATCACTGTTTTAGATATTGTGTATTCTGTACCATCACTGTTTTAGATATTGTGTATTCTGTACCATCACTGTTTTAGATATTGTGTATTCTGTACTGTACCATCACTGTTTTAGATATTGTGTATTCTGTACCATCACTGTTTAGATATTGTGTATTCTGTACTGTACCATCACTGTTTTAGATATTGTGTATTCTGTACCATCACTGTTTTAGATATTGTGTATTCTGTACCATCACTGTTTTAGATATTGTGTATTCTGTACCATCACTGTTTTAGATGTTGTGTATTCTGTACCATCACTGTTTTAGATATTGTGTATTCTGTACCATCACTGTTTTAGATATTGTGTATTCTGTATCATCACTGTTTTAGATATTGTGTATTCTGTACCATCACTGTTTTAGATATTGTGTATTCTGTACCATCACTATTTTAGAAGTTGCGTATTCTGTACCATCACTGTTTTAGATATTGTGTATTCTGTACCATCACTGTTTTAGATGTTGTGTATTCTGTACCATCACTGTTTTAGATAATGTGTATTCTGTACTGTACCATCACTGTTTAGATATTGTGTATTCTGTACTGTACCATCACTGTTTTAGATATTGTGTATTCTGTACTCACTGTTTTAGATATTGTGTATTCTGTACATCACTGTTTTAGATATTGTGTTGTACTGTACCATCACTGTTTTAGATATTGTGTATGTCTGTTTTAGATATTGTGTATTCTGTACCATCACTGTTTTAGATATTGTGTATTGTGTACCATCACTGTTTTAGATATTGTGTATTCTGTACTGTACCATCACTGTTTTAGATATTGTGTATTCTGTGTACTGTTTTAGATATTGTGTATTCTGTACTGTACATCACTGTTTTAGATATTGTGTATTCTGTACCATCACTGTTTTAGATATTGTGTATTCTGTACTCACTGTTTTACCATCACTGTTTTAGATATTGTGTATTCTGTACCATCACTGTTTTAGATATTGTGTATTCTGTACTGTACCATCACTGTTTTAGATATTGTTGTGTTTTATTTGTGTATTCTGTACTGTACATCACTGTTTTAGATATTGTGTATTCTGTACTGTACCATCACTGTTTTAGATATTGTGTATTCTGTACTACCATCACTGTTTTAGATATTGTGTATTCTGTATGTTTTAGATATTGTGTATTCATCACTTTTTAGATATTGTGTATTCTGTACTGTACCATCACTGTTTTAGATATTGTGTATTCTGTACTGTACCATCACTGTTTTAGATGTTGTGTATTCTGTACTGTACCATCACTGTTTTAGATATTGTGTATTCTGTACCATCACTGTTTTAGATATTGTGTATTCTGTACTGTACCATCACTGTTTTAGATATTGTGTATTCTGTACCATCACTGTTTTAGATGTTGTGTATTCTGTACTGTACCATCACTGTTTTAGATATTATATATTCTTTACTGTACCATCACTGTTTTAGATATTGTGTATTCTGTACTGTACCATCACTGTTTTAGATGTTGTGTATTCTGTACTGTACCATCATTATTTAATTTGCAGTTAAGTATTTTTCCTACAACAGGTAATTAAAAGAAGGTACAAACAATATGCATATTACATGCACTGTTTCATACTTTTACATCCGGATGGTCATGTTGATGTGTTTATGAAAAAAATAAAAAATATTCTTGATCGTTAATGAGATTAAAGCAATTGTCACAACTACAAGTTGGGTAGTGTGTCGATGTGATCGAGTCTGTAATGCACGTACAAGCGTATTTATACCTTTATGTAACAAATAAAATGGAATTTTAAAACTATGGAAAAATACTTTTTAAAATAATATATCCTTTTGAAAAAAAATGCAGATATCTAAAAGTCCTGTTCCACTGGGATGTATCACAACCTACCTTACTGCTGTGTTTACAATAACATATTTCATACATATGACACGAGTTACTTACACATATACATTGAACATCAGTAACATCCCTAGGGGACCGTCCGTTTACCGTACTCTGGAATCCTGTAGAACGACATGACAAAGAAATATTGGGCAATCCCAACTTCAGCTGGAAATTCTAATTCTCGTAAGAGATCCGATTCTCGGAATTCCTCGTAAACAATACAGGTTTAGATGGCGTATCAGATTCGGTGCATGTGCAATGCATATATACCAAATATAACAATCTTGTTAAATGCGTCATACTTGGAAACCGTCTGCTATCCACCAACACATACACTTTAATCCATGTCTTTTCACTTTAAAACAGAATTTACAATTCATTGTAAGGACGGAATATGTTGGTGACGATAATTATTTTTACATGACATAGTCTAAGTGTGTCGCAAAGTGATGTAGTAAATTCGGATACCAGTTATATCGATTCGCGTGGTTACGTCACTACCACATATGTATATGTGAGGTTATTCACGACGATACATCCGGATTTACGGGTCGTAAATTCTGTTTACAAACAGAGTTGCATAATTATCACGTGCGATATTAATATATAAATGAGTCAATAGATGGAAGTTTCTGGAAATGATAAACACAAATAAGTGAAGAAATAGGTATGATCTTTTATTTCATTAGATCTATTAATGTCAATTGTGCTCTTTCGTTATTAAAAAATTAACATTCCTATACATATGTGAAGCTGACAGCTTTGTTTATTCACTTGTTTAACAGGTTTAATGTCCGATATTACGGTCTTTCGGCAGACAATGTTGTCAATCAGGTTATTATACATATAAAACAGTGTTTATACACAACTTACACAAATGATTAAATCATTTGATGAAAAATGTATGAATGAAGTTTTTGGCTTTGATCTAGGCTATAAAAAATTATAAAAAATATTGTCAACGTACATTTACAAAAGTTTCCCTTTCAGAGTTACAGAGATTGCAGAGAGGACTTACCATCATTTTTGCTTTAAAAAGAAATGAGTTTGTAGTCAATTAAAAAAATATATGCTGAAATACAATGTAGTTTTAGTCGGATTTACAACAACGGTGCTTATATGTTTAACCAGTTTTCATTATTAAAATCACAATGTTCCACTACCATTTTCTTTTCACATTGCTATTGAGAGTTTTCGTTCTGTTTAGCAAATTATAAAATGTTTTAGAATCTTCAGTTTTTAAGCAATGGTGACCTGTTTTGGTAGAACAAAGCGGATAAAGTTGTATACAATGCTGAGACATCTGTTATACGTTGTAATTATCAGTATAAATATATATATATATTTGGATGAATTTATCATAAAACAAATTCTTACTGAAGTCACCGATATTACATAACCCGACTTATTCATAATAAAAATCAGCACCAATAGTAACCCTATCATTGTGATTGATAGCGAGCGCTTTACGATATGGTGTGTGATAATTCCAAATCAACTTCAGACGGAAGTGTGGCTGGAATATCATTACCCACAATACACTTACCGCAACACGCGATGAGAACAGTCAACTCGTTGAATGGTTTAAAAATAATTTTGACCGACTAAATATCTTTTTAAGTGTTCATGTGGAAATGAAATCATACTGAAAGGTCATCAACAATTAAAATGAATTTAATAAACATTAACAGTTTGAAACGCTTATAACAAATATCTCGTTGAAAAAATTATAATTTTAATCATAAGAGCACGTTTGTTTATATACATTGTGGAAATAGTTAACACACACAGCGAAGACAGTTGTTTCCCCCGGGGGTTCCGAGTGGAACGTTCACTTAAACTTAAACTCCACCTCATATACAAACACAACATTACGCGGGTAAAGGTGACAGATTGTAGACTCGGGCTCATACCTAGGACGCTGTAAAGGAAACGGTAGGGTTCCTCTTCTTATCTCAACGTAACACAATACTTGCACAACCACATAGATATTTTGTACAACACATCATTGACTGACTTATACGCCTCCAGGCAGGGACACCATACCCTTAACATAGGGTAATGTAATCTTACCAGCAGGGCCTTTTGCTGGGAACACCCACAACCACGTATGTCCAAACATGATTTCGTGTATGTTTTACAGTTTTGTGACCTCGTCAGGTACACTTATTTCCATATTAGGTGAAGATCTGCATTATGACATAAATCACACGTAACAAATATTAGAAAACAAAATATTTTAACTTGACATCAAACTCCTACAGCATCTGGTTTTGTGTGTGTGTAACTCTTGGTTATCTCATTAATTGGTGCACACAGCTTCGTCACCTCGTCCGGTGCGCTTATATCTATCTTAGAACAGGGGCGTAGCTAGCCCAGCAGAAATGTGTAAGCCCAGGCAAACTTGACTAAATAGCCCCTTTAACCGAACTTGACCAAATAGCCCCTTTAAGCGAACTTGACTAAATAGCCCCTTTAAGCGAACTTGACTAAATAGCCCTTTAAGCGAACTTGACTAAATAGCCCCTTTAAGCTCACAGGTGTGCAACTTGACTGTACAAATAGCCCCTTAAAAAAAACCGATGCAAAACACGCGCTTGTAAACTTGACAAATTAAGCGAACTTGACTAAATAGCCCCTTTAAGCGAACTTGACTAAATAGCCCCTTTAAGCGAACTTGACTAAATAGCCCTTTAAGCGAACTTGACTAAATAGCCCCTTTAAGCGAACTTGACTAAATAGCCCCTTTAAGCGAACTTGACTAAATAGTCCCTTAAAGCAAACTTGACTAAATAGCCCCTTTAAGCGAAGATCTCCGAAAAGTTGTATCCCCTCCCTCCTCATCTCTGTCCCTAACCGGAACATGTCTTGTTCCTGTTAGGTTAGGTTTATTATTAGGCAATGGGAGTCACCTTCAACGTTACAGTTTACAACAGGTTTGGTCGAATAACCACATTTCCCTTAACAGGGGACGTTAAATAGATAGATAAATAAATAATTGTCAGACTGGTATTTTGTTTATTAGTTTCCAATTTTATGCATTTTCCACTTTTTTTGAAAGGAGACTAGACCTTAAGGCGCCAGATTGCGATTGCTTACATTGGCTCCTACTGATGTGAATAGCAAGTCTAAAACCATTTCACAGGTCCAATGGGCCTTTTGTTATTTATTGATTGATTTGATTATTGATTTCAAAGTGTCACATTGAAGCCATTATCTTGTGTACGTATACACATATATCAATTAAATATCTATTGATTTATAAAATAGCTGGGATATGTGGCAATGCTAATTAGGATATGATATATGCCTTTTAATTTATAGCCTGAATGCTGCAGTCATAGAATTCGTATTTTTTGGTTGTTTGTTTTTGTTTTTATTAATTAAATATCAAAATCTACGGTCCTGAATTTTGATATGAACATTATACTCAAAGGAAAAGTCCGGGAAACACATAGATGTCTTTTTGATATTTTGATATGATGTACAGGCGATATGCCATTATTGTTCTCATGTGATTTTAACACATGACAAAATCTACAAGGACATATGGATTTACCAGAATGTTTACAATGAAATTGATCAATATATTCGTAGAAGCTATATTTTGTAGCTATTTAATATCGTAAATCACAAAAGTCATTTTTCTTTCAAGAAATTTTATTGCAAAATTGTACAAAGGGCTCGACATCAGACATAGCCGATATTAGTCTGATTATCAGATCTCAGTAGTAAGTAATTATTTACATCCCTTATATGTTTACCTGAAACTGATCATGATATAAACAAACATACATAACGTGAAATCGTATAAGTAAGTAAGGGAGGACCTACGAGATCAACTTTTAATTTAAGTTGGTGAGGGGTAGGGGTGGGGGTGGGGGTTGTTGAGGGGGGGGGGACAACCCATAAACACACTAAGCGTCCGATAAGCATATTATCATAATTTTTTTTAACCAAGATATTATTATTATTATTGATATTTTCTCTACTTCCTCCATAGATGAAGAGTTACAGAGATGGAGGGGAAGATATGTCACCAATGCGATAAATATAGAATGAAGTATTTACACAGAGACGTACACACGGATATACATGAAGAACCACACACATACACTTGTTCCTACAATACTCTGTTACGTGATGCTATATATATCACGTTTCAACAACACATTAATTTGTTGTGTAGTTTGACAGTAACGAATTTACTAACATTTGAATGCAGGACGCTGTTTTTGTTGGTCCGGATACATGTATGATGTTATATGTGTACTTGTTGTGTTGTTTGACATTAACGAATTTACTAACATTTGAAAGCAGGACGCTGTTTTTGTTAGTATACAAAACAATTCAGACAAAATTCCACGAGAGTTACAATACTAAGTTACAGTTCTAAACAATGAATAAGTTTTCTAAAGATGAGTTACTCGAAGCTCAGTTTTTGCCTTTCACTCAGAAAGGCAACTGTTTCTTTGATATTGTCAACTTCTTTTTCGGAATCCGCAGCAGTTGCATATTCCGAGGCTATATTAATCTCACTCAGAGATTCTGGCATTTGGTCTTTAAGAAGAAATAGTTTGCTTTTTGCTGCATGGTAACGAACTTTCCAGCGGGGTTCCATCCTTTCCCAATAGTTCGGTGTTGGAATTTCTTGCAGAAGCTTTTCGGCGCGTTCCCTGTCTTCTTTTGAGACAATAACACTGTCCAAATTGTTAAGGAAAAGTCCTATTCCCAGTAGTAAAAGAGCTTGTTTTATCAACAAAATTCTTCGAAAGTCCTTTCCAACCGTTTCCTGTTCATGACCGAAATGATCAATTGCCTGTGCGCCTATTTTTAACAGTCGATTTTTCATTTTATCTGTAGGCATATTTTCGTACTTTTTAGAAATTAACATGTTGTATTCAATATAAAGAACAACACCAGATTCAAGACAAGCTGGAAGTGTCTGGAGACGCTGTTTGGCTTGTTCTACATGGCTGAGTGCTTCTTCTACTGGCTTCCCTGCCATTAGAAGGGCCGAACCGTAACGCACTAGATACATAGCTACTGGCAGATTTGCTGAGGAGGTATAAGCGGACATACCTAGCATCGCGTCGAACAATTCCTCATCTGTATGAAGTGTCTTGTCGTACAAAATTCGTCTTCTCTCCATTTTTGCATCCAGTACCATGGCGTACATGTCTGCAAGGTCTTTATTGTTAGAGAGAAATTTCGCCGGTTTTGGTATGGCTTTCCATCTGTCTGTGATTTTCTGACATTCTTGAAAGAATTCTTCTGTAGCTCCACTCATCGAATACCTTTTGAGCTTATGTCGGAACGAGACTACCATTCCACGTTTTGTAGAATTCAAATCTTCCTTTAACTCATGGTAGACATTCTGGCTCTCATGATCATTCTGCCGTGTGATATTTTCCAAGTCTTCCCGAAGTTTTACAGCAAGAAAATCGAACGCATCGTCCTCAGATAAAGCCTCTAGAAACAACGAGAATGAGCAGGTATCCACAATGTACCCCAAAAAGATCTCCGCTCTTTTAGTTCTTATTGGGATGTCGTCGAGGTATGTTGGGCCAGGGAGAACTCCTTTAGAGTACAGAAACGGCCTCAGTTCATAAGGGTCGATTGTATCCACTAGGTCACGGTGTCGCTTCAGCAAAACGTTCCTTTCGACTTCATTCATGTCGGTTGCATTTAGTATCACAGCGAATACCTTCCTTTAAGCAAGACTTCACCTGGAAAATACAAGTACATTTCTCACATACCTTACATGGTTACGACTAAGACACAGTCTCATCTGAATATCTTGTTAACATTGACAAAGCAGAAACTTTAATCCAAATCAATAGAACCAATTTAGTAGTACATGTGTTGACTATTGTCACTCCCATACATTAAGTACATAAAAACGCTACACATCGAGGACTGACAATAAAATGATACAACGTACCGTTTTTCTTACTTCGTATTTACATGATCGTTGTTATTCCTAGTGAGATAATCCGAATACACAGAAATCAAACGTCTTACATAAAGTGTACAGCCTTACCAATGTCGGAAAGGTTGTTAAAAATGTCGGTGACGTAACGAAATTGTTCATTGGCCAATAGAAATATGATTATTGGATAGGATGTGCGTCGCTGTTGCGCCTTTTGTTACCTTACTTAATTGCTTGTAAGTGGGCATTGGGTAAACAAAAGCGTATATAAAAGATTTAACACGGGTATGATATAGACAAGGTATAAAACTGTTTGACTCACTGATCTAAACGTGTATTGGGTGAATTACGTAAGAGTGTGTACAATGTTCTGGTGGCTACATACCAACGCTGCGGGATCGTGCTTCATTACACAAGACAACTTCACTACAATAAAACGAAAGTAGATATTTTGATATATTAAATGTATTTATAAAGCATGACCCCTCAGTGTGTACCGCTACTACTCCCTTAAAGACCTTACACAGTGCAGGTAAAATATTTCTCAAACACCACAAACACTGACGATATTCACATTAGTTTTAGAGAACATCAGCCCCTCAATCTGTCACAGGGTATTGTAGTCTACACCTCTAATCTGTTACATAGTCACTATCGGTCAATGAATCAATCCCAGCGTATAGCTCTAACGATTGTCATGTTACAGTTCCTACTGTAGCGATAGGATTAACAAAATATTAACGGTTCCCTGTGATGTCATACCACAAGCGATAGACCCTTATTATAAAGGACCTGTTATAAGACATCCAAAGCGATGGATGGCATAGTCTTTGGTGACAACTAAGGGAAGAGGGTTGGGGGTAAAAGATATATTACAGTGTCTGTCAGATATATGTGTAACGGGAGGGGCGTACATATGTGTGCACCCGCTCCTTGTAGTTCAGTACCGTCCGGTGTTACCGGACCGACCCAGGTTCGAATTGAGTTGTTGAACTATTGGCTCAGTGAAATGATGACATATAAACAGTTAACGTATATTTGTTAACAGTGACAAGAAATGGCAGCGACGAGAAACAATATTAGAACAGATACCCATAGATATCTAACCAAGATGCTGCACGGCCTATCCGCGACTGTTGACGCAACATATCTGCAGCGCCGCCATCTTGGGAAGGTATTGCCGCTAGCGCCAAACCATAGCTACACAGTGGACCTCATGCCAGAAATTCCACTAAAAAGTGTAGCTCGGTCACTAGCCCACGTATCAACACAAATAATACTTCATTTTAAAGCTGAGAAAACGTTCTACGCTGTAGTCATCTCAAAGTGGAGTAATCGGGAATCAAAATTAAAGAAAAAATGGCGGAAATATTTAAAATGTAAAAATTATTGAAAAAATATATACTCCTCATTTATTTTGCATAGGATAAGTTTAACAATAAAGTGACATATAATAACCCATCCCCCCCCCAAAAAAAAAGAAGAAGAAAAAACCCAATAAAATAGAACAAATAAGAAATAATAAATAGCATTTTATTCAAATTCATCCTTTTTTTAAATAATGATAAATAACTTGTGGCAATGAAAAGGGCTATATAGAGATTAACGCACTTAATTTGTAGAGTGAATAACATAGATAATAGAATCTCACACAGCAAAACAATGTAAGGCAATATACAATCGGATCTCGCTTACAGGCGATTCAAATGAAGTGCAGTATGTTGTTTGCCTTCACATTGAACATTCACATACATGTGTAGAGAAGGTAAACCCATAATCCAACAACTGTTTGAAAAAAATCGATGCAGCAACAATCACATCATTCATAACAATAATGAAAACAAGTACAGTGTGACCTTGCTTGAAGTGCAAACTACTTTATCTGAAGTCCCATATTGCATCAGTCAAATATGAGTATGCACTCTCTACATATGCAGCCCTCGTACCATAAATCAGTCAACAAATCATGTCTTCTGTCTACATGTTTTGTATTCATCACTAATAAGCCCAAGATCACTATGTATTGTACAAGTTGCTTATTTTGTGACCAAAATGAAACTACTGTCAAACACAAAAGGTAACTGTAATCAATCACACTACTTAGCACACATGTCATTGCACAACAGCATGTTACAGCAAAATAAAAAATAAAAAAACTACTCCTTACATCAGGCGAATGACTATCTCTTAGTATAACTGCTCAAATACCTAATTATAGTACTTCAAAAACCCTTTCATCATTACTTGGAACACGGCCTGTTACAGTGACATCTACTACTTCGAATGATATTTATGTTTACAAGTAAAAATGAATAGGCCCTATCATACAAAGGTAAATCGGATAAGGCACACATTCTGTAGAACATCAATTTGTACAACAATAGTAACAGTGAAACTTCTGTTTATGACAGCTTGTACAATACCTTCCCAAGATGGCGGACCGCTAGAATCGTCACAGGCGCCGTCGCGCGGCATCTAGGATTATATCTCTATGCAGATACCCACAGCATCGGCAACAACAAACGGGAAGTCTGAATCGAATGCACCTGACATGAAATACTACTTCCTTCCGTTTCACACTCGAAGGAAACGTGCGAAGTGCTGTCTGTCACAAGTGAGACAGAACAGGCGGTATATTATAACCCGTAACTAAAATTTGCGTAATTGCTATCCGAATATTGCGAGATCACGGTTTAACAACGAGAGGTACAGATGTAAACAAATTCAAAATCAAAACCAGACGTGAAAACCAATCCCGTTACATACGTATAATACAGGGGATGTCAGAGTCCACAGGGGTAAAATCGTTTTGTGTCTTCTACTGAAGAAGCTTTATATCATACAAAAGATATAAGATTCACCGGGGTAAACTCATTTTGTATGTCTTCTACAGGAGGGGAAGTCACGGTCCCCAGTAGTAGTGTTCTCTGGGTTGTAGTAGACAAGTCACAGTCCCCTGTAGTAGCTAAGTGTTCTCTGGGTGGTAGTAGACATATCACAGTCCCCTGTAGTAGCTAAGTGTTCTCTGGGTTGTAGTAGACAAGTCACAGTCCCTTGTAGTAGCTAAGTGTTCTCTGGGTGGTAGTAGACATGTCAAAGTCCCCTGTAGTAGCTAAGTGTTCTCTGGGTGGGAGTAGACATATCACAGTCCCCTGTAGTAGCTAAGTGTTCTCTGGGTGGGAGTAGACATGTCACAGTCCCCTGTAGTAGCTAAGTGTTCTCTGGGTTGTAGTAGACAAGTCACAGTCCCTTGTAGTAGCTAAGTGTTCTCTGGGTGGTAGTAGACATGTCAAAGTCCCCTGTAGTAGCTAAGTGTTCTCTGGGTGGGAGTAGACATGTCACAGTCCCCTGTAGTAGCTAAGTGTTCTCTGGGTGGTAGTAGACATGTCAAAGTCCCCTGTAGTAGCTAAGTGTTCTCTGGGTGGTAGTAGACATGTCAAAGTCCCCTGTAGTAGCTAAGTGTTCTCTGGGTGGGAGTAGACATCTCACAGTCCCCTGTAGTAGCTAAGTGTTCTCTGGGTGGGAGTAGACATGTCACAGTCCCCTGTAGTAGCTAAGTGTTCTCTGGGTTGTAGTAGACAAGTCACGGTCCCCTGTAGTAGCTAAGTGTTCTCTGGGTGGGAGTAGACATGTCACAGTCCCCTGTAGTAGCTAAGTGTTCTCTGGGTTGTAGTAGATATGTCACAGTCCCCTGTAGTAGCTAAGTGTTCTCTGGGTTGTAGTAGACAGGTCACAGTCCCCTGTAGTAGCTAAGTGTTCTCTGGGTGGTAGTAGATATGTCACAGTCCCCTGTAGTAGCTAAGTGTTCTCTGGGTTGTAGTAGACAAGTCACGGTCCCCTGTAGTAGCTAAGTGTTCTCTGGGTGGGAGTAGACATGTCACAGTCCCCTGTAGTAGCTAAGTGTTCTCTGGGTGGTAATTGACATATCGCAGTCCCCTGTAGTAGCTAAGTGTTCTCTGGGTTGTAGTAGACATGTCACAGTCCCCTGTAGTAGCTAAGTGTTCTCTGGGTTGTAGTAGACAAGTCACAGTCCCCTGTAGTAGCTAAGTGTTCTCTGGGTGGTAGTAGACATGTCACAGTCCCCTGTAGTAGCTAAGTGTTCTCTGGGTTGTAGTAGACAAGTCACAGTCCCCTGTAGTAGCTAAGTGTTCTCTGGTTGGGAGTAGACATGTCACAGTCCCCTGTAGTAGCTAAGTGTTCTCTGGGTGGGAGTAGAAATGTCACCTGTGTTTGCTATGAGGGAATATTTCTGTGAACATTGTGTGATCGTGGAGCAGACAACTGCCTTCTTCTTGACGAGGCATCATCTATCGAATGGTATAAAATGTTCACAGGTATTCCTTATAAGGTCAAGAGTCAAGATATTTTAACATCTGATAAATGTAACATAAGAACACAAGCTCATTGGCTGTCTATTCTTCCAACAAATATGATTATACATTTATACAACATCACAATACATGAAATTATATCAACTGGATACACTTTCATATTACAATTACTGTACATAAAATAACAACCCACAAATAATTCCAACACAATTTTTCATATTAATAATATTCATTATTGTTTGCTATTTCAATTACATTTGTATAATAGCTGTGCAATTATTAAAGCCACAATGAATTAGTTTTATTGTCGAACTGTTAGAGTTAATCAGAATGAATCCTTATGGCAGATAAGTGATATAAAGTAGAACAGTGTCTCGCCGATGACGCAGGAGATTCTTACGCTTCTGGAATTACTGGTTTAATTCTCCTAATACATTTTCAAGCGTCTCCGTGTTTTCGTCTGTTTATACTTTACCATATTTTGATCGAATTTGTGTTTGAAGTATGATTCCACTACAACGTCGGTATTTCCTTTGCTGCTGTTACTTTAAAAGAATGGTAAAATTCCAAAATATTATCTTAAGGAGAAAAATCGTGGATTAAACTTTAAACACAATGATATAAAGTCATAAATTTTCGTGTGAGATTTATATTTATTGATTTCGCGGTTACACTTTATCACCGAAGTCAAACATTGTATGTCCATAAGCAGTGGAAATATTTACCTGTACGATCAAGTTAAAACGAAACATCTTTCTTTGTCTATCAGCAGAATGATTGAAATGTAAATAATGTAGGCTAGTCATTGTTAATTGAAGTCCTGTCTTCAGAATCATAAGCGTCTTTTTCTTTTTTTTAATTACCACTGGAGTTAGACAAGTTAGATGGTCAAAAATCTAGAAAAAATAATTGAACACGTCCAAATCAGAGCTTGACGTGCTCATTATTACTTAAAAAAAATACACGCCAACTTTACAAATCCATATTTCTATCAGTAAAAGTAAATGAGCGGAAACAATTCGTCAGTATGTGAAATTAATAGACCAATATAGCTTCTCGACATCCAAAGTCTGTGACATTAAAAGAGTGAGCAAAACAACTGTAGCCCTCATTCACAATCTTTGTCATCAATACCCAATCTAACTTCTCCACATCCGAGACATGTAACATAACCAGATCAGTAAAGACTGTTGTGTATACTGACACGAGAACAATATCGTTTCTGCTGATAAAGACATTTCGAGAAGAATTGTTATAACACCTACTTTGACAGGATACATTCGTTATTCTATGATGTGATAGAAATACAAACACATTGTTACATGAATTTGTGTATTTACAATGTACTAGATAATATGTGGGGAAATTGCATAATGATTGACATTTGAAAATTTTTAATGAAGAAAATAAAGAAAGAGAAAATAATCCAACGAATTTCATCCTAGAAGACATTAACATGTTTCAATGTCATAACGGATTACTCATTCAATTCGACTTCTAAAATGTTGGTTGTAAATGCCTCACTTGTGTCAAGTTATATAAATAGCTATTGATTCATTAGATCTATTCTACATTTCTAGGCATGTTGCGTTATAGACAACTACCACTGACTTTATACAGAGTTAACTCCCTTCCATGTAGACACCGACTCAAGTTACAAAGACCCCTGGACAGTGATGCATTATTGTACTACATCTCAATAATCTGGCATCAACCTTTCACACCGTTACAAAGGTAAAACAGGCCTTAATGTTTCTTTTTATTAAAGAATAAATGAGAAGTGAAGTAAAAAAAAGAGATAAAAATGAAAGGTATATGACAAAATAAAAGTGAGGTGGTATCTTATGGAGTCATTTATTAATAATATCGATTTAGATGATTTTTTTAAAAACTATGATAAAAATGTAATGAGCAATAAGAAGTCTTATCAATATACATTCTGTACGTATCTTCATATTATATAACACTTACTTCAAATAATAACATAGTGAAACAAAAGAAAAGATTAAATTACATCAGGAAATATCTAAAACATATACACTATTTTGTAGAACATCACTTAAATAAATATTCATTTTCATATTCTAAATTGAAGAAGAGAAAGAGTTTATGAATCCTGTTCAGGAGCATGAACACGATCTCGGTTTTCATTAACTATTTCCGTCCTCGATTCAGGCTTATCATTGTTTGTCTTGCCAGCCATTCTCTTATAAGGTATTTTCCTGAAGACAAAACAACATAATTACATTAATCTTGCAGTATTTCCTCAACAAAATCAGTAATTGATATACAGATATATAACTTGCTGCTGGTAGGAAAACAATGACAAGGCTTTAATGTTTCTAGACATTATTTGTGACACTTCTTTGTTTATATTAGCAAGAAGTGATCTATAAACAAATATGCATGCAACATAGTTTGAATTGATACCGATAAGAAATATTCATCGTCTGTTTATAACTGAATAATCTAACTGTATCTAGAGACAATACGTCATTATCGTATGATGTAATTTCTGATATAATGTAGTCAAAGTTTACGATTTCTGTTGTATAATCAGTGCTTTACTTTCCATAGAGCATTTGTTTCAAAACAACATTTATGGGTTTGATTTTAAGTTATCTGCGGTGAGGATTACGTATATATACTATATATTCCTGTATCGTGTTTTATATATATATATATATACACTGATTTGTCTAGCTGAATCCTACACTTCCTGTGTCGTGTTATATATATATATATATATATATATATATATACACTGATTTGTCTAGCTGAGTCCTACACTTCATGTGTCGTGTTATATATATACACTGATTTGTCTAGCTGAATCCTACACTTCCTGTGTCGTGTATATATATATATATATATATATATATATATATATATACACTGATTTGTCTAGCTGAGTCCTACACTTCATGTGTCGTGTTATATATATACACTGATTTGTCTAGCTGAGTCCTACACTTCCTGTGTCGTGTTATATTAGTTTCAAGTCGAACAAATATTGCTTGAATTATGCTAACGTTCTATTACTTTCCAAGACCAATAAAAATGTCGATAGAAGGTCAGGATAATTTGGACAAAACACAAAAGTATCAAATTGGACATAAATATACCTATTTCAACATTTGTTATTATTTTTTTTCATTTTTTTTTTCTTTTGAATTGACAACCTCGTGTTAAATAACTAAAATAATCTATCGGTTCATTTAATATATCAATTTGATTTTTTTACTGTTGTTAACCATCAAGTTATTCGAGTGTTGTAAATGTTATGTCACGAACTCACCTGTTTCTGTCGTTACACTCCTTGACCATGAAGGTAACTACACACAGAGCTATGAGTGTCCCGAGTATTATTAACCCATACTGAACAGCCTGTGTAATCTTTATGGGAATATCAACCTTGGTTTTAAACATATTAGCCAGCTTCCCGTCTAGAGTAGCACTCTGTTGTAAAACGAATGATTTCATTACAGCTTCACTGACGAAGTATAGAAGTATATTAAATAGTGTTATTTTTCTCATCTTTGTGTTATTTTTCACCACCTCTACATATTAATTATATTATCTTAATTAATTAATACAATTAAAACAAAGAACGCATATCATCTATAAATTTGACCAATAGAAAATTGATATAAACACATAAAATGTAATAAGCATATTTCGCTAGTGTAGCTAATATTTCCGTATCTTTACTAATGCTACGCTCTCGTGTATATATACTCAACAAAAAAAAGAAAGGTTAACATATTTCCTTGGCGAATACCTGTAAATAAGTGAAAACAAAATGACGTTTGTGCAATATTAGAAAATGGTAATGTTTTACTTTACAAAATCCAAGGGGGTTACCAAAATCATTCAAGCGTGAAAGCCTGTATTAGCGAAAGAGCTGCATGAGGTTTTCTGCGACTAACTTGTAGCTTCGCTTGAATTTCATAAACATTCAAACTGACAACTGTTCCTTAGATCCTTAGGACTTAGAAATCACCGAATCTTGCTATCAACTTTATCATTATGCCCCGGCTGTCACAAGTACAGAGAGAAAGGGCTGTAGGCATGATCCAGGCTGGGGAGTCTCGCCGTCGAGTTGCACGGCATTTTGGTTGCAGTGTTAAGACAATTTGCCAGTTGGTAAATCGTTTAAACCAAACTGGGTCAACATCCGATCGTCCCCGAAGCGGCCAGGGATGACCGTCGTATACGATTGATACACTTGCGCAATCGATTCGTAACTGCAGTAGAGACTACAAGGACATTGTTTGGGCGTCGTGTGTCTCCCCAAATAGTCCGCAACAGGTTGAGGGCCTACCAATTGAAAGCGCGGCGTCCCTACACTGGACCCAATTTGTTGCGACGTCACCGTAATAATCGGCGTAACTGGACCCATGTTCACCGTCGTTGGGCCTTACGACAATGGAACAATGTTCTGTTTTCAGATGAGTCCAGGTTTTGTCTGCAACACGGTGACGGAAGGCGCAGAGTGTGGAGGCGACGAGGGGAGCGTTTTGCGAACTGCTGCGTCGCAGAACGGGACCGCTTTGGCGGCAGAAGTGTAATGGTTTGGGGTGGTATTTGTGAGGGGACTCGTACCAGGCTTGTTGTGTTAAATGGCAATTTAACCGGCATTCGATATCGGGACGAAATTTTAAGACCAGTGGTTCTGCAATTCTTAAGACGCCATGGCTTTGGCGCCATTTTCAACAGGATAACGCACCAGCGCACACCAGTCGCGTCAGCAGAACTTTCTTGTAGCAAATAACGTACAGGTGTTAGATTGGCCATCTAAATCACCTGATTTGTCACCGATTGAGCATGTCTGGGACGTTCTTGAGCGACGCGTGAGAGAACGTCAAACTTGCAGGGGCTGGCCCAAGCCTTGATCGCTGAAGGGAACAACATCTCTCCTCGAATTATCCGCCGGTTTACGAGTTCCATGCGACGACGCTGCAATGCTGTTTACTTCACAAAGAGTGGCCATACCCGTTACTTATGGTGTTACCTTTGAAATTGACCCCAACGTCCTTTACAGTCGAATAAAATCAACTGAACGCAAAGTTTTATAATGAACCATGACTGCAGTTTTATCAGAATTGATCAATTACTTTATTCGTGCATGATTGGTAAGGATTTATGAAGGGGTTTATCAATTAATCACAGAATAAAGTAGTGTTACCTTTCTTTATTTTTGTTTAGTATATTGGCCATACTCGTGAAATACATTTGTCACTACGGCGGACCCCTTTAACTATCACCTGTATATTTGTTTCACTTTGTCCATTCCCTAAAGATAATGGAATAATGTTGCGGAAATATTTTTAATGAAAAAGATAATCAAATAGTGGTTAGGGTATCAAAGTTCGACAGCAGGACTAGATTAACAGGGCAGGATAGGAGGACTAGATTAACAGGGTAGGATAGGAGGACTAGATTAACAGGGTAGTATAGGAGGACTAGATTAACAGGGTAGTATAGGAGGACTAGATTAACAGGGTAGGATAGGAGGACTAGATTAACAGGGTAGTATAGGAGGACTAGATTAACAGGGTAGGATAGGAGGACTAGATTAACAGGGTAGTATAGGAGGACTAGATTAACAGGGTAGGATAGGAGGACTAGATTAACAGGGTAGGATAGGAGGACTAGATTAACAGGGTAGTATAGGAGGACTAGATTAACAGGGTAGGATAGGAGGACTAGATTAACAGGGTAGGATAGGAGGACTAGATTAACAGGGTAGTATAGGAGGACTAGATTAACAGGGTAGGATAGGAGGACAACAGATAAATAGTGGTTAGGGTATCAAGGTTAGACGGCAGGACTAGATTAACAGGGTAGGATAGGAGGACAACCGGTCATGAAGTGGTTAGGCCTGAAGGTTGAAGAGCAGGACTAGATTAATAGAGATAGCGAGACAACAGGATAAAAAACTTAAGATAGGCGGACAACCATATGAGTGGTGTCTAGCTGAATGAGAAATGTGCACAATGAAATCGACTTTACCCAAACTTACTGTAGTTTACGGATACTAATGTGTCGACATTAGCAATGTTAGATACGTAACAAAGTCATTCACATCCTCAAAAATCCAGCAGTTACGAAAACTAGCGATCTTTAGTAATCGCAATCCCTTGAATTCCTGACTTATAAACATGTACATTAATTCAACTGATACATGAAAACTAGGAAATTTATTGAAATATGAGGCAACGCACCCCCAACCCCCAACCCCCCCCCCCAACCCCCAATCTTAAAGTGATGCAAAAAATTATTAGTTGCTTATAGAAATCGTTATATGAGTTAGTTCCAGTTTTAGACATTAACTGTTTTAAGTCTAGTTTATCCGGAATAATTTACTAGTCGCTCCCATTATTATAACTTACCTCATTTAGCCACAAAATTGGATAGACAAGACGGTTAAAGTTTTTGGTGGCACTGTAACAGCAATGATAAATAGGTAACACTGTGTAGTACCGCTATAACATGTGCTATTACAATCATTACTAATATTATTATTATATAAAAACAGTAAGATTTGTGTCCATGTTATTAGATATGTAAGATCTAATTTACCTTGTATATTACCGTAATTACAAGTGTTATAATTATCATCATCATCATCATCATTATCATTATATAAAAACAGCAAGATTTGTGTCTATGGTATTAGATATAGAAACACTGTCCTGTAACAATATTCTTTATGCCAATATTAACTTAATAAGCGACCACGGGAAATACGTCCATATGTATTTCCTTATATGGTATTCATACTTACCTGATGTGGCTAATATTATGTATGAACAAATTGACCTGAAGCCTCTTGTCTATATTCATAACGATGCCGGTGTGCTGTGGGAAAATTGGAGCAATGACATAGATATAGTACACGCGGTTTTCAAATACATACGCAAGCCTTAGAATCATATTGTAATTGTTTAATTCAAAACACTATTTTTATAATAAAAAACAGAATATCGAAAAAATAACTTCTAAACTATTACAAAACAGCATTACAAAAGCATGTTTACAATCTACTTTATATTATTATTATATTCATAATGATATAGTTTAATTTCATAATGCCAGTAATGTAATAGATGGCTTCATCACCGCACGGGCTTTATTTTATGAACGGATTAACAGCAGCGGCTCTGGGGAACAAAGAATTAATTCACGTATGCAATGATAGATATACGCTTGAAATCTATGTAATTATAGTATTGGAATCGTCGTCATTTAGAAAAGATAGCAAGGCTCGAGTTACCGGTTCTACATCAATGTTAGTTTGGTGTTCCCCAGGTATAGGGTTAAGTCCTTCCACAGCCTGTTGTACAGATGGATCAGCTGCGTAGAAGTGGGGCTGAGAACCAACTATTGGTGCGAACTCTGAAAATACGTTTACATTGCATGGATGAAAACATCTTTTTTTTATCCACTGATGCTTGCGTTTTTGGTCACGTTGAATGAATGTAAAATTGTAATAACAATGAGTATGATTCCACCAAGCGACCCACAAGTGCTTAATCCTCCTTCCACTAGGCTCCCTCCTCAATCCCACCCCCACCCCACACCTTGATAGATGCATTTACTTAGCTTCAATTATTGCTATACTACTTTCATGCATTCAAATAGATGGCAATGTCAGTGTCATTCACGGTAATATGACATTAATTGATTACACTTTTTATAGTGAAAATAGCCCTATACTATTCATGACGTCATAATAACTAATCTTGCTGGTGTTTACAGCTGCTCACGAATAGGAGATGCAGTAGTAAGCAACTTTGTTTAGATTGAGTATGTCTCTAATCGCCATATAAAACTAAAACTTAGTATCCCAGTTACAGAACACAAATGACGTCATGGTGGCTCTTTAACAAGAGGGCCATGGCCCTTCACGGTCATCTGACAATTCACGGGTGGACTGACAGACCTCACAATTTGCTGATGGTGGTTTAACAAATCTTGAGCATTCCTCGAAAGTATCAGAAACTCATAAATGGTAAGCTTTATTCATGAAAAACAGTTGTGTAAACACATTACAAAATGGCTACTGTGGCTACCATTCGTTTTGACCAGGCTGAAGAAATAACACACACACATTTTTCTCCTTAACAAATTAAACACTGCAACTTTTCTCAGTGGTGTGAATGAATGTAGTTCAGACAATTTGTTCAAGTTATGTTAGAATTTGAACCAGACCGAAAATTAAGACTTGGTCAGGACAACTTCAGTATCACTTCATGCAAGTTTGATAGCATTGCCACTGCCTTATAATGTTTCAGGCCAGATTTGGGTGAAATCCATCCATTAATTGAGATAGAGTAGCGTTTTGAAGCAAAATGATATATAAAGTTGTTTTATGAGGCCCGCACCTAAACCCATAGGCGCCGAATAAACTTTCTAAATTTCAATAACAATTTATCAACCCAAATGATGTTTCAGGCTAAATTTGGTTAACATCTGCCGAGGGAAAGGGAGTTCGGCAAAATATTCCATTCAAGTCCATTCAAGTATTAAAGAAGAGTGTTTTGAATCAAACTATTGTCTAACTTCCCTATTTGGGCCCATCCACCGATCCCTGGGTGATCGAATCATTTATTTTTTAAATTAAGAAATTATTCCCCATTCTAAATGATGTTTCAGACCAAATTTGGTTGAAATACAGCTTGACGTTAAGCAGGACTAATGTTTTAAAGGACAAGTCTACAGCCGGCGCACGGCGACGAACGGCGCACAATAGTAATAGGTCGACTTGACCCTTCGGGTTAGATGACCTAAAAAAACACTTGCCTTCTTTGCAATTGCTGACGTTGAGCAGACCCGCAGGTAAACAATTATCCGCATTTGGAGTACAGAAGCCATCGTTCTCAGACAAGGCTTCAAACACACGATCTGGGAGGACAAAGCTGTACAGGTCAACACCACGTAATGTCTTCATTTCCTTGTAGTATAGATACAGAGACCTAAGAAAAGATAACTCTGAAATTCCTGAATACAATCAGGATTGGTAAAGAGGTTTAGTTTGATGATACCAGGAATCACAGATAATCATTTTAAAACCTTTTCACATGTTTGCGAAAATTCACATTTGGAATTGATGAGTTGGACAGATATTCATTCACCATCTATGCAGATGAAAGCCTATTGGAAATGATATGCTTAACGCCTTTTGCTTGCAACGGGGAAAATGAAGGATAAAAAATACGCAACATTGGGAAAAAAAGGAATATATTATATAGATATTTCAGGGTGTGGTATATTCTTTATTCATACCTGCAAATGTCCGTTTGGAACACATACATTGTCCAAGATTTGTCAACAAATGGCGGAAAAAACGTTCCATCTGTAAGGTATGTTATTTAAAAATCTGAGTGTTTTGACGCATTTGCTCTTAAAGGAGGAATTAAAACAAAGCCCATGTTTTGTGCATTCAAAGTTTAAATATGCATAACAATGTTCACAATGGGACGAAGAAACGGAAAGTGGTCTCTTAATATGATAGAGGTATTACAGAGAATACTGCAAATTCATTTTCTTTAACAGCTGTTAACTTTCTAAATTCATAACAATTTTTAAGCAACTTAAAACCATACATAAGACACGGCCAGGTATTCCACATTTCAATATCATATAATGAAAAGTAGGATATCTTAGTTACTAAGAATTAAAAAAGCACCGAGTCAAATAATTCTACAGAATATGAAATCTAGTTTTACCCGTGCCATTGATCATTCTTGCTCTGTCTGTAGACCAGTACGGAAGCCTCCTTTAAATGACAACAAAAAGATGAACGAATATGACAGGTTAGGAAAGATATATCATAAATCGCATAATTCATCAAAGTGGTGCAATGTCAGGAATTCAATGATAACACTTCTATCAAAACCATGTCTTTAATCAATATTTGAACAGATAAATATTGTTTCACGGTAAACATGTCTACTTTGCTTCCTAAAAACAAGTACAACAAAATGGCGTCAAGGGAGAATAAATTTAACGCCATAATTTTAAAACGTAACATGGTCATGCATCAACTCGTATCATGTTGTAACAAGCCAACTGGAACCATCCATCTCCATCAAAGACTGTTTTCTAACATCGCGTTATCGTTTACCCGATAAATGGAAATCAGATATCACTATGGCTTCCTCGAATTCCACTGTAGAGGGATGTACCTTACTATATTGCACTCCGTATGTTCTGCTTCATTTCACATGTATGCAATAAAATACAATGCAAACGTATGCAGTAATTTCAAAAAGGATTTTAATATCCATTTACTAACTTATTCATTTGGAATTTTAAGAATGGAATATATCAATGCTTACGTCAATCCATTCCATTTGTTGATGATGGCCAACTTGCTGATGTCATCACCTCCCGAATGTATGTTGTAGAGTCCATCATCAGTGTCGTTCGTCTGAAATAAAAGATAGATTATTTACATAGACAAAGTTGTCAGGTGACCTCTGATTGTTCAGTATAGTTATCGTTACATCATGTTAATTCTGTAAAAGGTAAACCGCAATGATATTTGAGAAAAGTAATTTGCTCTGAGATCTCCATATACTATTTTATTAGTTATTAGCTATTAGATATGTCGGTAAAATCAAGCCTTCGTGTCAAAGACCAATCGTTATGAAGCCATTTTGTGAAAATTATTTATTTTAGTTATTCACGTCACACAAAATGAAAATGTTGAACCAACGTTTTGCTAACCCAATGAAGTATTATGTGATTTTTTTTATGATGATGAATACAGCAACAATATGACGTAATTGAAAAATGTATTGTACTGAAACAGCACTCTTTGTATATAAATTAATATCACTAAATTTACCCCGTAAAAGAGCCCTATTTTGTCGTCAATAGAGATGTTGTATCGCCCCACAATGTCCTTGGCCGCCTTTAGGAGTGGATCCTCGTAGCCCCAGGCGATATCTCTCACACTATATTGCTGAAACAGGTCACTGTCTTTCGTAGCTTTGAGGACTAAGTCGACGAGTTCCTGAACCCAGGGGTACTCAAAGCGGACCATGTTACCTACCGTCTGTCACAATGAAACAGAAGTTATTTCATATTGAATGGTGTTAAAAATGGTTTTAGTCCGATATGAATTAGAATATTTACAGTAGAACTTTAAGCAACCGACGAGTAGCTCAACACCTTTTGGATATCGAAGTACCCTATGGGACAAATGAGGTTACAAAAGTACTTACTTTCAAGCCCCAGGTTACATGTTCAGAAAAATCGTTAAAGGACCTGGAATCTTGAAAGTAAACTGCTTTGAAAATAAGACGTGGATTTCTTGCTTGTAAACGTACCTTGGCTTTTTCTCGAGATTGTTCATTCGGTCATTTTTATAATCTATCTTGCAGATTAATATTAAAACACAGCAATGCTTCTTGGTGATTTTGATAAAACTTTTAACGTACCAGCAACCTTGAAACCTAATACCCATTTGTCTTTTATTTTCATTATATTCATTAAGGATGTTCTCTTTTGAGAAGTATTAAACTGTTTTCCGATGACGATTTTTTGAAGTTTTGTCTTAGAAAGTAGATTAAAAACAAAAACAATAAAAAATAATAATATGTTGCTGCACTACGTTTTCCAGTACAAGCGTCAGAATATGTATAACAGAAAATAATACATTTTCACGTATTCTTCTTATTTTTTCCTGAATAACAAGCATTCCGTCTTATTTTCACGGCAACCTATTTAGAAATATTTTTTTCGCTTTTATTGGAAAATAATGATACGCTTTCATTTGCTTCAACGAGTTTCAAAAAGCATAACAACCATAAAATGAAAATGTTCGAAAATGACCTAAATCTTTTATTTGACTATTTTCGAGTATTCAACTTTTTTTAATAATACTTCATATTAAGACAGAGAAATTTTCGATGATGCTTTTTCAGGGGGAAACTGTGCTTTATGTTTTTGCAATTATCGCCCTAAAAGGTAGCTTTTCCAAAATCAAGAAACAGGCTAAATTATTTGTTTTCAGGTCCCAAGAATCCGCAGAATTAATGAAACTGAAATCTGTGATTGGCGGTGATAATTCATGCAAAATTTAGTTGAAATCTGATTTATACTCATAAGGAGTACCTTGGCAACCAGGAAACGTTGTTATTGTTGACGCTATTAATCGAATCACGCCGTCAAATACAACGTCAAAAAGAGTAGCACAAAAGCGAAATTTCTTCAAAACGTCTTAAAATTGCCATGTTTAGGTACAACTCTAAATAACAAAGTTTATAAGACTATAAAAGTAAATGATATTATGTTGGAATTCATTTTATATTGAATAAAGTCTTACTTCCGGTCAAGACATCAGAGGATTGCATCCATAGAAATTACGCACCATCAGCAAGATGTGCATTAGAGTGTGTAGAGGTAACATAATTGATAGACGACGTGGAGCGTCCTTATATACTTGTGTTAATATTAAAGTTAAGGAATGGTAAGTCTATAAATAAATAGACTTTCAAAATCGTAGCCAATCATATCGTTTGTAAAATATGACTGCCAAATAATGTCTCCAAGATGATAAATGAAGCACAATAAAAAGTTCTTTGCGGTAATATTCTCTCATATAACACTGACCGAGGGTAAAGGTGAATAAAACTGATATACCATTAAAGGAACATTAGCGGTTGTGAATTTGTCACTGTCCGGACCACAAGACTTGCTCCGATCAAACGTGTACCAGTGAAGTTGTCGGTATGTGATTGTGCCGTTTGGTTCAAACGTGATGTTGTACTTCTTCCGGTGTTCCCTAGAAGCACACAGAGTAAAATTATATAAGCCCTATTGAATAAATGCTCTGCACCGTTGGGAATCATTGGTTGATGATTAAAACATGTATATTATAACTAGTTAGTTGAGTAAATTGTATTTGGGAAAGGTTGAATAACATGCTACATATAACGTCGTTTTTAACGACAACACAATAAGCATTGTATTGATTAGATTTAAAAGAAAAAAAAAAAAAAAAAAAAAAACCAAAAAAACAAAACAAAACAAAAAACAAAAAAAGTCTATGTTTTAACATCAATGTTGACATAATCATTAGTTAATACTCTAGTTTAAATGATCTGGTTCACGTCACATTTTAGAATCGCATTTCTTTCTGAATGCACGTGCATTACCTGTATGTATATGGTCCCCTCTGTACAACATACGGTTTGGCTCCTGCAATGACCTCTAGGGGATTTACAAGGTCAAATACCCATAACTGGTAATACACGGGTATAGGTGGAACTACCCAGTCATCATAGGTCAGCGAACCTTTTACCAGAGGCACATCCTGTCATAATGGGGAAAAAAGTTTCTTACTTCCAGTGTTAATCTTTAAAGAAATGATTATTTGATTTTAAACTCGAAAAAAACAAAATGGCAAATATATTTGTGACATTTATAAACCACGTCTTCTCGGCAAACAAAAATTTGAAATGAAAATCCAACATCAACATTGAATTAACATATCAAGGTTCTGAGCCTCACGCATTTCCCTGTAGGATGGTAAACCGCACCACAACATGGTGGTTTGGCTACTTTCGTGTAGCACCACCACACTCTGTTGGAGAGACAACCACCACCCATTTGTTGGTCATACCGCCAAAACGGAGTATAGAGCCGTGAAAAAAATGTTGTCCTGGATGACCAATCTGACGAATAGATTGAAGAGATGGTGACTCGTTATGGAAGACTCCTCCTCCTTCTATGAAACGCTGGGTGAAAGAATTCTAGAGAGAAGAAGGTTGCTTAGATGATGGTGACACCAGGTCAGGATGCCATCAACATTGCACACAGACTAGAGATGGAAAACTGCCGTCGTACTTTATGAGTTAGAGAAAGAAACGGGACTTCGTGACAATGGTATATCGAGATGTGAGAGGAAAAGTCTTGTAATATCATATATATATATATCTTTGTCAATAAAAATCCAAAACCAAAAATAGCATGGAATGGAAACACGCCAAATTTCGAAAGAAAGAGATGGTCCATCAAGAAAGTTTTAGCGACCACGTTTTCTCAAGACCTAGTTCAAGCATCTTTCACTGTTTTCCCGGACTGGAAAAATACTTTCAGGACGGAGACTGGAGGATGGTGATGATGAAGCGAATGCTGCTGTGGAAGACTAGGTGACCCAGACGTTGCTCTTTACCAATCGGGTATCAATGCCTGGTAAACTAGACGAATCAAGTGTCTATTTTAAAAACATAAAACAGTTAAATACAAGTGACTTTCTTAACTGTGTATGTATTGACCGTTTTTGTCAGGGGACGTGCCGATGTTTTGATAAAAATTGATTTCGAGACAACGAATGACTTTCCAATTAAAGGGACTGAAAAAACACTTCGGCTCATACGAAATTTCGGCTCGATAAATTTCAAGTCACCCGATCTAGAATTACAAAGAAATAGAAGGGAAAATTCGGAACATGTAAATTATTTCGACTCAAACGATTTCGAGGCGACAACTTTCAACTCTATCTTACTCTTTCTGTGTGATATCATTTAACATTTAGAAGTATTAGACATGTGTACAAAGGCAATGGAAGGTAGGTATCCTGTTGACTGTGTCTATATGAACTATCAATATGCTTTTGATACGGTTCATCATAGGAGGTTGATGAGTAAACTATATTACATACAGGATTGAGCAGAAGAACTGATACGGTGGATAGACAGCTTCCTGTCGCTAAGGAAATTGAAGGTAGACATAAATGAATTGAGTCGGTTCTATATGGACAGAAGTTACTTCAGGAATTCCTCAGGGGTCTGTATTTGAGCCGTTATTGTTTGTTATATTTATCAATGACCTGTTTAGCACAGTGGACTAGTGGAGATATATTTATTTGCAGATGTCTCTAAATTTTCAGGGTGTTAAACAATAGTTTATTGGCTGACTAACACAGACAATTGTTTATTGACTCACTAACATAGATAATAGTTTATTGACTCACTAACACAAACAATAGTTTATTGGCTGACTAACACAGACAATTGTTTATTGACTCACTAACATAGATAATAGTTTATTGACTCACTAACACAAACAACAGTTTATTGGCTCACTAACACAGACAATTGTTTATTGGCTCACAAACACAGACAATATTTTATTGACTCACTAACATAGATAATAGTTTATTGACCCACTGATACAGATATTAGTTTATTGACTCACTAACACAGACAATTGTTTATTGACTCACTAACACAGACAAATGTTTATTGACTCCTTAACACAAACAATACTTATTGACTCACTAACATGAACAATAGTTTATTGGTCCACTAACACAGATAATAGTTTATTGACTCACTAACACAAACAATAGTTTATTGGCCCACTAACACAAACAATAGTTTATTGGCTCACTAACACAAACAATAGTTTATTGACCCACTAACACAGACCATTGTTTATTGACTCACTAACACAAACAATTGTTTATTTACTCACTAACACAGACTTCAGTTTATGTCTCACTAACACAAACAATAGTTTATTGGCCCACTAACACAAACAATAGTTTATTGACCCACTAACACAGACAATTGTTTATTGACTCACTAATATAAACAATAGTTTATTGGCCCACTAACATAGATGATAGTTTATTGACTCACTAACACAGACTACAGTTTATGTCTCACTAACACAAGCAATAGTTTATTGACCCACTAACACAGACAATTGTTTATTGACTCACTAACACAAACAATTGTTTATTTACTCACTAACACAAACAATAGTTTATGTCTCACTAACACAAACAGTAGGTTATTGACTCACTAACACAGACAAGTGTTTATTGACTCATTAACACAGATAATAGTTTGTTGACCCACTAACATAGATAATAGTTTATTGACTCACTAACATAGATAATAATTTATTGACTCACTAACACAGACAATTGTTTATTGACTCACTAATATAAACAATAGTTTATTTCCCCACTAACATAGATTATAGTTTATTGACTCACTAACACAGACTACAGTTTATGTCTCACTAACACAAACAATTGTTTATTGCCTCACTAACACAAACAATAGTTTACTGACTCACTAACACAGACAATTGTTTATTGACTCACTAACACAGATGATAGTTTATTGACCCACTAACACAAATAATACTTTATTGACACATAAACATATACTATAGTTTATTGACTCACTAACACAGGGATGGTTCACTAACTTACTTACACAGGCAGTTGTTCTCTTATTGACTCGCTAACACACATGATGAGTTATTAACTCACTAACATAGAGAATGGTCCAGCGAAACACTAACCTTTGCAACGGTTTGGTGTATGATATGCTTGAAAACTGGAATCAAAACACATCCTGTCGCAAGCAGAAATATTCCGACCGATAGACACAGAGCTCTTTTCACCCTGGGAAGAACCATGCTACAAAAGCAGCACAAATAATCACAAGTTTCAACGCAAATAGAGGCCATTACAACAATTCGACACGGCAAACTATATGACAGATGTAGCGAGTGTATACAATCGTGTGTTACTGATGTCACTTATCAGGCTGGACCGTTATATAAAATCGGTACATTATCAGTGATAACCACAATCTGTAATCAAATTTATACAATGGTCAGATTGTGATATCAATAGAAACTGAAAGATAACTTTGTTTATCCACTATTTATAGCATATTAAAGACAAAAACCGCAACCTCGATAAAATAATGGTAAAACACGAAAAATACGGATGTCATCGAAATGTACAAGGAGAATAATACTAGTATTTCTGCGGAAGGGTAAACGTCTTCTGATTCATCGACGTGAGATTATAAATCCAATATATTCATTCATTTCTACCCTTGATGATAGCGCCCTGTTTGATAGGTTAATCCGTCTTTGTTTGAATGTAAGCATTATGTCAACTCATATTAGCCATTTTCATTTTTGTCTCTTCAGTGTTGTGACACTGCCATTTATCCAATACAACACAGCAAAAAGTAACAGCAATGTGAAAAGACGTAGAAATATCTAACACATTTTATCTTTGATATACTGATATTAAATGCCGAGAGATATATAACATTTCTGTTTCTAAACACGTTACACTTGACATTTAAAACAACCATTCTAGTGAAACTTCCGAACAGGGTAAAGCACCCACTATTTTAATGTGCAGTACATTAAATTTGGTTTCTTAACGCAATTTATAACTTTTTCTCTACATATTCTGTTAAAAAGTACACCCGACAGCTTGAAATTACAACAAATCTTTTTGGTCAAATTGAAAAACGCATATAAAGAAAAGAGTAATCCTAATTTATTTCATTAACAATAAAAGTGTGTTTAGTGTGCCAGCTGATAAGAAATTCATCGTAGATATAAATATATACCAGAATAAGTATTCAACGATTTTCACATTATATATCTGTATCGTTTCTACTTTCATTTGTACTAGTGCCGAGGAGCATAGCAGCAAAGACGCTACAAGACACAAGTGAGAAGAATGTCTAGCAGGAGGAGAAAAGTGGTCTCCGTAAATTGTTCACAATTATAACGGCACCAGTCTGGGTACCAGTGGCGGCCGTCGGAGGTTTGGTAGCTGCTCCATTCCAAGCGATAGGGGATTCGGTAGAAGACGGTGAGAAATCAGACAGCGCCGCAAAAGCCATTGGTACACTGCCAGGAAATGTGGTTGGAAGGACGGTTACCAACCCGTTCAAAGCCATTGGCAAAATTGGCGAGGCTATGTGGGACGATGACTAGATAGTAGGTGTGTTATTTTTTCAATGCAAACTTGATAAAAGAATACGTATCCTTTCATTTAGTTAATTGGATACTGGGTAGTGGAAGGTTATCTTTGAAATGCATATTACTTGTTTTGAATTCTGACAAATTGCGTTTGAGTTCAATTTGCTTATGAATAGGAACCCCAATATGCACCAACACTTGAAAAGCGATAAAAAATCGAGTTACCGCTGTGATACCAGGAATAACTTTGAACAACTTATCCAACAGTGTTCAGGTCTTTTTCTGCATAATATGATGAAGATAATCGAAACCTAATCACATAGCAGACATAACCAATTTTAACTTGAATTTGTACACCATCATTTCATTGCCCTGATCGAAAATGTCAGTGATTACAACTAGATTTTCTTTCTATTACAGATGAAGATTAACCAGGTTCATTAGAGCTGGAGTGTTTTCTGTTTGTCCAGATTGCTTATTTCAAACACAATCATAACACATATATGTCTTCTATCAAACACTGGAACGAAACCGTAATGAATGTAGCTGACGTGTATCAGGGAGGAAACGGCCGGGAAAAAGTCGTAGATGGTGATTTAATTGTGGACTTTCTGTTAACATTGTTTGGATTCACCAATTTAAATAGACTCGAGAACTAACGACATGATTTTGTTTTGACTTTTAATTGACACTAAACTATAAATTTTACACAGAAGTTTTAAACCAGCTGGCTAACTGAAAAGTGAAATTGAAAACTACATATAAAGAATAGAGTAATCCTAATTTATTTCAAGAACAAATGTGTGTTAAGTGTGCCAGGTGATACGAAATGCATCGTATATATTAATATACATCGGAATAAGTATTCAATGATTTTCACATTATATATAATTTGAAAGATTTAAATATGAAAGACATTTCCACGTCTCCAATATCTACAGCATTAGAATGGTTCCTATATTTCACAAATCATTTAGATTTTTCACTGATGACTCAGAGTAATGTGTATATTGATAGCTGATGATCTTACATAAAACTATTTTATCAGAAAGTGTATTCATTACAACAAAATCCTTTATTTCCTTGATGATAACATTCTGTTATATAGCTTAATACCACTTTGCTTGAATCAGAGCATTAAATTGAGCTCGAATTAGCCATTTTCGTTTTGTCTTCATTGTGATAATACCATCTTGAGTTTTGAATGTATCCATTTTACCGCATATTGATCACATCATTGGTTGTTAATACAAAATGTACATCAATCCAATAATAAAAAAATAACTTCATCTTCTTTTTCAAAAAGATGGACAGAGAAGGGAAAATTTGTGCTTCGCTGTCGGACTACATGGTGAGAATGTATTTACTGAAGTCAACAATACACCCAAAAAATATATTTTCTGAATTCCGGCATATCGATGTTGTTTGTCTAATATAACACAGGTAACAGCAATGTTTGAAAATGTTAAAAATACATTGTCTATGCTAAGCAAATAACACGAGGAGAGACTGGAAATATCTCTCATGGAATGACCACTACTTCCAGACCAAACACATCAGGAGCGATTAAACCTAATTTGGTCTCGTAAAATATTTTATAACTTTCTCTCTCCATATTCTCTACAGACATACATTTTGATCAAAGTTGAGTAGACCTTCGACTAACCGATGATGACTTATGTAGGTATGTTTAAGCACAATACATTACAGAGATTAAATTTAAATCTACGTCGTGTCTTGGATGGACGAACATTACTACGCATCGCGCCTTTTACCTGGAATCGTTACCAAAAATACAATAAATGGAAATCCTATCGTTACTACTTTCATTTGTATTAGTTCCGAGGAGCATAGAAGCAAAGACAATACAAGACACAAGTGAGAAAAATGTCTAGCAAGGGAGAGAAAAGTGGTCTCCGTAAATTGTTCACAATTATAACGGCACCAGTCTGGGTACCAGTGGCGGCCGTCGGAGGTTTGGTGGCTGCTCCATTCCAGGCGATAGGGGATTCGGTAGAAGACGGTGAGAAATCAGACAGCGCCGCAAAAGCCATTGGTACACTGCCAGGAAATGTGGTTGGAAGGACGGTTACCAACCCGTTCAAAGCCATTGGCAAAATTGGCGAGGCTATGTGGGACGATGACTAGATAGTAGGTGTGTTATTTTTTCAATGCGAACTTGATAAAAGAATACGTATCCTTTCATTTAGTTAATTGGATACTGGGTAGTGGAAGGTTATCTTTGAAATGCATATTACTTGTTTTGAATTCTGACAAATTGCGTTTGAGTTCAAATAATTTGCTTATGAATAGGAACCCCAATATGCACCAACACTTGAAAAGCGATAAAAAATCGAGTTACCGCTGTGATACCAGGAATAACTTTGAACAACTTATCCAACAGTGTTCAGGTCTTTTTCTGCATAATATGATGAAGATAATCGAAACCTAATCACATAGCAGACATAACCAATTTTAACTTGAATTTGTACACCATCATTTCATTGCCCTGATCGAAAATGTCAGTGATTACAACTAGATTTTCTTTCTATTACAGATGAAGATTAACCAGGTTCATTAGAGCTGGAGTGTTTTCTGTTTGTCCAGATTGCTTATTTCGAACACAATCATAACACATATATGTCTTCTATCAAACACTGGAACGAAATTGTAATGAATGTAGCTGACGTGTATCGGGGAGGAAACGGCCGGGGAAAAGTCGTAGATGGTGATTTAATTGTGGATTTTCTGTTAACATTGTTTGGATTCACCAATTTAAATAGACTCGAGAACTAACGACATGAACTTGTTTTGACTTTAAATTGACACTAAACTATAAATTTTACACAGTTTTAAACCAGCTGGCTAACTTAAAAGTGAAATTGGAAACTGCATATAAAGAATAGAATAATCCTAATTTATTTCAAGAACAAATGTGTGTTAAGTGTGCCAGGTGATACGAAATGCATCGTATATATTAATATACATCGGAATAAGTATTCAATGATTTTCACATTAAATATAATTTGAAAGATTTAAATATGAAAGACATTTCCACGTCTCCAATATCTACAGTATTAGAATGGTTCCTATATTTCACAAATCATGTTAGATTTTTTACTGATGACTCAGTTATGTGTATATTGATAGCTGATGATCTTAAATAAAACTATTTTATCAGAAAGTGTATTCATTACAACAAAATCCTTTATTTCCTTGATGATAACATTCTCTTATATAGCTTAATACCACTTTGCTTGAATCAGAGCATTAAATTGAGCTCGAATTAGCCATTTTCGTTTTGTCTTCATTGTGATAATACCATCTTGAGTTTTGAATGTATCCATTTTACCGCATATTGATCACATCATTGGTTGTTAATACAAAATGTACATCAATCCAATAATAAAAAATAACTTCATCTTCTTTTTCAAAAAGATGGACAGAGAAGGGACAATTCGTGCTTCGCTGTCGGACTACATCGTGAAAATGTATTTAATGAAGTCAACAATACACCCAAAAAATATATTTTCTGAATTCCGGCATATCGATGTTGTTTGTCTAATATAACACAGGTAACAGCAATGTTTGAAAATGTTAAAAATACATTGTCTATGCTAAGCAAATAACACGAGGAGAGACTGGAAATATCTCTCATGGAATGACCACTACTTCCAGACCAAACACATCAGGAGCGATTAAACCTAATTTGGTCTCGTTAAATATTTTATAACTTTCTCTCTCCATATTCTCTACAGACATACATTTTGATCAAAGTTGAGTAGACCTTCGACTAACCGATGATGACTTATTTAGGTATGTTTAAGCACAATACATTACAGAGATTAAATTTAAATCTACGTCGTGTCTTGGATGGACGAACATTACTACGCATCGCGCCTTTTACCTGGAATCGTTACCAAAAATACAATAAATGGAAATCCTATCGTTACTACTTTCATTTGTATTAGTTCCGAAGAGCATAGCAACAAAGACAATACAAGACAAAAGTGAGAAAAATGTCTAGCAAGGGAGAGAAAAGTGGTCTCCGTAAATTGTTCACAATTATAACGGCACCAGTCTGGGTACCAGTGGCGGCCGTCGGAGGTTTGGTGGCTGCTCCATTCCAAGCGATAGGGGATTCGGTAGAAGACGGTGAGAAATCAGACAGCGCCGCAAAAGCCATTGGTACACTGCCAGGAAATGTGGTTGGAAGGACGGTTACCAACCCGTTCAAAGCCATTGGTAAAGTTGGCGAGGCTATGTGGGACGATGACTAGATAGTAGGTGTGTTATTTTTTCAATGCGAACTTGATAAAAGAATACGCATCCTTTCATTTAGTTAATTGGATACTGGGTAGTGGAAGGTTATCTTTGAAATGCATATTACTTGTTTTGAATTCTAACAAATTGCGTTTGAGTTCAAATAATTTGCTTATGAATAGGAACCCCAATATGCACCAACACTTGAAAAGCGATAAAAAATCGAGTTACCGCTGTGATACCAGGAAAAACTTTGAACAACTTATCCAACAGTGTTCAGGTTTTTTTTTGCATAATATGATGAAGATAATCGAAACCTAATCACATAGCAGATATAACCAATTTTAACTTGAATTTGTACACCATCATTTCATTGCCCTGATCGAAAATGTCAGTGATTACAACTAGATTTTCTTTCTATTACAGATGAAGATTAACCAGGTTCATTAGAGCTGGAGTGTTTTCTGTTTGTCCAGATTGCTTATTTCAAACACAATCATAACACATATATGTCTTCTATCAAACACTGGAACGAAACCGTAATGAATGTAGCTGACGTGTATCAGGGAGGAAACGGCCGGGGAAAAGTCGTAGATGGTGATTTAATTGTGGACTTTCTGTTAACATTGTTTGGATTCACCAATTTAAATAGACTCGAGAACTAACGACATGAACTTGTTTTGACTTTTAATTGACACTAAACTATAAATTTTACACAGAAGTTTTAAACCAGCTGGCTAACTGAAAAGTGAAATTGGAAACTACATATAAAGAATAGAGTAATCCTAATTTATTTCAAGAACAAATGTGTGTTTAGTGTGCCAGGTGATACGAAATGCATCGTATATATTAATATACATCGGAATAAGTATTCATTGATTTTCACATTAAATATAATTTGAAAGATTTAAATATGAAAGACATTTCCACGTCTCCAATATCTACAGCATTAGAATGGTTCCTATATTTCACAAATCATGTTAGATTTTTCACTGATGACTCAGAGTAATATGTATATTGATAGCTGATGATCTTACATAAAACTATTTTATCAGAAAGTGTATTCATTACAACAAAATCCTTTATTTCCTTGATGATAACATTCTGTTATATAGCTTAATACCACTTTGCTTGAATCAGTGCATTAAATTGAGCTCGAATTAGCCATTTTCGTTTTGTCTTCATTGTGATAATACCATCTTGAGTTTTGAATGTATCCATTTTACCGCATATTGATCACATCATTGGTTGTTAATACAAAATGTACATCAATCCAATAATAAAAAATAACTTCATCTTCTTTTTCAAAAAGATGGACAGAGAAGGGAAAATTTGTGCTTCGCTGTCGGACTACATGGTGAGAATGTATTTACTGAAGTCAACAATACACCCAAAAAATATATTTTCTGAATTCCGGCATATCGATGTTGTTTGTCTAATATAACACAGGTAACAGCAATGTTTGAAAATGTTAAAAATACATTGTCTATGCTAAGCAAATAACACGAGGAGAGACTGGAAATATCTCTCATGGAATGACCACTACTTCCAGACCAAACACATCAGGAGCGATTAAACCTAATTTGGTCTCGTTAAATATTTTATAACTTTCTCTCTCCATATTCTCTACAGACATACATTTTGATCAAAGTTGAGTAGACCTTCGACTAACCGATGATGACTTATTTAGGTATGTTTAAGCACAATACATCACAGAGATTAAATTTAAATCTACGTCGTGTCTTGGATGGACGAACATTACTACACATCGCGCCTTTTACCTGGAATCGTTACCAAAAATACAATAAATGGAAATCCTATCGTTACTACTTTCATTTGTATTAGTTCCGAAGAGCATAGCAACAAAGACAATACAAGACACAAGTGAGAAAAATGTCTAGCAAGGAGGGGAAATTCACTGAAGTAAAAAAATGCACCCAAAAATATATATATATATATTTTAAATTCCTGCATATCCATACTTTTTATCTAAAAAAGACTTTTTGCTTTTAAGTTTAATCTTACCGCCCTCGCTTACTTACATTATACCTGGTTCTGTATTGTTATATTTACTCAGTATCTCAGTCATAAGTTACAACAACTACAGTGCTGAGTAAGCAATTCATGCAATGTTGTGATACCCAATCACTCTCCACGATGTTGTGTCGTTGATGTGTATGCTCTATGTGATATGTAAAATCTGGTTGGCCGAAATGACAAAGAAATATATAAACTATACTGAACTGGAACAAATATCAAAATGGTGGAGCAACACACCCCTAGGCCAACTGTGGGAGCAATTTTGATTTCCCAGAAGTGACAATCTCAACAGAAGTATTTGAATGTGGTTTATTTTTTAGACACTTTTCCAAGACCTACCTGCGCACATGGACCCTTGGACCCTCTTGCTGGGTTTATTTTCAATGGCAGAGTATTATTTATATACTGAATATAGCTAATATAGCTTATTGTGATGCCATTTAAATGACGTCATACATTCACATAAGGTATGGTGGCAAGAGATGGTAGATATAGAACAGACAAGTTCCCGCGACTAGCTGTTTCCCTCTTTGACGTTGAAAATGGATCCTGGGTCAATTTTCAATGTGGCTGCACTTTAAACTTTACACCAGCTTTATCACACCAACTTTTCATATAAAATTCAAAGTGACTTTTATCGTGTTAAGATGGAGAGTCCTTACACGTCTAGTGGTTCTATAACACCTAGATAAATAAGCCTTATATCTGTCTACAAACTTCAGAACACCATTGTTATTACCCAAAGGGTTGGTCTCTATATGCTTATATGGCTGCGAAGCAGAGGATGTCTATTTACCTGTGGTGAATACCTAGATGTAACACCCCAACCCTTCCCAATCAAACTGAAAGAGTTAAAGTTATATCATTGAGCTGGCACATTAAAATCTTGAAATACCATTTATAGAAATTGTTTGTACATTATCCAGCACTCGGGTCCCTAAAACAATATAGACAAAAATAGATATACTTGCTGCCAAGAGGAACAGTCTAAACCTCTAGTACTGATGAAATGCTGGAACACCTTAATGGACAATCTCTTGAACATGGAAGCAAAGTTAAGCGGCTACCAGATAATAAAATATGATCCCTACAAGATTAAACAAGACGTAAAAAATATTTTTTGTGGTGGAAATTTCTGTTTTGTGGTAAAATAAAGTGCTTAGATTTATTGTACATATACAAATATATCATGTTGTATCTTGTAAGACCTGTTATCTGACCTTCCATACAAGACACGCATCAGAACTCCCATCTAACTCTTCCATATAGGGCAGAATTAGTTAATGCTGTGACCTGTAAGATTGCACCTACATTGTACAGTGAGGTGAAAAGAATGATCGTGCTGTTGAGACTTTGCTGATTGTGTCACGTGAAAATCTACTTGTCCAAGAATATTACTGAACTCCACCAAAAGGTTTCATACCAGTAATAGGTTATTTGAAGATCTTACAATATTGAACCTGGTGACATTATATGAAGTGCTTTTCTTGAGAATGTGTCAGATATGTCTGTATCTCAGCGGTTTTGTATCTAACCTCTATAAAATCATCATTTTATTTATGGTAGAACTGTATACTTTTACAGGAAGATTTCAACTTTATCTCTGCATACTTTTGGCTAAAATTATGAATCTCCTGAATATCATACAGCTGGAATTTTTTGCGGATCAAAATTTTTGTGATATTCTTCTAAAACGATTAAATTATATTCTAAAATATAGCGCTCTTGATGTAAAAGGACATCTTATTCACAAATATCTCATTATTTTATAGAATGAATTTTTGGAATCACTTTAATATACTGCAAAGTAGCAAAAATATCATCCCCACAATAATATCCTGCTATATGGAAACACATGAGATTTTCAACACCTTAATTGAGGGTTAAATTCACTAACTTGAATGATTGATAACCGTTAATTATCACGGCTTGAAGCATTTAGAAGAACAATAACGTTGACAAACAATATATCAGACACTACGAGATTCATCGACAAAATTGAAAAATATCATCGTATACAAAAGAAAACAGAAAACATGTATAGACTGATGCATTTGTTATATTTATTTACGACCTTTAATGCTGGAATATCTAAATAGTTACCATAGTAACCAGTACAGCAAGGCTACAGTATATTTACTGAGTAGGGTTTCTTAATCAGGAATACAGTCCTTGCACTTTACAACCATGTTCCTAATGACTAACTTCACAGGAAATTCATGTTTTCTCTCCATCCACACGATAGCAATATATATTATACAGATACATCCTGTTTTTGGGAGCCAATTATTTCCTTTAATATTGCAGATAAGTATAAAAATAACTGATGGCTGAGAGCACTAGGGGTAAGCTCCCTGTAATTTAAGCAACAAAAGATTAGAATTTCCTTCGCCAACTAAAATTTATCACATGATTGTCTTGTTATTTAGTGAAAATAAAAATACACTTCTTCATATCTTTTGCATATTGAATACCTATGATATAGGTTAATGTGGTGTTATCTAAATGACGTCATACATTCACAAAAGGCATTGTGACAGAGCAAGAGACGCTAGATATAGAACAGACACAACCTCATGTCTGACATAGAAATGTCTGTTTTATACGGTAGATATAGAACAGACACAACCTCATGTCTGTTTTCTACCATATAATATAACAGTAGATATAGAACAGACACAACCTCATGTCTGACACAGAAACGTCTGTTTTATACGGTAGATATAGAACAGACACAACCTCATGTCTGACATAGAAACGTCTGTTTTATACGGTAGATATAGAACAGACACAACCTCATGTCTTACATAGAAACGTCTGTTTTATACGGTAGATATAGAACAGACACAACCTCATGTCTGGCATAGAAATGTCTGTTTTATACGGTAGATATAGAACAGACACAACCTCATGTCTGACATAGAAACGTCTGTTTTATACGGTAGATATAGAACAGACTCAACCTCATGTCTGACATAGAAACGTCTGTTTTATACGGTAGATATAGAACAGACACAACCTCATGTCTTACATAGAAATGTCTGTTTTATACTGTAGATATAGAACAGACACAACCTCATGTCTGGCATAGAAATGTCTGTTTTATACGGTAGATATAGAACAGACACAACCTCATGTCTGACATAGAAACGTCTGTTTTATACGGTAGATATAGAACAGACTCAACCTCATGTCTGACATAGAAACGTCTGTTTTATACGGTAGATATAGAACAGACACAACCTCATGTCTGACATAGAAATGTCTGTTTTATACTGTAGATATAGAACAGACACAACCTCATGTCTGACATAGAAACGTCTGTTTTATACGGTAGATATAGAACAGACACAACCTCATGTCTGTTTTCTACCATATAATATAACAGTAGATATAGAACAGACACAACCTCATGTCAGGCATAGAAATGTCTGTTTTATACGGTAGATATAGAACAGACACAACCTCATGTCTGTTTTCTACCATATGATATAACAGTAGATATAGAACAGACACAACCTCATGTCTGGCATAGAAATGTCTGTTTTATACGGTAGATATAGAACAGACACAACCTCATGTCTGACATAGAAATGTCTGTTTTATACGGTAGATATAGAACAGACACAACCTCATGTCTGGCATAGAAATGTCTGTTTTATACGGTAGATATAGAACAGACACAACCTCATGTCTGGCATAGAAATGTCTGTTTTATACGCTAGATATAGAACAGACACAACCTCATGTTTGTTTTATACGGTAGATATAGAACAGACACAACCTCATGTCAGGCATAGAAATGTCTGTTTTATACGGTAGATATAGAACAGACACAACCTCATGTCTGGCATAGAAATGTCTGTTTTATACGGTAGATATAGAACAGACACAACCTCATGTCTGGCATAGAAATGTCTGTTTTATACAGTAGATATAGAACAGACACAACCTAATGTCTGACATAGAAATGTCTGTTTTCTACCATATAATATAACAGTAGATATAGAACAGACACAACCTCATGTCTGACATAGAAATGTCTGTTTTATACGGTAGATATAGAACAGACACAACCTCATGTCTGACATAGAAATGTCTGTTTTATACGGTAGATATTGAACAGACACAACCTCATGTCTGACATAGAAATGTCTGTTTTATACGGTAGATATAGAACAGACACAACCTCATGTCTTACATAGAAATGTCTGTTTTATACGGTAGATATAGAACAGACACAACCTCATGTCTTACATAGAAATGTCTGTTTTATACGGTAGATATAGAACAGACAAAACCTCATGTCTGACATAGAAATGTCTGTTTTCTATCATATTTGCTGGGATAATGGATCATGTGATAAAAATATGAAGTTCATCTCCATTTATTGTGTAGCTGATACAAATTTTTTCATTCCAGATTGCCAAAGGCTCACTAAAGTGAAAAATTCTGTAACACAAATGGAAGCCAATGTAAGATCCGATATATTTGTTTGAAAAGAGAAAATATTGCATGTAATAATGTGTAGTGGTAAAAATGCTCAAGACAATTTTTGATTTCTCAGAAACTTACTCAACAATAAAATGGTGGTCAAATGCAATTAAGAAAAATTCCAAACAATTTCGAACTTGTTGATGATTACAACAAAGTAATGGGACTCTCTTCCTTAATAGATTTGTATCAGGTTTTAATCAAGCTTTAAATATGTCCATAGCATTCCCTCTGAACACCACTGAAAACAAATAACAAACCATTTCTCATGCCAAGAAAGTCATATATAATTGTATATGAATTAGATTATGTTGAACAACTAGGTTCCTCCTAAGTAATACTGTACAGTCCTTCTGAACTGACGGAGCTTCAGGTAAACCAATGTGCATGGCTTTTATAAATCTGAAAACTGGTTCAACTTGCTCTAATTGAAAAAAACATACCCACATATTTATTTCTTTTTATTAAACTCTGATAAATACTATCCTAAGTACACTGTAACACTAGAGAGAACTTCCCTTCATCATGAGACCAGTAAACCAGAGGTCCTGGGTTGGATTCCTATATGTTATACTTATTGATACAGTAGTAGAAAATCACCAGTGAATCATTTATTCTTCAGCAGAAAGAGCAGCAGTTGTTTGAAGGTCATAAAAATGTCTGACATTTATGTTAAATTCTTCTCACTACATTAAACAGGCAGAAACAGATAATTTCCGACCTGACAAACACACTTGTGACAAAACGGAATGATCAAACCTGCTTTATGTACCTAAAGATAATGTAATAGAAAGGCACCAAATGATGTAAGAAAATGCACCAAATAAATATAAACAAGTGAATGAATTATAAATAGTAAACAAAATCATTAGTAACATGTCTGTATCTAAGTGAATTATATTGCATCAACATGGCTTTTCATACAACCATTATTTGCTTGTAGGGTTTATAGCCCTATGAATGGTTCTGGGTCATTTTGAGGTCGTTTGTAATGACTACCTCACTGAACAACATACAAGAGGTCCATCACACAACATCCAATACAATAATGGTAAATTGTCTTGTCGATGGACACAACCATGTCAGCACACACCAAACCGTTATTCAGCTCCCTGAGAAACACCAACAAAGCGTTGAACTACGCACCTCTGATCTCTACCTGAGGTTAAGTATGCCATCACTCTAACAGACTCAAATATCATGGGTGGCTACCATGAACCTACAATGAATGATATATGTGTGTGCACACCAGTCAGAAGGTTTACCCTGAGGTAATCCTGCTGGATAATGTTGTATTGTTTTTTAATCTTTCTGTTCAAACTTAGTCTATGACTAGAAGTAAAGCGTACCAATATCTTCAAACCCATATAATTGTATGTGTACGTAACAGTGTGATGATTAATCCACCTAGTTGTCCTTCATTTCTAAACAATTGTGAGGTAATGTCTTGTATCCACATCATCAGAAAGGTGTTGGAACCAAAACCACTTCTACCCTTGTGATAAAATATTAAGACAAGGATTGATGATGAGGAGTGACTTCATATATTATGCTCACAAAGACAGAATATTTACAAACATATGTTCTGAATACTCAACAGGACTGGATAAGTGAGGTATTTCATTAGAAGGCAGAAATAAAGCACCATGTAAAAAAACTTGTTGAAAGAATTACAGCATTATATATATACAGTAGGAAAAGTAACAGGGAACATTTTGGTAGAAAATATTGATTCAGGAAGACAATAATAAGGGGAAAAAACTCTATATGGATAAACTGTAATAAAATAATTTGCACCAACAATAAATTTACACTTTGTTACAGTTACTGTTTACAGTTAAGAAAATAACAATGTTGTATTGTAAGACTAAATATACAAATATAGAAATGACTACCTAATTAGTTTGGTTTATCAGTGTGCTGGGCTTACTACCCCTTGAACACCCAGGGTTATTTTGAGGCAGGTCTCCCTTGTTGTAGCTGGTAGCTACTTTACTGAACAACATCCAGGAGGCCCATCACACACCATCCTGAGGAAAAAAATAAAGAGCCTTGCCGAAGGACACACAACAACCCAAACCAGTTCCTGTCTCATTTTCCTGAGAAACATAAACTGCTGTTGGTAGGGACCATCACACCAATATGTACTGACATATATAGTACACAGTACTAACAATGAAAATGTTGAAAAATCAAACAAAATATTAAAATCAACATGATGATGAAGCATTACTAATGTGTTTTATCATATTATTGCTATATACTGATCAGCCAGCTTCTACATATGTATGCCCACTGACTAACAAAAGTATGTAAGCCTATTGACTCACATATACAAAAAAGTCTGTTGACTCACATATACAAAAAAGTCTGTTGACTCACAAATGTATGTAAGACTATTGACTCACATATACAAAAGCCTATTGACTAACATATACAAAAGTCTATTGACTCACATATACAAAAAAGTCTGTTGACTCACAAATGTATGAAAGACTATTGACTCGCATATACAAAAAAAGGTCTATTGACTCATAAATGTATGTAAGCCTATTGACTCACATATACAAGAAAGTCTATTGACTCACAAATGTATGTAAGCCTATTGACTCACATATACAAAAGCCTACTGACTCTCAAATGTATGTAAACCTATTGACTCACAAATGTATGTAAGACTATTGACTCGCATATACAAAAAAAGTCTATTGACTCATAAATGTATGTAAGCCTATTGACTCACATATACAAGAAAGCCTATTGACTCACATATACAAAAGCCTACTGACTCTCAAATGTATGTAAACCTATTGACTCTCAAATGTATGTAAGACTATTGACTCAAATATACAAAAGTCTATTGACTAACATATACAAAAGTCCATTGACTCACATAAACAAAAGGCTACTGACTCACAAATGTATTTAAGCCTATTGACTCACATATACAAAAGTCTATTGACTCACAATTGTATGTAAGCCTTTTGACTCACGTATACAAAAGCCTACTGACTCTCAAATGTATATAAACCTATTCACTCTCAAATGTATGAAAGTCTATTGACTCACAAAATTATATATGCCTATTGACTCTCAAACGTATCTAAACTTATTGACTCACATATGTATAAAAATCTACTGACTCACACTTAACACTATTTTTCCTGCATTTACAGCAGTATGAATGTAATAGGATAGTGACATTAATGTAGAAAATATAAACCAGGAAAAAACAAGGAAATAATTCCTGATCAACATTAAACAGTGACACATAAAAACTGATAAAAAATCTGCACCAAAAAAAGTTACAACAGACAATAGATAGGATTATTTATAAGTTAGATACAGGTAACCACAGCCATCTCATGACCAGTGTAAACATTGGATGTATTGTTGTTTTACATCCTGCCAGTTTGGGTGACTCAAGGACATGCCAGGTATGGATGGTGGAGGAAAGCCAGAGTTCCCGCGGAAAAAACACTGACCTTCAGTCAATACCTGACAATTGCCCCACATAGGCCTCAAGCCAGCGGCCAACAGTCACAGGGCTAGTGACAAAGACAGTCAGAGACCTCGACCACCATGAGTCTTCTAAAGACATGATACATAGTACAAAAAAGAAATTATTAATTAATCTGATAATTGAAATATATTAATGGTATAAAGAAAATGCTATCTGATCTGGAAATTTAAACTGAAACATATCTTTATGGTATATGAAATCTTAAAACACACCAGGAACAAAAGAAAGTGACTCAAAAATCAATATTAGCAACGTAATGTAAGGTTGAAATGGATCATGCACATAACCTTGTTTATATTTTTCAAAACCTCCTTCATATTAATCATAAAATGATGAACATTAATACATATCATGAACAACTGAAACACAATTATGATGCTCTCATCTGGATTACTCAAATGGTGAGAGATTTTTCTTGTCAAAGAAAATATCTATCAAAAGTCAACAAATTAAGTAATGTTTTATAAATAACCTGTAATTTAACTCACTTAACACACATCAAGACATTACAGGAGGTAGTTACTTTAATCTTATTCTAATATCCTACTTCTGTAAGTTTTCTGTGTCTGTCCATACAATCTTGCTTGCAAATGTCTTTTTTTTTAATGAATGGACCAAAATTCTGAGGACAACAAGAAATTTGCTAAAAACATCCAAGCAATATAAATTTACAGATCAGTTCTAACTGAGGAGGTTCCTTGACTTCAATCTATTTATGTCGGTCTTCAATACACCAAGGGAGGTAATCCAGTAATGTCATCGCAACATTGCGTCAAAACATCTTGAGTAAATAGATTAAATACCACAGTAAAAATAAACTTAGCAATATTGCACACACATGCATACATGATTTATCACAGTGTCGCTATATTCCAAGGCAACTCCTTTTTCAGAGACAGAGGATGGATTTGTCAAAAAAAAAAAAAAAAAAAAAATTTGAAATTAAATTAAAATGGTATTCTTCTTCTGTACTACATCAATTATTCACTTTTAAATTATTCTTGTGAAAAATTCACTGATAACTGAGCTATCCTGAAATCATCATCTGCTGACACATTTTGTCTGAATTGTTCCTAATTCATCTAAAAGAGCTCAACTAATGCCTAACAAAAGGTTGTTCATTGTACTGAAGTTCCTAACACTTGAAAGTAAGTCTGCTATGTAAAGTATTTGAACCACATTTTGGATTATTATTACATTTCCTCAAAAGAACAAAAAAAAAAAAAAAAAAAAGCAAAAACCCTTACAATAAGAATAAAATCTCAAAACGACATAAAAAAATTTTCAATTGAAAAAAAAAAAAAAATTCAGCTGTACTTGAATGTGTAATTTAATGTAACAAAACATTTGCTTTTCATACAAAAGCTTGTATTCAAATTTTAACACAATTTAAGTCAGGTTTAATGATATCCTTAATGTCCATGGCAGTTGTTTTTCTACATGTTTTGATCATTAGGCAATCATGATAAAAAAATCACAAAAATCTCTACAGAATACCATATGTTAGCCATCCAGAAATGTTTTGATACCTTGTGAACTCTGGTTTTCCTACTTTATCCTTGTTCTGCATTTACCCAATAAAAGTAGTCCATTTTAAGTCTTGATATTGAAGAAGCCAAACATATCTGTATCATCTAAAGCCTAAAGCTACATATTCCTTTTATTACCAAGTTACAACATCAGGTCAATAGTGAAACATCATTATGTCTAATTTTTGTTCAACCAAAAATTTCTACTGTCATAAAAAACAGTCAACATGAAGATAAAATACAGATATAAGGCATGTGGTGTCAGGAAAATAACTTGATGAGCATTGTTTTAACATGATGTAAATTTTTATAAAACTTGGTCATGTTAGACCAAACAAAATAAGGCAGGGTGTGATATAGAACACAGCTTTCTAAAATGTTATGTGCTGGTAATATCCACTGCAAGTTGCTGAAAAATTTGATAATTTTAATATAAATTTCCCCTGTTTATTCAGATAGCAAAGGGATATAACTCAAGCAGACAGAAATGTAAATTGTATGCTCATGAAAGTTATATTTACAACCTTTTTTATGTATTAATAAACATTACCTAATCAACTTTATCAAATTCATATCCAGAAATAAAACAAGATTTTTATTTAATCCAGTATTAATAATTTTTTTTTGATTACCATAAGGCCCTTTGATTTCCCCTGATTTTATAAAGATGGACTCTGCCTCATCTGGGCTTCTGTCCTCACAAGAGGGGATATGTTTTCCCTGGTATGAGAACAACCTTTCCAGAAAGGAGATGACTACTGTTACAATCACACCAATTTTCCCATGATGCCCTGTTATGTTTGTATGAGGTTTGTTCTCTCTGTATCTGGACGGTCATTAGTTAACCTCTCATTTGGAATGTCTACAAGTACGTCAGCTTTCTGAAAAAAATAAGGAAAAAATAAAATCATTCTTCTTTATTTATCAAATTACTAGGTGACATAGAATTCAGTTTATTTTAACCCTATAATTCAAATAAAATATCTTCCTTACTTAATTGCTTAAGACATCAAGTTTATATCAATTTTGAAATAATCTGAAGTTTAATGAGCATGTGGATGTTTGTTAGCATGATAAACAAACTGTTAAACAGATGTACAAGTAAAATCCAAAGACCTTTGAGATCATTAATTTAAGAAATATCTATGAACAGTGTGTTAACAACATAAGTCAATGATGAAGCATACAATCTACCCAGTCCACATCAAAATCATTTTACTCTCATATCTCAGCAATAAAAATGATTTTGAGTAAAATTCATAATTGTCAAATTTTCTGCCATTGCATTTGGTTAAACAGTCTAATGTACAGTCAAATAAAGATATGAAACACAATTCAATCCCTGTAACTGGTTACCTTCTGAGTCACTTTGTGTTTGATGAAGAAGGCCAAGGCACAGATAAAGAGGAATGCTCCAATGACAATGAGACCATACTGGACTGCCTGTGTGATCTTTATTGGAGTCACCAGACTTGTCTTGTATTCATTGGCTGACTTATCATCTATCAAGGCACTCTATAGAGAGATTGGAAATCAGTTAAAATCCTTCATAGAATATCAGTTAAAATTAGAGAGGCTTATCAATGATGACGGGAAACTGTGACACTACCCCCAAGTCCCTAGGGGTTGAATCAAAATTCTGAATTTAAGAAAATTTGCCAATCCCTACTGATGTTACAGACAAAAATTGAATGAAATCCACTCAAGCATTAAGGAAGAGCAGCATTTTGATACAAAGCATTGTCTAATTACCCTTTTGGAGCCACATACCCAGGTCCCTGGGGGTTGAATAGAAGAAATGATCCCTGCCCCCCATGATGTTTCTGACCAAATGTGGTTGAAATCTGCCGACACGTTAAGCAGGAGTAGTGTTTTTAACGAAAAATTTACTGACGGCAAATGATGCATGATGATGCACAACACCAAATACTTGTATCTCTCTATGGAGTAAGTTATAATGTTCACATATTCCTACTTTTTAAGACAAATTATTCACTGCAATAAATCAATATACTTACCTCATTAAGCCACATGATTGGGAAAAAAACATCCTTTATATTTGAAGTAGATCTGTAAATTCAATAATAATTCATGACAGTTATGATGAAGTTTTTAGGAGCAGTGAAGCTGGGCTGCTTTGCTATCATAGTAAAACTAAAACCTAAAATCATTCCTGCTGTACTTAGTACATTGACATCAGTGGGTTTTTCTAATAAGAATTTAACTATGTAAACTGTCTAAAATAGAGAAGAATTTTTCAGTATTAGACAAATTTCAAATTTGTAAGAAAATCAAAATGTTTAACTGGATATATTTGGTATTTTCTGTTTTGCTAAATCACTGAAGAATGATACAAAAATAACTTCAGCATCAGTAACAAAACTTTAGTACAGAAATCCTCTCAATAATGCAAAATTAATCTTTGTAGAACTTCAAATAGCAAAAATAATCTACCATCTTCACCGTAAATCTGTGTGTACTTTGTAACTACAATGTATATGTTTATCTTATTGAAGCAAGGTCATACTTACTTGAAATTATCTACTTTTTGTAAAAAAGCATTAAGCTGAAGTTTTTTCTCTGCATTCATCACAACTCCTGTCAGCTGTGGATGGGAAAAGTGAAAATGCAAGCCATGTACTATAATTAGCAATAATGTATTTATAACACTGCCTCCTACATTATACAGCACGATAGGAGCACCTGTTTATAACACTGCCTTATACATTATACAGCATGATAGGAGCACCTGTTTATAACACTGCCTTATACATTATACAACACGTTAGGAGCACCTGTTTATAACACTGCCTTATACATTATACAGCATGATAGGAGCACCTGTTTATAACACTGCCTCCTACATTATACAGCACGATAGGAGCACCTGTTTATAACACTGCCTTATACATTATACAGCATGATAGGAGCACCTGTTTATAACACTGCCTTATACATTATACAACACGTTAGGAGCACCTGTTTATAACACTGCCTTATACATTATACAACACGATAGGAGCACCTGTTTATAACACTGCCTTATACATTATACAGCACGATAGGAGCACCTGTTTATAACACTGCCTTTTAGATACCGTTCATTGTTACAGAAAGTATTGGATGTATTTCATGAATGCAGTTTTTTGAAAGTTTTCAGACAACATGGTCAAGGTTTTCTGTTCCTTGGTCTTGCAGATATCATGGCACACCATTCTGTTTTATAAATCACTTGACACTTTTCATATATTGCTACTGTAAACCAAACATGGTTAAAATCTGATAAACTTTTTGAACAATTAGTAGTTGAAAATACTCTGGCACTTTTCCAAGTAAAAGCTAAATTTCAATTTCTGAATTTTCATGAATTTTATGAATCAATTATGAAAAAAGCTTCCATTTTTCAATCATAAAAGAAAATCTGAGAAAACAAAATTGAACCCTTACTGGATCTACATCCAGGACTGTTTGGTGTTCCTCTTTGTTTGGGTGCATCCCGATCACCCCATTAATGACTTCATCATCTGCCTGGAGGAAGTGTGGATTAGAAATCACCACAGGAGCACCTGTTGTAATAATACAATCATCAAATGTCAATGTTTTGTTTTGGAAAATGATGTCATTTACATATTGTCTAAAATTTCAACAGCAGAAGATATTTAAAAAATTCATATAACCCTGGTAATTAAAAAAATGTTGAGTGTAAACCTAGGGCCCAAGTGAATCTGTAGTAGAGAAATGAAATAATTACAAGCTTATTCATCAGTATGTTAAATTGTGTGGATATTATGACAGCAATCTATCCATTCATGGTTGTTATTCGCTCTGCTTTAGTGGTAATATTGACCATAGAACAACAAATTAATGGCAGACAGCTATCTGAATTGCATTCTTCAATCTTCATCAATTGAGCCATTACCCAATAGTGGTTGACTGAATGTTATTGAATTATCAAGACTCATTAAATTCCAAAATAGCAGACAAATACACAATGTACTAATGAAAACAAAGTAAGCAGTGGCTAACATAGATATACCATGACCCCTTAATCAAAGTGGTAAAGAGTGACCTTTGACCTTTAACCTTGACCAATGACCATCAATATTAAATTTGGTGAAGACCTAGGTGGTATGATGTGAATATGAAACAAAACTGTTGAGGAGTATGAGATATCTTGTTAGTTACCACTAACAGATAATGTGACCACTTCACCCATACATAAGTAAGGAGTATAATATTCTAACGTCATTCACAGATTTGTCTCTTGTTGTACCTTGTTTTCTCTGTCATCCCCCGGTTATAACAAATTGCATGTGCTCGGACGCTACATTTTCTGTAGCATAACCACATCCCACATTTTAATGAGTGATTAATGATGGTGGAATGAAAAGTTTTCACAATAACTAACAATTGGTTACTAGTAAATCTCGTCCTGATAACCCAATATCACACTTGGGTTGAGATGTCCCTGTCCAGTGAAGTCCCATGTAAGATTCTATTCAACACAAAGGGGAGACAACCAATATCTTACACTTGGGTTGAGATGTCCCTATCCAGTGAAGTCCCATGTAAGATTCTATTCAACACAAAGGGGAGACAACCAATATCTTACACTTGGGTTGAGATGTCCCTGTCCAGTGAAGTCCCATGTAAGATTCTATTCAACACCAAGGGGAGAAGACCAAAATCATACCTGACTTGCACACACTAATGTTGAGAACACCAGATGGAAGACAATGACCTGGTGGAGAGCAGAACCCAGCATTATTCTCATTTAGAGACGCTCTTTCAAACACCTTTGGTGGTACAGTGAAGTGATACAAGTTGATTCCCTTCAGTTTAATATCACTTTCATAAGCTGCATAGATAGATCTGTCAACGAACAAAATTTTGTAAAAAGCCGTTTCTGCAGCAACATAAATCATCATAAATCGAAAGTCTAGAATGCAAAATAAAAACATCGCATGATATAACAATAATTAAATAAATCAACAGATGTTTTTCATGTGCTGTTGATCAAGATGAAAACTCCTCCTTTTTATGAGTTGTATATATTTTGATGTCACAAACTGCTAATGACTAGGTGGAAAACAAAGGAAACAGAATTTTTCTTTCTCTCCTTTTTTTTTTTTTTTAAATGCTCTTTGGGAAAACAACATTGAGGGATACTATTTCAGTCAGCCCTGGAAAATAGACTGAATCCTACAGCAGATTTAGTTGTTTATCAATAATATTCAGCATTTCCATCAAAATATGAATGACTACCATTTACAGAACACAGTCTAAAGTAGTTATAAGTACAATTCAGAGTTCTCATGAGTCCGAAAGAGGTTTCCATAAAACAAAAGAACTAACCATCACCACATATTTGTACCGAACGTAATTCTGACCATACAATTTTCAAATTGTAAAAGTAAATAAATGATTTAGTAAGAAGGTAAATTTACCTGCAGATGTCTGTGGAGAAGATGTACAGTTTATCTGACTTTTCTAGAAAAGGAGGAAACATTGTCCCATCTGAAAAAAAGAAAGAAAATGGAGAATGTTTCTAAAAATTATAATACTTAAATATAAACAGTTTAGTCAATAGAACCCTATCTTAGCCGTTCTAGTCCGGTCAGCAAACAATGATTGAGGTTTATATGAATCATGATGATATTGAAATGGTTTTCAATATGCAAAAAAGAAAAGCACTGAACATTAAAAACAAAATTAGTCAATCTTACATACTTATGTTTGTCAGAGTATGACAGGGCGGTGTGATTTGCTGGGGCCTTGGGACAGTATTCTGCAGTTTGGTAGTAATGTAATGTAAACTCCAGATCCACACCATTGCAATAAGACTTACATGAAAATATCACAGCCTTGAATAAACACATGTACTCAACATGGGTACTCACATACCTGGAGAGGTGGTCAGTAGACATGGACTGGACGTTAAGCAACATGAATACATCACATCACTATTTATGGTAAAAGTTACTTACCAGTTCCATTAATCATGTCACAGAAGTCTGTATTCCAGTATCCAAGTCTCCTAAAACACCAGCATAACAATAAGTTTTATACCATAAATCTCTTTACGCAGTGCATGTTAATATATGTGAAGAACTTCTACAATACACAGTCAAAAAACTTGACAAAGCATTTTTTACATACAATGTGATCATATTGTGTTGGGAGTCACAGATTTAGTCACAAACATTTATTCATACAGCATGTTCATACTGTGTTGGGGGTCACAGATTTAGAAACAAACATTTTTTCATACAGCATGTTCATACTGTGTTGGGGGTCACAGATTTAGTCACAAACATTTTATCTCTTTAATAAACATTTTAAAATGACAGAAAAACAACATAGATATATTTATAGCTTATCAAAGAACTTACTGTTTATAATTCCATTTGTTTATAAGATTGAACTTGTCAATTCCCTGAACATCTGATCCAGTGAAAATAGTGTATAGGCCATCATCTGAGCCATTATTCTGTTTAACAAATAACATCAAAATAAAAATTAACGTTATTTCAAATCCATTCTATTCCATTATAACTAGTATGATACAATAAGTATGCCCCTATTTCTTCATCTAAAAATAGTCACCAGGTCTCTTATATACTAAATTTACCATAGATGCACACAAAGTCGGCATGAATGGATTGACAATCTACATATTTTTCAGTGATAAATATTTATGCACAACTGTGACATTTCAAATTGACAAGGTGTTATTCCAAATGTTACGTGACAATTCCATTGAAGTTTTTGGTTTTTTTTTAATGAATACAAGAGAACCCAGAGGGATCTGTGCACCCACCAGTGTTTAATCTTTATTTATTATTTTAAAAGTTGAATGTTTCTCTTAATTTCTCTATTAATATATCAATATATTAGTCTTAGACTAGTATGTAAATATCTCTAATTCATTGTTATACAGGTAAATATCTCTAATTCATTGTTATACAGGTAAATATCTCTAATATTCATTGTTTTACAGGTAAATATCCCTAATTCATTGTTATACAGGTAAATATCTCTATTTCATTGTTATACAGGTAAACATCTCTAATTCATTGTTATACAGGTAAATATCTCTAATTCATTGTTACTCACATTCAAGAACAAACCAAATTCATCAGGAAGTGTGTGATTAAACCGTTCAGCAATTTCTTTAATAGATTTCAATAGAGCATCTTCATAGCCCCACAGTATGTCTGCAATAGACAGCTTCAAAAATAGTTCTGCATCGCCAACAGCTTCCAGCAATGCATCAACGAATGCTTGAAGCCAGCCATATTCAAATCGAATCAACTCAGCTATTGTCTGTAACAGAGGTGATAAAAAAATTTGAGTGAAGGAAACAACATTTCCTTACATTTGACATGTATAGCAATGCTTTTACCAGTACTCTGGACAGGTGTATCATTGTTTTTAACAGTACTCTGGACAGGTGTATCATTGTTTTTAACAGTACTCTGGACAGGTGTATCATTGTTTTTAACAGTAGTCTGGACAGGTATATCAATGTTTTTAATAGTTCTCTGGACAGGTGTATCAATACTTTTAACAGTACTCTATGGACAGGTGTATCAATGTTTTTAATAGTACTCTAGACAGGTGTATCAATACTTTTAACAGTACTCTGGACAGGTGTATCAATACTTTTAACAGTACTCTATGGACGGGTGTATCAATATTTTTAACAGTACTCTAGACAGGTGTATCAATACTTTTAACAGTACTCTGGACAGGTGTATCAATACTTTTAACAGTACTCTAGACAGGTGTATCAATACTTTTAACAGTACTCTGGACAGGTGTATCAATACTTTTAACAGTACTCTGGACAGCTGTATCAATACTTTTAACAGTACTCTGGACAGGTGTATCAATACTTTTAACAGTAATCTGGACAGGTGTATCAATACTTTTAACAGTACTGAGGACAGGTGTATCAATACTTGTAACAGTAGTCTGGACAGCTGTATCAATACTTTTAACTGTACTCTGGACAGATGAATCAATACTTTTAACAGTACTTTGGCCTTTCCGTAGGGTTGTAAGAATGAGATTTCCCTGTGTCATGTACCAGAATTCCTAGCCTTTCCCTAGGGTTGTAAGAATGAGATTTCCCTGTGTCATGTACCAGAATTCCTAGCCTTTCCCTAGGGTCTAAGAATGAGATTTCTCTGTGTCATGTACCAAAATTCCTAGCCTTTCCCTAGTGTCTAATAATGAGATTTCCCTGTATCATGTACCAGAATTCCTAGCCTTTAACTTCCAAAGAATTCTTTAATGCTTTGATGAGGCTCATATCTTATATGCAAAAGTGTCATTACTAAAGAATATAGTTCTGAACAGATAAGACTATTTGTTTCTGAACTTTTTGATAATTCTCACAAAATCCCTAATAGTTCTGAATAGATTAAGACTATTTGTTTCTAACTTTTTGATAATCCTCACAAAGTCCCTAATAGTTCTGAATAGATTAAGACTATTTGTTTCTAACTTTTTGATAATCCTCACAAAGTCCCTAATAGTTCTGAATAGATTAAGACTATTTGTTTCTAACTTTTTGATAATCCTCACAAAGTCCCTAATAGTTCTGAATAGATTAAGACTATTTGTTTCTAACTTTTTTATAATCCTCACAAAATCCCTAATAGTTCTGAATAGATTAGGACTACCGTATTTGTTTCTAACATTTTTATAATCCTCACAAAGTCCCTGACTATTTTAAAGCCTTAAAGTGAAAAAGCTTATATGTTGGCTTGAACTTCTTGATATCAATTTTAGCAGGTAGTGCTGTAAGCCTAAAAAATGACAAATTTGAACCTAATTGGGTCATTTAAATACTGCGCCAGGATTCTACCCATAATCCAGCAGTGTTTATACATATTGCATGTGCTCCTGTAAAAATTGGTGGTCATGACCTGTCAAGTCTGTGAGGTATTGTTAGAGGCCCATTTTTGACAGATCTAGAGGATTCAGCTGAGTGAGATTCAGGTCATATCCACATCAAGTATCTTTGGTAAGTCAACAGAGGGAAATGAATAGTTCTCTAATCCTGTTATTGGGACTTTCATCTTGGATTTTGTATCTTAAAAGTAATTTCAGGAAAGTAATTTTGGGTGTAAAATTTGTATTTAATCGTCAATCAATTATAGGATGGTGATCTTCAATTGTTTATATATAAAGACAAAATCGACAAGGGCTGGCAAATTCATTGATTTCAGAAAATGAGTCTGTTTCCCCTATACTTAAAACTTATCTTTGTTTACAGGACCAGGTGAATTATAAAAACCACCATCTCTAGGTCAGAAAATGTGTACAGGTCTTAAAGTATCTTAGTTCTATATGATAATATGTGTAATCTATATATTATCTGACAGTCAAGGCCAGGTGTGACTGTCACATGGGTATACGAACTAAAACATTCAGGTGTCATCAATTAGGGTACCTGTACTGTAGGGAAACATCCAGGTGTAAATGTCATTAATTAGGGTACCTGTACGGTAGGGTAACATCCAGGTGTAAATGTCATTAATTAGGGTACCTGTTCTTTAGGGTAACATCCAGGTGTAAATGTCATTAATTAGGGTACCTGTAATGTAGGGTAACATCCAGGTGTAAATGTCATTAATTAGGGTACCTGTACCGTAGGGTAACATCCAGGTGTAAATGTCATTAATAAGGGTACCTGTACTGTAGGGTAACATCCAGGTGTAAATGTCATTAATTAGGGTACCTGTACGGTAGGATAACATGAAGGTGTAAATGTCATTAATTAGGGTACCTGTAATGTAGGGTAACATCCAGGTGTAAATGTCATCAACCTAGGTTGAATGATGTCTCTCTGGTCATTTGTCTGATAAAGAGGACAGTGCAGTTATATCAATGCGTGCACTTTGTTGTGATTACCAACCTGTAGAAAATGTTCTGAGACTAATCACAGTACTTTGCAAGCTCATGACATTGAAGTCTATGTGAAAAGCCATACATATAGAGGGCTCTCACATACTATTTTGGGACTGGGGAGGGCCCTTAGAATTGGGGAAAAATAGTGTTGTTTTTCTTAAATTTGGGGTCTAAATTGGGAAAAAGGATACTATTTTGCATTGGGAATGGGGCCGAATATCGGCCCAAAATCTGGCATATCAAGAGCCCTGATAGACTAACCCAATATCTATATTCACAATATCTTTGAGCAATTGACGATAACTATAACTGCATTTATAAAGAGCTTAAAAAGTTTTACACAATAACTTTTAAGATGAAAGGGTAAGAAAAATTAAAATTTTAAAAGATAAAGTTTTTATTTATTTTGGGTACAACTAGTTATGCTATGATGTGTATAAGCTATTTGTAAATGTACTTTAACCCTGATAAGTACATGTCACACTGACTATACCATCAACTAAGTGTGTGTACCATTCATGTGTTGTCATAAGACATTTAATCACTGCAGCTCTGGTCAGTGAATCATAACTTTGAGGTATACTACAGATACTGTAAGTATGTGTGGTACAGAGGTCCCTCCACTCTCGACAGGAAAACATTCTAATGTAACATATGCTACATAAATACTGTTCATCATATCAAGGTTATCAAATTACTTATCTACACTGTGTATACAGATTTATTTGTTTGTCTGTTTGCTAGATTTAGTGTACCTGGAGTATGTAATGTCACTGTACACAAACTGTATATCTACCTGGTGTATGTAATATCACTGTACACAAACTATATATCTACCTGGTGTATGTAATGTCACTGTACACAAACTATATATCTACCTGGTGTATGTAATGTCACTGTACACAAACTATATATCTACCTGGTGTATGTAATGTCACTGTACACAAACTATATATCTACCTGGTGTATGTAATGTCACTGTACACAAACTATATATCTACCTGGTGTATGTAATGTCACTGTACACAAACTATATATCTACCTGGTGTTTGTTATGTCACTGAACACAAACTATATATCTACCTGGTGTATGTAATGTCATTAAACACAAACTATAGATCTACCTGGTGTATGCAATGTCACTGTACACAAACTATATATCTACCTGATGTATGCAATGTTACTGTACACAAACTATATATCTACCTGGTGTATGTAATGTCACTGTACACAAACTATATATCTACCTGATGTATGTAATGTCACTGTACACAAACTATATATCTACCTGGTGTATGTAATGTTACTGTACACAAACTATATATCTACCTGGTGTATGTAATGTCATTAAACACAAACTATATATCTACCTGGTGTATGAAATGTCACTGTACACATACTATATATCTACCTGGTGTATGTAATGTCATTAAACACAAACTATATATCTACCTGGTGTATGTAATGTTACTGTACACAAACTATATATCTACCTGGTGTATGTAATGTTACTGTACACAAACTATATATCTACCTGGTGTATGTAATGTCATTAAACACAAACTATATATCTACCTGGTGTATGTAATGTTACTGTACACAAACTATATATCTACCTGGTGTATGTAATGTCATTAAACACAAACTATATATCTACCTGGTGTATGTAATATCATTAAACACAAACTATATATCTACCTGGTGTATGTAATGTCATTAAACACAAACTATATATCTACCTGGTGTATGTAATGTCACTGTACACAAACTATATATCTACCTGGTGTATGTAATATCACTGTACACAAACTATATATCTACCTGGTGTATGTAATGTCATTAAACACAAACTATATATCTACCTGATGTATGTAATGTCACTGTACACAAACTATATATCTACCTGGTGTATGTAATGTCACTGTACACAAACTATATATCTACCTGGTGTATGTAATGTCACTGTACACAAGCTATATAGCTACCTGGTGTTTGTAATGTTACTGTACACAAACTATATATCTACCTGGTGTTTGTAATGTCACTGTACACAAACTATATATCTACCTGGTGTTTGTAATGTCACTGTACACAAACTATATATCTACCTGGTGTTTGTAATGTCACTGTACACAAACTATATAGCTACCTGGTGTTTTTATGTTACTATAAATACTACTGATATATTTAGATCATGTCCTGACAATAAAGCTGACCAAAGACACCTGTCGAAAACTGTGAGAATCTTAAAGATAAATTAAGATCACAACTGATGAACAAATCACAATATGTTGTGTTCAATTTTTTTGATGGGTGTATAAAAAGTATATTTGTCCTATTCTACTTCTGGAATGACAACATTCCATTTGTAAAGTGAAACTGTATAACAAAGACATTACACTATGATAGTCAGATTTACTATAACAGGATTCACAATGCACTAAAACAAGACCTTGTAGTAAAAGATTGGTAGATCTACTCACAATCATTGGCAGGTTGACGGTGGTAAACGTATCACTCTCAGGGCCCACTGACATTTCTCGATCAAATGTAAAAGATCTTTTTTCTCTGTAGGCCAATGTGCCATTTTCAAAAAAAGTGATGTTGACCTTTTGTCTGTGTTCCCTACAACAGAATTGTGATATATCTTCCAGATTTGTTTGTTTGATGGGTTTCAGGCCCAATGAAGACCCTGGATCACAGGGTTTCCTTGGAGATTGGCTACCTCACTGAACACCACACAGAAGACCTGTTGTATGACGTCCACAGCAATTAGGGTATAATGTCTTACCCAAGGGCACACAACCACATCAGCAAAGACGGCTTTGTTTCTCAGCTTCCAGAGAAACACAAACAGTTATGGATAGGGAGCATCAAACCATGCTTGTCATATTGTCATCTGACGTTATTTAGACCAACGACCTAACTGAATGAGCTATCACGGCCCCATGTGATCAAGAAATGATTACAATGACTAAATGACATATACATCTCTTGAGATTTTCATGACACTTAAAGTTTTGGAAATCACAAAAAGGGTACAAAATGAGAAGATTCTAGATCACATTTGGAAACCTTATACATTGACATAAATTACTTAACTGCTGGACTGGGCAATATTTAGTTTATATATCAGGTTTGATCATTGTCTTTCTTAAAACTACAGGAAGTAAGTAAAACTAGGTTATCCTCATATATATACTCAAGTTTTCATTTGATTCCTGACTTTTTGCAATCTCAGTCTCATAGCATCAACATGTTTTGGTTTTTAAAGTCAGCTTAATATCATTTCTGAGGTTCATCATGTTTAAAGCCATGTAAATTTACCTATATGAGTATGGACCTTTCTGTATCACAGCTGGAGTTGCTCCTTGCTGGACAACCTCTAGTGGATTTACAAGGTCAAAAACCCACACTTGGAAGTAGATCGGTACAGGAGGATCCAACCAGGTGTTGTAGGATTTAGATCCAACTTTAAGAGGTATTTGCTAAAATACAACAACAAGGAAATGAAATAGGTAAAATCATAAGTGAATAAGGTGGAACTTATGAATAAACTTTTCTCTGCTGCCCTTAAAGAACTTTAGGAAGTGCAGGAACTCAGCAGTGTGAATATACTTCCACTTATACTAAACCTTACCGATTGATCAATGCCAAATTGCAAAAACATAAATTGCTAGAGTTCAGGAATTTGAATGACTTATCACAGAAACATTGAATTCAAGTGTATTTCCTTATGTAGTGTGGTTCATTTAGAGGTAATTTACAATTAGCAGCAATGCATTACTTTTATACATTGTATATCAATAAGCAGGAAATACAAATCCTTGTACAGTAATTATAAAACATTTATCAAAGAAAAAATATAACTTGCTCAATGCATTAAAGTAACAGAAAACTCACAACTATTTTGCAGTTAGCGGTTTCAACTCATTTTAGCTGTCTGATAATTGAGTTTGTGTATTTCTCTTATCAAGTTCAATGTCTTAGTTTACATTACAGACAATGAAAGAATAGACAGATCTTTGACAACTAATTATATCTGCATATGTTTATGTTTTATGAAGATAATATAACAACAACCGATTAGAATCTAGGTCGTTGACTTCAGGAAATATTTTTAAGTACATAAAGCCTGTATTCTATTAAAGGATATAACATACTTCAGTTTAAGTGCAAAAAACCATGATACTTCCTTCTCTGGAGCAAATTAAACTTCACTATAGCCTGAATTCGGTTGGCTGTCCATCACCAGACATTATAAATATCTGATGGACACTAGACAACTGTCAGAAGAGATTATAAGGATTAATTTTGTTCCAACATGTCACATGCATGATGTATTAATTATCTCATAAATATCACAAATAAATCTATATGTTCTGATTGATTCTGATATCATACAAAGCATGAGCTCAGATGTCTGCATTCCAGTTATGAATATGTTATTCTTTCTTTCTGAGTTTATTAGCTTCCCCTGACAAAAAAGAAAAACCCAAAAACACATTTACACAATAACACAAATTAAATTCAATCAATTTCCTTCAAAGCACATATTTAAAAAAAAAAGTGGCATCTTTTCAGTTTTATAACTTTAATCCAGTGTAAATAATTACATTAGTCAAAGAGCACTCTGGTATATTACATAACTTGTTTGTTATATATATGTATGTACCTATGACATACTTTTTCACCACAAAGTGACAACCTATATAGCTATCTTTAAAGTCCTCAAAGACATAGTTAATATGTTCTGTATGGAAAGAAATAAGGAAATTATTTTTCCTTATTTGTAAGAAAAAAAAAGCAACCGCCGTCTATTTTCTTAAACATTTTTACACCCTTTCCCTCCCCATTACTAGATAAATAAATAAAAACAAGACAAGTAAGAAAACCGAAATGTAATCGTTACACGTACATAATAGCATGCTATATCAGGTCAAAGGATCAAGGCTCGAGGCCAAACTACACTTTAGCACATCTGTATATAAAGAACATACAATATTCCGAATTTTACGAAACGTACAAATGAAGTGCTTAAAGTTGTGTTAAATTTGCAGTAACGAGATCCTGTTTAATTAGTGCATGTGCACCGAGATTTTCTTTCGGGTGACCGAATGCGCCTATAACCTTACCTCCTTTATCTCATTGTGGATCATATTATGGAACACAGGGATAAAAACACATCCCAGTATTATCAAAACCACTCCAAACACCAAGAAAAACACACTACACTTGACAGAACGTGACATGTTCACGTTTTCAGAACAACCGACTGACGGGTATGTTTAGTTCCACCAACACGTGATGGTGGTGGTGGAGCGCCCTCATCAAGTATCAAAAATAAACAAAGAAGGGAGATCACTCTTTTTCAGAAGGAAACGCTGTCAAAGTACAAAAAGAACCACACTTACTAAAGCAGAATAAAATATTTTTTGATGAAACATTGTCATTTACTTTAGTTAATGAAGAAAGTCCATTGACAAGGTGTACTTTTCCTTCGAAATAACAATGAAGCTAATGACATTCCAAACCGGAAGTGTTAGATGGCGCGCCTGTCAATTTTGACAGGTGCGCCATTTATAAACAAACAGATCTGTCGATGCCTGTCATCACAAAAGTTTGAGGTATGCTACCAATTTTTTGTAATGGAATGCTACCACAGGCAATATTCTCTATGATTTCGTTTGCAATTTTAATTTTATTTATGAATTCTTTTTGGAAATAACGACATTATTTTACCACAAACTGCATAGGTCGGGGAGAAGTGTTGTAGATGATGCCTACTATTTTGTAGTAGGCTATAATATATGGCTATATTTCACATATGAAACGTCTGATGGACTGAAGCCATTGTAATCAGGTTTGGCACAACCCTGCATACGGTTAATAACCCTGTATATTAGTGATAATTATTGTTTAAGGTAAACAAAATGCATTTGTTACTCAATCGGGAATAATTTGAAATAGAAACACATGAAGTTGAACAAAAATGCATATTTTTTTTTATATATAAAAGGGTGATCCTATTATTTGTGGGGATGCCCGAGAAGTTTAGGTCCGTGCATCCTCTCATTACAGAATTTTAATAATTTGTATACAGGTAGTAAACTTTTAAACTCAATAACCACATAAAATGGCATATTTACATTTAACTGACCACACTTGTAAATAAAAAATCAAACGTCTGTTGTCTAATATGTTTACTATTGAATAATCACTCAGTATTTCTTTATTAATACATGATGATTATAGTCAGAAATTCCTTCCTATATAGAAAGATAACAGATTCGAAAAAAAAGAAATCTTACCTGATCACAAATGTGTCTGAATCCACAGTAATGAGAGGATATGATGGGCTTCCTGTGCATCCTCGCGAATTAAAAAGTATGTTCAAACCCGATTTATGTACCATTCTATCAAAGAGTTAGATAACAGAAATTCATATTTCTTATGCAAATATATAGTGTCGCATTGGCTGTTAGGCCATAATAAAAAATGCATTTTCAATCATTTTATTATGTTTTGTACATGTACAGAAGCACCATGATTTCTGTTAAAGCTCTTGGCAGGGATATTTCCCTTTTTATTTTGGTGACACAATACATATAACTCAGTTTTTAGTGCAAATGTATGGTATATATTTCCAGTAAGGGACTTATAAATGTAACCATTCAGCAATGCATGTGTCATGGTTGTTATAACCATGTTTTCTATATTCTGTTTAATTTTTGTTGCAGAGAATGCCTACTGGTGATTTAACAAACAACCTAAGGAAGTTGCAGAAGGAAGTCAAGCTGATCAAGTACAATGAGGACATTGACCTTGCCAAGTATGACTTCAGACATTTCACTAAGATAGGGGTTATTGCTAATTATGGTGCTTGCTTATCACAACATAACTATTTGTATCTTTCTGTTTGTCCTTTTGACAAAGCATTTTAGCATGATTAACTAATAACATTGATGGTAATGAAAATGAAAGGGTCAATAATTGTCAAGGTCGCTTTTGGGCTATTGAGAAAAATCAGTTGTATGCAATACAGTGTATATATGTCAGCATATTTAATGAAAATATATCATAGAGAACATAGAGAAAGATTTTCAAATTGAGGAGTCAAAGGTCATGATTGATTGATTTGGCTTATTATCTATCACTAGTTATGAACGAATTTAGGACAGAGGATTAAAGGTCAAGGTTATTTGAAGTCATGTCAATGTTGGTTGTCAGTTATACATTTAGAAATGTGTTATTTAGGATAATTAAACTTGCCTAAATTCTTATCCTTTCCTCTTCATGCTTTGGCAAATGTGATTAAATTCAGGATTCATGGGTCAAAGGTGAATGCCACATATGGTGATCTGCAGGACAACAAGGAGAAATGGTGCAATGAAGGGTAGCTAGTGATTTTTGGGACTCAGATATTTTGCTTTTCTTGTGGGACTCCAGTCAGATTATGAGAACCCAGTTTATTTCTTTGAAGTGGGACTCATCAAAATTTTGGGATTGATGTCTTGAAAAAATTCTACAAAAATCACTGAATTTGTTGAACTTTGTAAATATGGTGAGAAATAGATCCCTACTGATTTTCAAAATCAAAGGTAGGACAAATTAAAAAGGTCAAGGTCACTAAGTTTATGTTTTACATGTAAAGCAAAATAATCCAAGTTCAAAAAATATATGTTGTGTGGAAAATCTATTCTTTGTTGTGACCTTGTATTTGTGTTATAGAACTCGTCTGGCCTACCTTATTGATTTGATTGATAGCTTGATTTTAATGAGCTCCGTGTGAATTGAAAATATTAGGCACTTTTGTATCTCTATTTACAGTATGTCTCTTGGAAAACCAACAGCCTTCTTACCAATCTATCACTATGCCTTTACAAGTTACAGTCATGCACTGGCACAGCTTATCTCAGCATCAGATGCAGAGCTCTACGGCAAGACAGATTTCCGGTTTATTGAAGCTGTGTACAAGGTTATATAGTGTTGCAGTTGTACATGTTTATAGAGTTTCAAAATTTCTGATGTTTTCACAAATAATCATAAGTATTTTTCTTGAAATGGTGTCAATCTGGCAGCCATCTTTTTATTTTATGGATTCGTGATTAAAAATTATCAGATGGTTTAGGTTTATTTATTACCTAAAAAACAAGTTGACATTTTTGTTTTTTTATTTTTTGTTACTTGTGATTTTAAACATAGTAAACTCCTGAAATGAACTGCAATTTAATCAAATTTTTATACTGAAAGACTGAAATGCCCCTATTCCAAATAAATGAAAACAAAGCTCTATTGTTTGAGTTTCCTATTAGGTTTTCAATATTAAAAATAAAAATCTAACAGTGAATGTATGAAAACTGATTTGTTTTCATAAAACTTGAGTTTGTATAACTATAATATAGTATATTTATTATGTAAAAATCAACCTACTGTCCAGGTTTTGCAAGTATCATTGTTTCAACTTGTTTCATTTGCACATACAGATGAACATGAAACATTCCTTTGTCTCTTCAGATCCTACGGGATTTGTTTAGCTACAAACCCCTCATAACAAAAGAACAATTCTTCAATGCTGGTTTTGCTGAGAGGAAGATTATTATGTGTTCTGAGGTGCTTCACATGGTTCGTGAGAAAAGCCGTATCTTGAACCCAGCCAAAAAGTCAGCTACAGGGGGCGCTGCTGTCAGTGGACTTGTTCAACTTGGTTCTACAAAGGTACTCCTTAAACTAATCATAAAATACCATACATTTAAAAGGTATATAAAAGTTGACAGATTGGATGCACTTCAGAAGCAATCCTTTATAAGAAAAAGATGACATGTGATAAATGATATCTGATAACAAATGGAAATTTAAGATTGTAAACCAGTCAGATTTGTTTGTAACTTTGTCGTCAGTTGTTGTCAAATAGAAAATATAAGGTGATGTTTATTTTTCCATGTGACCCTTAAAACAGGGAAATCGACCAAAGTCAACAGAGCCAGTGTCCAATGAAGTACCAAAGGTCAGTTCAGGGTTGACAAAGAGGCCAAAGACGACAACAAATAGGCATCTTAGAGTTACTTCCCCTTCTGAAGAAACAGATTCACCACAAGCACAGGTTGTGAACGAGCTTTTACAACCTCACAAGCCTCAAAGTCATCCTGTACGTCACATGACTAGTCACATGACTAGTCACATGACAGATTATATGCAGCACCCACCACTTTATACAGAGGTAGCTTCACCACCACATATTACCAAAGAGAGGCTGCCAACAAGGGCACCACTTCAACAGTCATCAGAAGTACACTTCTTGCCAATAACTTCAAGTGTGACCAGAAGCAGATCTGTCCCTGTAAAAACAGTTTCCCAAGGTACAATTATTCCACACCTACAAATTGAAAGAAAAAAAACATATCTACAAATAATGGAAAAGAATTGTCAGAATTAAGGTAGAAAATTTGACTTATTTTCAACAATGCTCTAATTTGAAGGAGAGTTTTCCTGTAATTAAGAGGCATTTCACAAAACTGTTGTCAGAAAAATTGTTAGTACACATATTCTAAAAGCACTGGAAATGAAAGCGATTCCTGGTTTTTGTTCTGTGGCATCATTTTTTCTGAATTCAACTTTAGTTGCAGTCATTGTGAAAAGGAAGCAACATTGATTTTGTAGATACTCAGCTGGAGGAAGAGGAGGATGAAGAAGAAAGTGAGGAGGATGAAATAGAGACTGTTAATGCTGTAACTCGTGGTGAATCTTTTCTAGAACCACGCGTGGTAGATAGCCCTGAAAGTCAGCCACAAGTACATGATGAATCTCAACAGTATAGCAGGACAATACAGGTAAAGTTTGTACATCAGTTTCTTACTAGGAAAAGGTGTGCAACCACGAGAGAAACAATTCTTCTCAACAGTCTTTCATCTTTTTAATGAAACAATTTTCACCGTCTTACAAATTGAAGAGAGGTCATGAACAAAGTTTGGACAAGGGTGCCCTCCATTTTGTGTAACTTTCTTTGATCCGATAAGTTCGAGACTCTTTGAAAACTTATTTCCCATTCAGTCTTGATGGTATCAATGACTTTGATCTTATCACATGCAAGTTGCTCTTTAAAACAAACTGTCCATGAAAGTTAAATTTGAGTGCCCCCTAAAAACAAACTTCTTTGTGGAAAAGGATATATAATATAATTGACCTTTACTTGCATAAGTCAAAGATGGAGTGATTTTAAACAAAGTAGACTGATGATGTGTTGAAACAGAAAATCTAGACTGTAGGTGAGACAAGAAGTATTGTAAGTTTGGATATCAAACACAATCCCCAATCATGACTTATTTAAACAGTGCTTAGCTCCTATTTCATATCTCATGTAAAAATTACTGACAGATGTAGTTGTTTCATGAACACCAGGCTGTTGTGGACCGGATGAACAGTTTAGATACAGTGGTAAAGAACATTACAGGACTTGTTGAGTCACAGGGTGCTGTCAACTCCAATGAGAAGGTGAATGCTACACTGACCATGATCCAACAGCAGCTGGAGACTCTCATGGCCCGGATGGTACTTGTAGAGAATAGAGTAGCCCTGGTAGAGGCTAGACTTAGTGGGAACAGGGTAAGTGAGAAAATATCTTAATCTTCATTACTACTCTATAGTTTTGTCCATTTTTCAATGTTTCCAGTCTTTTCAGTATTTTCTATGAGCATGACTTTTCAGTAATAGATACATAAAATATATTTAAAACAGTTATTTTATCATTCCAATTATGAGTCTGTCACTCCATAAAAAAGTGATTTTTAATGAAATGAAATAAGATAGAAAACCTTGAGAAATCAATTCTGGAAGGTCTGTTTAAGTTCCTTAAAGTTCATTCATGTACAGTGCAAATGAAAGTGTTTTTTTACACAGACTGTACTTAGTGAGCCAACAAGTCAAGGATTCAGGGACACTCCACATGGAAATAACGAGGCACCACATGGAGCTGCACAGACTTCTGGTAATGTGCATCAGTCCCAAGGCACCACGTATACCCGGCATGGAGCTGAATCTCACCAGGAACCAAATGTAAAAAGTTTTACAAATATTTATCAGAGTAAAACACATTCCCATGGTGGAACAGATATTATTCACACAGTACAAAGCAAAGATGCTGGAGACAAAGTGGACACAAACAATGTACAACCTTTCTTTTCTTCTGTCACACCACTGGAAGCTCAACCTGCAGACCAGCAGATGCAGCTTTTGACAGCAAATCACTCTAACGGTAATGTCATTGTCTTAAACCCTCCTCTGCTTCCCTCTTAATTGAGTAATAAAGTGGATGTATAACCTATCTCATAATTTATAGTGAACCTCTAATCAGTTGAAGTTGGTGGATAGTATGGAAACAATATTTTTATAAAAAATTATGTTCCTGTCTAGTGATGGTTTGACCCTTCTGCTTATATTGGCTACAGTTAACATTGTTCAATCATATTTACAATGTCGCTCAGTAATCCTAGTAGATTCTGATCCTGGATATGATTCTAGGAACTGTTCGAATCTCATGTGCAAAGTAATATTGTATTGATCACAATACAATATCAGCTATGGATACATGATTTGTCCTCAATCCTGTGCCAACCATAGGACAACAAATACATTATTAGCTATGGTTTTATGATTTGTCCTCAATCCTGTGCCAACCATAGGGCAATAAATACAATATTAGCTATGGTTTTATGATTTGTCGTCAATCCTTTACCAACCATAGGACAACAAATACAATATTAGCTATGGTTTTATGATTTGTCGTCAATCCTTTACCAACCATAGGGCAATAAATACAATATTAGCTATGGTAACTAGATTTGTCCTCAATCCTGTACCAACCATAGGACAATAAATACAATATTAGCTATGGTGACTAGATTTGTCCTCAATCCTGTGCCAACCATAGGACAATAAATTAAAACAAAAAACTTTTTATGCCTTAATATTAAGTTCTAATTCATAACACAAAATCATTGAGATATAGATCTCCCAAGTTGTCAATAATCACATCAGCATTAAAGCAAGCAGGGGATGGTGTATATTGTACATATGTATATTGTATATATAACAATGTGTTGAAGTGTTGATTCAGTTCAGTTTCCCCTTGTTTCTTATAATGTAATGTATACAACAGCTGAATACAACTTTGGCTCTGTCCATATATATTTCCTTATATATTTGAACCATCAGTATGAAGTATGGATAATTGGTATAAATACTGTCAAAACCTACTGTGTCTATAGTACAATTTTGTTATGTAATTATACAGTCTAATGTGGAATAGTTATTTTAGATTATAATTGTCATCAGGACAATTTCCATTCAAATATTGTGAAAGCATTGTTTAAAAAAACAATACTTCTGTTGAAGTGAAATGTTGATAATTGATTTAAATGTTGGTAATTGATTTATTGATTAAAATGGAGATATTTGGTATATATTTTATCAGGAAGCAGTGTATTTAGTGACCTTTTATGCCAACCTCAACCAAACCTGACACCTAGTGACATCAACGACTCAGCAGCTGTGGGCCTCTCACCGATTAGAAAGCCTACAGATTTATCTGTTAACCATAGTGCGACACTCCCACCTTTTGATCTGACCAATGATGACACATTTGCAGCAGTGTCACAAGATGAGAAGCGACTTTCAAGCACACCCACTAAACATCCTTTAATGCTTGAGAGCCTAGAAGACTCCCTATCATTTCATTTTGGAGACACAACATCACAGGAGAGACTGCTGAGGATCAAAACCATGTATGTGTAAAATACAATGCCATATTTATCCAGCAATAAATCTGTGGCTGGTAATACTCTCACCCTTATCAAATTCTTTTCTGTAGTATATATGTTCTAATGTTCAGTTGGCATCTGTCCTTGTACCTTAAACAGAATACTAGCTTTTTTCTGCCACGTTCTGTCATCTGTTAGAGAAAACAACAATATTAACCATCCTTTTTAACCTTTTCTTTACAGGATTAAGGAAACGGAGCACATGCTGACAAAGCCTTCCTCGACCCTGACAGGGGGGAAGTCCTGACTCCCTTGTATCACGGCAGTCTAACTACACAGAGGTGCCATTCCAGTTATAAACTATGCATTTCTTAATTGTCCATCCAGATTTGTGGAACTTTAAAAATATCTATGATTATGTACCATAGATTCAGACTACATCAGATATCTAATGTGGAGTTAGATGGTCACACTGCTATTTTACAGTACAAAATATGTGTGTAAAAAAGACTGTAATGACATAATTAAGTCCTACAAGATTTGTTTTTGTGTCACCAGCCAAAGGTGACAAGAGGTATTACTATAACGGCAGTGGTGTCACTTGCACAAAACTTTTTTCCTGATAACTTGAGTTAACTTTGGCCAATCTAGCTCAAACTTCGTACAGTCCTTCCTTACTAAAAGTGCTTGCTTAGGAGTGCTTTATAGGCCCGAAGGTCAAAGGTCAAGATCACTATTACTACTGTAAGTAGAAAATTATTTTTTTCACGATAACTTCAGTTCCCTCTGGCCAAACAACCTCAAACTTCATACAATGCTTCCTTATCAAAAGTGCTTTGTTGGGATTGCTTTTGAAGTCTGATGGTCAAAGATTTTTTCAACGTAACATTATATGTAGTTTTGATACAGTGATTGGTCAATATTTGGAGATATTTATGGGAATATTTATTTCATCCATAGAACTTATGCTATTTCCAAACTCTTTACTGTATGTTACAGAAACTGCAAGATAACACAATGTACTACAAATAACATTTACTTCCTTGGTTTTACATCTATTTCAACATGTATAGCAAATGCTCATCTTTACATTACAAATATTGATACATAGACACTGTAAATCGACATTATTGCAAATTAACATTTTCATGTCTTTAACTATCTTAAAAAATAAGAATCAAAATAAAAACATTATGTTGTATAAAAAGGAAAATCCATCCTTGGAATTCAGTTCCTTTGACACTGTACATCTAATCTACAAGTTTACTCTTCACATCTCAAACAAATGGACAAATTATACAAATAGAATACAATAAATATCTATGGCTATTATTCCACAAAACTCATCTCGAGAAACATTGCAGGCGATACATCAACTTCTGTAGAAACCTAGCTTGGCAGGTGACACATCGACTTCTGTAGAAACCTAGCTCGGCAGGCGACACATCAACTTCTGTAGAAACCTAGCTCAGCAGGCGATACATCAACTTCTGTAGAAACCTAGCTCGGCAGGCGACACATCAACTTCTGTAGAAACCTAGTTCGGCAGGCGACACATCAACTTCTGTAGAAACCTAGCTCGGCAGGCGACACATCAACTTCTGTAGAATGCTTTTTCTATTCAAGCTGTATCTTTCATCTACAAAGTGGACAAATTTTAAGTCAAATTCAAAGTTTGAATTAAATTGAATTTTGTTTTAGGTAACATAGTATGTTATGTACGTTAATTTTTCACCATATTTAGTCATATTCCTATTGAAGTTGAACATTGAGATTCAGACTAGGACTTAAGTACAAACTGCTCTATACCCAAGCGTTTAGACTTAAGTCAAAGATATCATATAGAGGTCAGTATATTAAATGTCATTTAATTCTGGAAACTCATAATTTAGGATTTTCTACTTTTGATGTTTTAAGAATAAGAGTGTTTTATTAACTGTATTAATCGCTAGACTAATTGTTAGATATAGATATATTTTTATGTTGTTTACACAAACATTGATACAATTAAAGAAAAAAAAATAAACAATAACAAAGAATTTGTCTCTTCCTTTTTCACGTCTTACATCTATTATTGTTATTGTTACTAGGGTTGATGATTGTTTTGAAGCATTTCTGTTAGGAGACTAATTTGTGACTACAGGTTACTGAAACAGTATTCTACCAGTTGCAGATCAAACAATTGAAAGGAATTTTTTGCAGGACGTTTTGTAACATGTGACTAGACTATTTAGCACTGTGTGATTTCCTCCGAGATTGAACAAACTTATCATGTAATCTTCCAGAGTACACCCAAATCTATTCCTGTTTTCCCCCTATTGGGCCTTAGCCCTTTGGACTTGTTGGGTTCAAATTCTCCAATGATACAAAATTGAGTCCCATTAACACTATCATTCCTACAGAAGTAGAAGATTTCAAAGAAATTGCTGAATTTCCTCCCTTGGGCTCTGACCCTCAAGACCCACCAACCATGCAAATTTTGTTTTCCTCCACCATGGGATGCTTCAAACTTGATTTTGTAAAAGTATGTTTATCCAAGCAGAAGGATCTTAAAATCATTTTCTTTCCCCAATTGGGCCCCAGGAAAATTGAGTTCCATTAACACTTTGATTATGCTTCTGACCAAATTTAGACAAAATTATGTTTATTGTTGCTTTACGTCCTAAAAACAGCCAAAGCTATTTATGGATGAGCCAAATTTTGGTGGTGGAGGAAAGCTGGAATTAACAGAGAAAAACCTGTAGCCAGCTTCCTGTTGACTGCCCTATGAAAGCCTGGAAGTGGCCCAGAGGTGGAGGCCAAGTGATAAAGATGTCTTAGCCACTTGGCTGCTATGGCCTTTGTAGACTTTCACAATATAGATAAAATTGTTTTTTTTAGCCTTAGGATGCTTATGACCAAATTTAAACAAAATACCTAAATATATTCCTCTACTTCCCATATATATTGGGTTTGGCCTCTCTGGCCCCAGGGGATCAAACATGCTACATATACAAAATTGAGTTCCTCCACCCCCTCCTTCCAATATGCCCCTGGGGTGTTGAGACCCACCATTGAAAGAAAATTGATGGACCTCACAATAAGATTTATTAATTTCAGCTCTCAATCTAGTGCTTTGGCCAGTAAAACTTTAAAGAATGGTTACCTGGTTTCTGTGAGATAAATTTGTTGAATCATGGCCAAAACTTCAAACTTTTGGTGCATTGTGCGGGAAAATACTTTATTTCTAAGGTTTTGTCCTAATTTTCCATGCATATGTTATCCTGGAGGGTGTATACCAGCTCATGCCACAGCTTCCCTCACATGAATGACAATATATATATATATTAAATCTATTCTGGAAGATGCACGGGTCAAATATCATTTCTTCTCTCTCTCTTATGAAGCATATAACTTTGGTGAAATGTCACATTTAATGAATATTGGTTAATTGGTGAAAACTGATTACGGTAATATGTAAATGTACTTTTCATATTTCAATTGTCAGATCCATGTCAATTACCAAGTGTGATGTAATTATAGAACACATTCATTAGGATGATAGAAGTAATGCTTTTAAATAACGGTAACTTACGTCTATATTAGACACAGGGACTTGATAAGATCAATGTCTAGTATTTTACAATTTTGATATTTTCTGGTGGTGATAAATTTGAACAATAATAGACAAAATGGTAAAGACTAAAATCAGCATATATTATGAATTATTGTTCTTTTTACAATACGAAAAAAAAAAGAAAATTAATACATTTCCTACACATGTATCGGTACCCATGTTTAATATCAACCAATCAAGTCGCAAGGAAATTTCAGTGCTGAGAATAATCACAACACATTGTTGACTTCCTTCGCTTCCACGTCATTTCGACCATGACCGCAATAATTGTGTCACGGGTGGAGCGCCGATTATTGCAGCCTTAACCGGGTATTCAAGATCTCTCCCTTTCTGGTAAGACACATACACACGTTTTCTACCGTTATCGATAAATGGCACGCCTCGTGAATCGCACTACATAATCGGTAAGTGGTGATTTGCTATGTCAGTCAAGATGCAAATCTGGGTCACTGGAGCAACTGTCTCGAAAACATTTCTTCAGTGTTATGAGTTTCTGTTCTAAACCAGTATCAGATACAGGATGACCCGTGGCATTGTCAGAATATTTAGGCATGTTTTTGCATTTTTGTCGAGTGATAAGATAAATTAATGCTATATAAAAGAGTACCATCGTATCAATGATTTGTCCAGACAGGTGTGCAGGCGAACAACTCTTGTTTACAATGTTAGGTACTTCAGTACTCGGATATCAAAAAATGTTTTGTTCTAGATAGGTGGGAAAAAGTAATTTTGCAAACAAGTCTGTTTTCGCGATCGGCTATTGGTTTGTAACGGTTGACATTGGAATTAAAAAGTCATCGAGAAAATGATGGATCTATTTTTGACTTCGATATATCATGGATCCGCTATACAATGTATGCAAACAATACGCATCGCCTCTTTCTGGAATTTTGTATACAGAATAAGTAAGTATTTGCTTGTAATTTAAACACAAATGGTGTATAGATTGTATGTTTTTGATAACTATGAAGGTAGATCAATTCAGTCATTTTCCAAATTTGAAATTAAAAAAAAAGTTCTTTACATGTGACCTATTATCACATATGCACTGGGACAACAAATACATGTGAAGTATACCTGAAACCCTTGTAAATTCTAGTCACAATATGCTGTTTGGCTACAGAGAACTTCTTTTTAGTTTGACGGTCAGACTAGTAAGTCAGGGATCTCATAATCAAAATCTAGCGGAGGCATTGAAATAAATAATGATCTCTGTTACATACTCTTTAATAAATATCTGAAAATGGCATAAAAGGCTCTCGACACTTTACAACCCTTTACTTCAGGGATACGAAAGGAGCATAATCAGAAGTGCCAGGATGGGCCAGACACTCCGCAGACTACAGGAACTTGATCGTCTGGGGTACTGCGGCCCCACCGAACTGACAGAAGAACCCACCAATAGTCCCCATCTGCGCAAAAAAAGACAGACTGACCATGTGATTACAAGATTCCCTAACATTGAGGACCTTCCTCCAGAGCTCAGTCTAAACATTCTCTCCCACCTCAATGCCACTGATCTTTGTCTAGCAGCGTGTGTCTGGGAAAATCTAGCAAATGATGAAATTCTCTGGCTTGGGTAATTTGCATTGAATGACATTTTATATCCGATGATTAGAAATTCATGAATAAGATAAATGTAAAGTGAAATCTCAACAAGTGTAACTTTTAAATATAAATGGTACTTTATGTTACATAAGGAAATCCTAAATTATGATTGGAAGCACTTTACCATACAATAGATTTAGTGTTGTTGGTTAAGAACCAGATTTCCTGCACAAGATACACTATATGATATTTCTGTACGCCAGTTACAGATAATTACGCTGGTAAGAATTTTCTTTTTTTTTTTTTTTACATGTGCTGTACACAGTTTACATACACATAACTACAATGTGGAAAAAATACAGATGTACAATTTTACCGGTACATTGTCCTTGATTGATTCATTTTTCATTATTTATTGTATAAAGAAATTAGCCAATAACATAAGTTTCTTCCAAATTTGTCTGTAGGGTAGTTATGGTAATATAAAATTGTACAGAACAAACAGTGATATATAAACATTCAACAATATCTATATATGTACCAGCATCACTGATTCTATATAAACCTTTGTGAAGTTTCCATATGGTCTAGTTACTGGTTTGTCTTGTTTAGAGAGGTTATGCCAGGACTTAAAATAACATTGTTTTATCTGTACAGTATGGTCAGGTTATATCAGGACTCAAAATAACATTGTTTTATCTGTACAGTATGGTCAGGTTATATCAAAATAACATTGTTTTATCTGTACAGTATGGTCAGGTTATATCAGGACTCAAAATAACACTGTTTTATCTGTACAGTATGGTCAGGTTATGTCAGGACTCAAAATAACACTGTTTTATCTGTACAGTATGGTCAGGTTATGTCAGGACTCAAAATAACATTGTTTTATCTGTACAGTATGGTCAGGTTATGTCAGGACTCAAAATAACACTGTTTTATCTGTACAGTATGGTCAGGTTATGTCAGGACTCAAAATAACACTGTTTTATCTGTACAATATGGTCAGGTTATATCAGGACTCAAAATAACATTGTTTTATCTGTACAATATGGTCAGGTTATATCAGGACTCAAAATAACATTGTTTTATCTGTACAATATGGTCAGGTTATGTCAGGACTCAAAATAACATTGTTTTATCTGTACAGTATGGTCAGGTTATGTCAGGACTCAAAATAACATTGTTTTATCTGTACAATATGGTCAGGTTATATCAGGACTCAAAATAACATTGTTTTATCTGTACAATATGGTCAGGTTATGTCAGGACTCAAAATAACATTGTTTTATCTGTACAGTATGGTCAGGTTATATCAGGACTTAAAATAACATTGTTTTATCTGTACAGTATGGTCAGGTTATGTCAGGACTCAAAATAACATTGTTTTATCTGTATAATATGGTCAGGTTATGCCGAGACTCCTGGGGATATACTAGTGCCTATAGAAAGAAGCCAACAGGTCTCACCTACAAACGTTTGTATCTCCTGCTGGATGAAGCCAGTCTCACTTTCAACTTTGATCCTTTTGAGGTAAGATCTAAAGTAAAAAAAAATTACCAGCTTGCAGTAGCTGTCTTACATTTCCATCATAGATTTAGAATTTTCTGAAAAAGTTTGATATGACAAAATTCTAATATGCTTACTGAAGTATCATGCCTGACTTTCTACATTTGTCTTCCAACATTTTAATTGTTAATAAGTTATTAGGTACAGTTGTGGTTATAGCTTTCCATTTTATCTTGATTTGGAAACTGTAGGGTGCAAGGTACTTGTTCCAACATGGTCTACTGAACGACAACCCAACAGAGATAGCCAGATTCCTTCACCATACAAAAAGGATCCGACCTGCCAGGAAGAGAGAGTATCTGGATCAAAGGTGAGAACATTACAACTCATACTATTTTCTGACATTTTGGCCATTCAGTGCACTTCACTATCATTTTGTGAAAACACCAGTTTGTCCTTTTGCTTTTTACTTTCAATTTTTTTTATGATTTTCAAAAATGTCTCTTTATTTTTCTTTAACATTACTTTCATAGTTACAAAATATATTGAAATTAAGGAGACATTTAATAACAAATAAAATAATGTTACATTTTTACTTTGTAGGAGGGATGCATTATCTAAGATGGTGCAACTACAGAATTTTGAAAACCAGTTTTTACCCAATGCTCTCAGGAACTTTTTTGGTGAAGTATCTGCACCTGATCAAAGGGGAGATTATCTCACTGATATTATAGAGAAGTTCTCCGAGCGGTTTTGCAACTGCAATCCTCAGTTAGGTCTTTCTAAAGGTACACCTCTGAATGATATTAGTTGTAGTGTGAAATGATTTTATTAATTAACAAAACAAATATACATGCATGATTTTTCATAATAGAATTTATATATTGTACATTCCATGCATATTTATATATATGGTTATGATAAAATGAAAATGCCTGTTGTTCTTCCTGTGAAGTTGAATTTTCGGAAATAAGTGAATTTTAGTATGAGAAGAAACATTGATATAGATTATTGAGGATATTTCAATGTATGTCTTTGTAATCAGCTACTGGATTTTGGATTTTCCTTTCTATTTTGTTTGTAGATGCAGTGTTCGTGTTGTGTTTTTCTCTTATCATGTTGTCTGTTGATCTCGCAAGTCCTCATGTTAAAAACAAGATGTCCAAGCGAGAATTTATCCGGAACACACGAAGAGCTGCTGAGGGTGTTAGTGATGACCTTGCAGGTCATCTCTATGACAACATATACCTTATCGGGCATGTTGCTGCCGAAGACAGATAACATTGACTTTAAAGTTCTAGTGTTTTAAGGTCGGGCTAAGTTGTACAAGGGGTTTTGTTATCTTGACAAATATGTATGAGGTAGACACAACATTTCAGGTTACTTTAATATCAGTTTATTCTACAGACAATGCCTTACTTTGTGATTAGGATCAATAAAATTCCAAACAGAGCCTTCCATATACTAGATCAGAAAATGTAGTGTTATATGAATCTATAGGTTTACAGTGTAAAGGAGAATGGTTGTAATAATAAAACAATTAAGATAGTAAAGGGGGAAAATCTGCAGTTTTTAATTGATAAATCATGTCTGTTTATTAAGTTTGGTTTTCTTCTCATTTAGAAATGATTATATAAGGGAATGTAGGAATATTATAAATTGAAAATGCCTGGGAGAAATTTGCCTTTTTTAAAAAATTATGAATATCAGTTCTTTTAGAGTAAGTTATTCTTTATCTTTTTGGTTTTGTTTTGAACAAAACTTTAAATTAACTTTTAAACATTTTTATATCATCACTGAAGTGAAGTTGTTGGTTTTATAAACTAGAGCTTCAGTTTGTTTCACAGTTAAATAAATGCAATAGATTCGATCCTAAATTTAATTTCATGTCATCATTGACAACATGGCCCTGATCCTTATGATGTGTTTTATATTAACAGTTATATCTAGATTAGACGAATATTTATGATATATTCTATGATAACCAGCCATCCGTATCAAATCTGATATCCATCCATTTGTTACCTGTAAGTATATAACAGGTAAAAATACATCTGTTGTGATGTTCATTGAATCGGTCCTCAAGCATTTTTTCATTGCCAATTCTGAATGTTGATAATATTATCAAGCAGTGAAAGCATTTTGTCACTGTGTTGGGGAAAAGTTGGTGCAAAACGTTTGTTCCCAGTAAATTATCCAGTCACTTCCTTCTTGATAGATAATCAAGTAACTTTCCTTCTCCGTAGATAATATAGACATCTTTGGTCCTAATTGAGGATAACCAAGTTCCCTTTGATCTGAGATAATCTATGACACTTACCTATATTCCCCTTATAAATTCTAGGCATCTTTCATTGTTCCCAGTAGATTATTCGGTCACTTCCATAAAATAATCCAGTCACCTTTGTTACCAGTAGATAACCCAGTGTCCTTGGTTTCCATTGATATTCCAATCACCTTTTATGCTTTAGATAATCCAGTCACTTTTGCTCTTTTAGATAATCCAGTCACCTTTGTTTCCTTTTAATAGTTTAGTGTTTTTCTTCCCCTTGCGTATTCTGGCCACCTTTGTTCCTCGTCAGTTATCCAGTCACCTTTGTTTCCTTTTAATAGTTTAGTGTTTTTCTTCCCCTTGCGTATTCTGGCCACCTTTGTTCCTCGTCAGTTATCCAGTCACCTTTGTCTCCTGTAGAGACGTCTTTGTTTTCATCAGATTTTGTTGGATTTAGAGGTGTTTAAATGATTAAACAATGTTGATTTATCTACTGGACACTGGATTTATGATGAGACGATCCTAATACTGGTGTGGGGATAGGATTTTGGTAACAGCGTGTTTACTGTAGGATGTGTTAAGTCAATAGTATCAACAGTACAAGATGGCAGCTATTATATATATATATATATATGTCTGTGTAAATAAATGTAAATTCTCTGTCTTATACATCAAAAAAAGTTATGTAAATACAAGAAGTTTTAAAATAGCCTGTTTTTACCATCAAAAATTCAATCCTTATACTAATTCACAGATGATTTGTAACTGTTGCTGTGGAGTGTTGTTTGTGGTATAAGTAATTTGATGTAGATATTCTGTTTCCTGTATAATTGAAATTCATTATCAAATCAGCTGATTTGTCCCGTAAAACGTATTTCCTGCAGTGACAAAATGCAAATTCTGTAGTAGATGAAATTTTGATACAATTTTGTGTAGAAGATTAAAAGTCACTCTTTTTCACTGAATAGACGAGATTGGTTATGGCTGGATTAACACATGATGATAGAGAGTTCATTGATGATGACTTGATAAATACTGGAGACTGGATAACTTGATTAATGGTGACTGGAGCACCAAGGCTGGATATTGGGACGACCAAGTGAATGGTGATGTGATAACACAAAGATGTAATATATAAGAAATTATATATAGATATTACTGGTCCTCTAAATAACACTGATTACAAAGAGAAAATCTTCCTTAATTTTCAAAAAGAAGTATTTTCTTTTGGTGATCAACTTTGATAACTTACAAATTGTGATGACATATCAGTAACATACATATATTAAGATCATTTTGCTTGTAATCTTGTAAAATATAGTGAACCTCTGCTTGATATGTACATTGTATTACTGGTTACATTCTCAAAGGAGGATATTTTTGCAATATTTAATCTGTGAAAGAGTGAGGCACAGCCTTTTTAATGCAGGTTGTAAAGTTTTTAAATTTGGTGAAACATAATTTGATATTTTCTGCAGCAAATCACAAAAATTTCAACTTTTAAAAAACACCAGTTATACCGTAGTTCTCTTTACTTTTGATTGATTAGCCTATTCAAATTGACTAGATGGTCTCTTTAACATCATCAAATTTAAATAACATAAAATCAAGATATTATTGAAATAAATCAAACTTACTGTTAAATCCAGAACATTGTATATATAAATTACCTTTTTTAAAACTATATATTACAGTGTACCTGGACAGCACTTTTGTCTCTACCATATTACATATATTCAGTCTTAAAAAGCAAGCAAGGTACAGCTATCAATTCTTTTGATAGGTAAAGATTGTTGCTGGAATTCAAATTATATTATTTCAACTTAATAGTATTTGAATTTTATGAAAATTATATTTGAATGTAGCATTGTTTGTGTGGTAGTCCAACTCAACTACACATCTTCCAAACTTTGTTTACAAGTGTTTAACAATAGCTTGATATATATAAGATTCATATCTAAATAGAAGATTATATTTAGATATTTGTAAACATTATTGTTGTTGATTAATTTATTTAAAGTGCTATTCCATTAGATAATTATCATTTTTGTTATTGTGTATTTTATGTTGCTGTTTATGTTTGGTACAGTGCCAATGACATTATGCCATAGTGCAACATCCGTCCGTATGTCCTGATAATTCTAACCCTTTCTTATACCTGATGAGATTTTAAATTAATACAGTCCAAAAGAGTTGAAGGAAAAAGAGATTTTAGCCTCCACTCCTTCAGTATGGCATGATTTATGTGTAATTTTGAGTTCTAAAGAAACACTTGGTACCAGGGGGTCAGTCATCAGTAGAAATGTCCAAATTATGTAACCATACAGGAGTGCAATAATAACAGTCTGAAATTTATGGCTGATAACTTTGACCTTTGATGTCAACAGAATTTCCATTTTCTGTTCCGGTTCAGAGAAATGATGAAAATAGGTTAGCGATTCAGGTCACAGGGGTCTCTTGTGTTTTTGTTGAGTGATTTGCATTCCTTTTCTATAACAAGGAAGTTCAACTTAATTTGTATAATATATCGTGCTACGGAACATCTGCTGTCTGCCATCATCCTGGTGGTATACAACGTTTAAGCACATGTCATATGATTGAGGTTGAACCCCCTAAGTAACAGCATCATGCATTGTTTCATTTTCACAAATTTAAACTTTTTAACGTTTTTTCTTTAAACGCTGATGTTAGTGATTAGTATGTGTACATTACATACATTTTATATATGTTTTTTATAAACAGTAATTGATTTAACACATGTTATATGTACATCCACTGTTTCATAGCTGTAGCCTATTTCCTTGATAAAGCACTCTCCTTATAAGATTATCTCTTTATATTATCACCTAAAAATAGACATGTAATTCAAGATCATTTCAAATAGACATATTACTTCAAACAACTTCTGCCTTTAAATTTATTCCTTTTTAAAACATTATTATATTTATTGTATAGGAAGATTCTCTACTTACAGTAATAATGAGAAAAAAAATGCATAAGTACTGTTTGTTTCAGGTAATTTTAAGAAATATTTTGAACACCAACTGGACACCATGCAAATATTTTATCTGGTACTTTTGAGTTTTATCTTGTACATCTTTGTAAATCCTTCCTGTAAACAATACCACTGGAGTTGTTTAAATTGTTGTTGATTTTGTGGGATTCAATATTATACTTGTGTCTTGAGTTTAAAAAGATTCAGGTTGTTATAATAATCAAAACTTAGGACATTGTGATACATGACCTCTGGTTGAATTCTGATCAATAGTTTTCCAGATTCCAACTGTTTTCAGAATATGCCCACATACATGTTACATATGATCGAGACATTTATTTACTAGATATTAATTTTTTCTAAACTGACCATGCATTGACAGAATATTGTAATCTGGATGAATACAGATTTTGGAAATATGGACTTGTTCATACTTTGGTAATCTGGACAAGTGCAGAGTTTTGAAAACCTGGACTCGAAACAGAAAATCGGGACTGAATACGTGCTTTGGTAATTTGGATATAGTAGACTTTGTAAATTTTGAAATCTGAGCATTTACACATTTCATATAGAATGTGATTACTTTACTCAACATACTAAATTTTGCCATTGATAAAGCCGAAACTTCATAGTTTAGAATTTGTATAAGATTATTTGTTGTGTCATGGAAAATGACTATAAATCTAGGATTTCGGGAAGTTCTTCATGGTTTGTTCTAAATTGGAAGGAAGTGTAAAAAGAAGCGAGATATTTAATTTTCGTCTGATACATTTCATTTCTGTAAAAATCCTTAGGTTTGCAGTGCATTACTGAGTGTACTAAAAGAATGATATTACTTTTATCAGTTTAAATGTATTAACTGGAAAACGGTGTTTTGACAAAAAGTCATTGAAGACTTTATGGATTTTGGGTTTTTTTTTCGTTTTCAATTACAGAGTGAAATTTTCAATGTAATTATTTACAAGGCGTAATTGTACATTTTATGACATCCATGTGCCAATATGGTATGATTCACAGAGACTCCCAAATCATGAATATGAATCATACTGTTACTCAGTTATTTTTGAGGGGGTTTGTTGATTTTGTGGGTACTTTAGATCCACAAATTCTGATGTCCACAAATTGTCATCATTAGTACATTTATAAAACTATACTTATCAATGAAATCAAATGTCTACAAAATAGTGCTTTTTTGAAAAATTAAGAAATTCAGCCCCACTAAAATATGTTTTTTACAGTATGTCTGATATTTGAAGAAAACTTAAGTTTTCACCATGCACCATATTATGTAGCTTTTGTATGTAAGGGAGAAGAAAAAACACTGAACTGAACTGAATGGCAGATTATTGTTTATATTGAATTTTAATTTTGTTTAATTTTTAAAATTTTTAAATGTCAAAAGAAAAGTACTGAAAATACATATTTTTAGATAGACATGAAAGCCTAATATCACATGTTTTGGAACTATTAACATTCTGTATAGATTATTACAGAGTGACATATATGATAAAATTTAATTAATGTAGAATGTTTCGTTTATCCCTGTTGTTATGGTTATTTGGTTAGTAGTGACAGGATTGGATACTTTCAGATTTTGATGCAATTGTACAAAGTTCTATTGTACACAACAAAGTTTATAGTAGCACTATTTGAAAAAGTTTAAGGGTGTATTTTCCTTATAGTTTTTCGGAATTTTCCTACAATTGTGTTGCCTGGTGATGTCCTTTACTGCACTCTAGAGGCTTCTAGTTACTACAATACTTCAGCTGGGATGACATTAATGTTATGTAGTTCTTAGTAAAAACTTAACAGTAGAAAATCAAGTTGTCAAAAAAGTCGTGAAATCTCTCTTTATCACAGCTTCTGTCAATATTGTTTATCATCAAGTCCAGAAAAAATAGATTTGCAACAAGCAAGGAAAAGAAGATAAATTAATGCTTATAATTCTGGTTTAAATTTTGTCAGCAAGGATTTATAATTTATCATCAAGTCCAGAAAAAATAGATTTGCAACAAGCAAGGAAAAGAAGATAAATTAATGCTTATAATTCTGGTTTAAATTTTGTCAGCAAGGATTTATAACAGTATGAAAATGACTTGCACGGCCTGTTGTCTCTCCTCCTTGTTTTCGTGTTAGTAAAGTTGTTAGATACTTTGGAAGGTAGACATCAACAACACTGTTATTTATATTATGCTATATATTTTTGTTACACAATTGCTATTTTGTAATGGTTGTTGTTTGTAATTTTTATTAAAAACAATTTTCAAGAACAAAATGTATCAGGGTTTTGTTGTATTTTCTACTAAAGTAAAAATGGTGTAACCTGTTTGTAGTGTGTATGTTGAGGGAACTAATTGTGTACCAACAAAGTACACACACTCACCAAAGAGGGAGAAAGCATTGTATAAAAAAAAATCTTGAGAGAATACTCCTTCCACTTCCAACCTCAATTTCATTAAAAATAATTCAAGGTGGTCTTATCCATTCATCTTCACAGTTACTTGCCTCCCCAAACTGCTGTGGCCTAACTGTACTTTTTAACCCACCATCATCAGAGGGTGGAATATTCAAATGGCCTACATCGTCCTTCCATTGTTCGTCTGTCTGTCTGTAAACATTTTTTGTCATCGCTATTACTTGAGAAGTATTGGATGGATCTTTCTCAAATTTCATCTGTAGGTTTCCGTTGGTCCCTAGTTGTGCCCATTTGATTTTTGAACTGATCAGAAAAACAAAATGGCTGATTGGCAACCATCTTGGATTTTGATTTTGAAAATTTGTTATTGCTATTTCTTTGAGAAGTATTCAATAGATCTCTGTTAAATTTGCTCTGTAGGTTCCCCTTTATCCCTAGTTGTGCCAATTTGATTTTAAGACTTATCAGAAAAAAAAAAGGTTTACAGACGACCATCTTGGATTTGGCAGGTAAAGATTATAATGGCTATTTCTGTATGAGCAAAAACAGAGAAGAGATGAGAAAGAAGGGAAAGGGTCACACTTTCAAAGAGCAAATAACCAAACAATGGTGGGTGCCAAGATCACTTTGGGATTTCTTTTTAATTATGCTCCCCAAAAATTTTCAAAATGTTGTTGCTACTTAGTCCATCTGTCCTTTTCCTGTTCAGAGCATAGCTATGCCCTCAGCTAATCAGGGATATTAAACTTCTGTGTGTACATCATTTAAACTAAGATGGTGTGGATTGTATTAGATTCAAGGTCCACAACCCCTTATTTACAAAGATAACGCCCTTTATTAAAGCTTCATGTCCACAGCATTATTACTTTAAGTTAATTAAGGACAATGCAACTTGGAATTTTCTGAAACGAGGCACATCTACAGTGTATCATAGTCAGGGCCTGCTACCTCTTACCTACAGAGTTATTGCTCTTTGTTAAAATTTCTTTTCTTGATCACAGCTGTATTTTGAATGATGCAGCTGGAACTTGCTACTTGTTATAGTAAGTATATTTCTTAGAAAAAGTTTCAAAGCCAGTAATCTTTATACTCTTGATTATCTACCATACAATGTTGATTACCAAAATACTCCTAAACATAAATACTAGTAAAATTTGGTTCTTATAGCCGACATGAGCATTAAGTATCAGACTAAGTGAAATATACCCTTAATTTCATATCTCAAGCATATATATAGGCCAAACATAAATACATAACATGTTAAGATATGATTCTTTCCAACCTCTCCATGTTAACATACCTTTACAGATAAGTGTCATTATCATTGGGGCGTGCAGAAGATCACTCTTCAGGGCTACAAGTCAAAGGTCGTGTGTTGTGTTTGAAAAAAATATAGATCTAAAGTTTGTCTCATTTTTTCCTGAAGATTATATGTATGTGTACACACCCAGTCTTAATGAAACTTTGCACACAAGGGTTGTTGTGTGTTTGCATTTATTCAGAATCAAAACATCTTCGTCTAAGATGGCTCCTGTAGTAACCAATTAATGCTTCTGATGGTTTGAAAGCTTTAGTAAAAATTCAATATTTTTTGTGAAATTTGGTATTTTGGTATACATAAAAACCATGACTCCATGAATTTTGTTGTCAGAGTATCTAAACTTTTATAGGTATCTGACTGGTTGAAAAGTGAGACTGTTCTTCACTATTTTACAGTATTCTTTAACACAGCAATATTACATGCAATGTGATATCTTGTTATTATTTGAGAACATGATTTATGTCGCTGTAGATACTTTGACATTTGTAAAGGATTTTTTTTTATCAAAGTACAGTGAATCAGAAAAGTACAAGCACATCTGAGGAGTCTGTGTTTCAGGGATCCAAGGAAAGATATTAATTGTTACACTGTATAGTAATGTAAAACACTGTCAAAACATACAAGATCTTTTATACTAGCTGGGAATTAAAAATCTTACAATGTATATTTTGATAAACAATCCTGCAACCATGGCAAAAAGCTTTGTGTAAATGGATATTTAGAAATCAAGAACTGTGGGGCCATTTTAGTATTTATCTTCAAAATATGACATCAATAATTTGAATAAATAATATTAATGATTTGATACTATGATATCAATAGTTCTGTATATCAATGATATCTAAAATGAATTACTGTTATCTCTAATTCAGATCAATGATATAATAACATCAAATCATTAATATCACTTATTTGTGAGAATACTGATATCAAATATCTAATCTAACGATTTTATTAATTTTGAAAAGTGATCTCACATTTTGTAAATGAATACTAAAATGACACCCAAATAAAAAACATAAAACTGTTTAAAATGTACACTGTTTATTATATCTGTTTATTATCAATATCTAAAAATTCATCCAAAAATGCTAAATGTAATACTTCTGTACAGTTGTACTGCAGAAATCACCTGTTGTACAAGTTTGTCTTAACAGAGAAGATTAATGAACTTGTGTTACCTCAGAAATCACCTGTTGTACAAGTTTATCTTAACAGAGCCAATTAATGAACTTGTGTTACCTCAGAAATTACCTGTTGTACAAGTTTGTCTTAACAGAGAAGATTAATGAACTTGTGTTACCTCAGAAATTACCTGTTGTACAAGTTTATCTTAACAGAGAAGATTAATGAACTTGTGTTACCTCAGGAATTACCTGTTGTACAAGTTTATCTTAACAGAGAAGATTAATGAACTTGTGTTACCTCAGAAATTACCTGTTGTACAAGTTTGTCTTAACAGAGAAGATTAATGAACTTGTGTTACCTCAGAAATCACCTATTGTACAAGTTTGTCTTAACAGGGTCGATTAATGAACTTGTTATGACAGTTAAGTTAGAAACATATAAACTAATTTACCATAGAAATAGGAAGCTCTTGGTAAGCAGGATTCTATTTCATTACTACACCAATAGCAGCTGAAACAGAACATATTCCCAGTGAATACAACTTACTATAAGTTCGGATGTTTGTACACCTTTTGGTTAAAAATCAGACAGAAAATTAGGACATAAAGTTGACAATATATAAAGTAACAAAACATACTCTAAGTACACCACATGCACACATCCCAATTGGAATGTTTAAGGATTTTCCCAATAAATCTGCTCATTAAACGTACACCATACACTTAACACACAGGGTTGTAGCTAACAGACATACCATAGCTTAATCATTTATTGCACTCAAACATGATAAAACTATCACCAAACTCTCTTACTCTTCATAAAATAAATCAGGGATTCAAAAATTTATTGAATGAAAAAGATAATAGTTATTCCATCACCACAACAATTGTAATGTAGATCAAGGCGACATCTGCAGAAGGAGTATGATAGTGTTTTGTATAACATAAAAAAAATTATCCAGCCAGAAAATCTTCCAGAAATCCTAAACATATAACAGATATAGAAAACTTTATCCTTGTAGACAGGAAATGAAACCTATATCTGATACATATTTACACAGTCAAACATAAAGAGGAAGTCAACAGACCTAGAACGGACTCTGAACACAGTCGAGTGCATGTTATGGTATTACACAAACTTATACAAGATTTACAGGACAAAGAAATATCGATGAAATAAATCTGACTAGTACACTTTAGGAAATTCTTTGTACTTTTCCACTGAAAACAAGCTGTAGGTTGTAATCTCACAGCCTGTTAAAACTTTCACTGTCTTTGTCAAAGTACAAACAACCTATTATTATTGATCTGGAAATGGTCACCTCAGTTCTGTCACTCAGATATGGCAGACCTTTAACAGTATAAATAACTGTGGTTTTGAAAAGTTAAACACAGCATCCTTGTAATTAATATAGACACGATGTAGATGTATCTTATTTGTCTCCCTTACTACATATGTTTATCAGTCTTACAGACCAGTGGAGACTGGAGACTTTGTAGATGTTTTGGCAGAAGTTTGGTGTCAATTTAGTTACACTTCATCAGTAGACATGCACCATCCCGTATAAAAATCTGAAACACTTGTTAAGGAAGATTAACTGAGCAATTTCAAGCTTTAATTGGAAAATATGAACCACATTTGTAAATTGTATATCTTATAAAGTCTGTATTACCTGTGAATGGACAGATATCACATATAACATCACTCTGTTGGTTTGACACAGAAATTATTCAATCACAGTTGTATTGAACAGATATAGAAGTTAATGCACTGTTGACTGAATAGATCACTCAAGTATTGTGTTCATAGATTTTGCTCTTGTTGGGTAAATAAATTTAAGTTGACAAATATGGCAATTTGAGTTGTCTCCCCTGTATAGCAAACACCAGACTGACCAGGGTTATTTGTCCATGAAGTAAGGATGGCCCTCCTGATGTAATGTGGTTTCTGACCAATTTGGACAATACTTTTCAAGACCTGTATCAAGATCTGCTGGTCCTTTCTAATAAACACCAAAAATGTTTAAAATGCTGACATAAAGTGGGCCTTGAATCTTCATTTGTTTTTGTTTTCTATTTTCTTTCTCATTTCAGACTTCTAAAGTTTTTATACTAACAGTATGGCATGTTGCCAGGACATTAATGTTGCTGGTGAGGAAATGCCTAGCATCAGGAAGAGTAACAGAGATGAAAAAATCTATATACAACTAACCAGCTAGAAAATAACACAAAACAGTTCATGGTGCGGCCAGCTGAACCTGATATATCTGATCAATTTCTTAGCATATCTTATATAAATGTGCTTGTGTATTGTTGTTAATCTATATAAAAAACAATAGCAACTAACATGGACTAGAGCCAACGCCGTGGTTTTTGTATATGTATGTGACGTTCCTGTCACTTGTACACCTACCCGGTATGCAGGGTGATTGAGGAATCAGGAGCAAACAAACACAGACATCAATCACAACAAGCTCCGAGTAAGTTGTCAGGCTTGGTCCTGACGGAGCCCGAATAGTTTGGGCGAAAAAGGTCGACGAATAATAAATCAATTAACAACTTATCTCGAGCTTGTTGCAATTAATGTCTGTCTTTGTTTAAAACAATAACAAGTAACAGGATCTAAGTATTGGAAACAAATGTACTTCGGGTGTAAAAAGCTTACTTGGGTAATTTCCAGACTATTCCTTGTATACTAAAGATGTTGCCTCGACAGTATTTCATTGTTTTTGCATCTTTTTCTCCACCCAGTCTGTGAGAGACTGCTAACCAATTCATTATTACCATTTAAATTTCCAACATCTCTCCAACATCAATCCCTGACAGACTGATGTTCCTGATAACCTATGATCATCCCTTACCCCAATCCCAAACAGACTGTATACATTATCATGAAAGGATACGTCCAAACCAGGATATATGTCTGAAAAGAATGTTAAGGAAATATATATATTACAACAAAAGAAATATTGGAGTTTTAATTTCAAAAGCTATTTAAATAATTGTACATACTGCCTTGCATAGTAACACAATGCTACATAATGTAATTATATACAAATCACAATCTCTGTGGGAAAGATTTCTTAATAAACAGTTGGAGACATAATATAGTTAGAATACATGCATGGTCTTCATTTACTGATTTACTACAAAAAGTTTCTGATTTCAAAAGATATTTCAAAGCTACCTACAACCTACTGTATCAGTATTCAGCAGAAAATGTGTTTTGTGCTTGATAATCTAGATTTAACATGTATCTATGTTAATTTTTACACACCTGTTAACATCTTTGACAAGGGGTTTTATTTTGTAATCTTCAAGTTTTGCTCATACCAGCTTAAAAATAAAAATCTAATTTTAAAAGTTTTATTTACAATTACAGTACAAGTTCTCCATTAATGTGTCTGGATTGAACAGGAGCATAGAAAGTATACAGAATCAGTCAAAGTAGGAATGTGATGTATAACTTTTTGTAACTTTTTTTTGTTTGAAATAATTTTTATTTTATCCAAAGGAATGCTCTACACAGGATATGTCGAAATTACTGTGGGAAAGTTCCAGAATTCTCATCACAATTAGAAGTTAAGTGATAATTCATGTCAAAGTTTAAAAAACCATAAAAAACAGCACATTTAACAATTTGCAAGCTGGATTGGGAAACATTTATTTCTATGGGAAAACCTTTATATTTTCTGATTATCAAAGCTATCCTTAATATGCAGGAAAGTCCCTGCTAGAACCATTCATCTGCAAAAGTTTTTATTTTCCTGCAGCCAAAGTTAATACAGTAACCATTCTGATTTTTATTTTTCACTATTGATGATAAATGTCAACTTATGTATCACAGCCAATTTCCATAAAGACTTATGCACAGGTAGCAGTGACACAACACATTAATTTTGACATTTGAATCTTTGAGTTGTTTTTTCTGATTAACTCAATCAGCTTCAGAATGAGAACATTAATGATATACATAACATTAACAGTATTAATGAAGGATACAAATAGTCCACCAAGTAATCCATTTATAAACAAGCCTCGTCTGTTCACAAAGTATTTGTGCCAAGCTGATCCTGCCTTGAAATACAGCATAACCTGCAAATAGCCAACAAACCAAATAATCAGCAATACATTTTTTCATTCCCAGAACAGAAGTTATAGTTATATAGTGTAATAAAATCATTATAAACTAAAGGAAATTAACAATGATTGAGCACACAAGCAAACTGTTTGTTTATTTTTCATAGAAAATTCTTTGAACACAGAGTTTTTTAATTCCCGAAATTTTGAAAATTTAACTGTTTATTAGAAATATTAAGCAAGAAACATGTACAAATTAAATCATATATATTGAGGTAAATATTTCAGAATTGCATAAATTTTGAAGAAAAATGTTACACAAATCTCATTATTCAAGTCGCAGAAGAAAAGAAAAGATTATTCTATCATTAAATGATGTATTACATAAAAAAGCAGGCAAGATAAAATAAATAAGCATTATAACATACAATCTTCACAACAACTTTCTCTTTTACAATTTACAAAATCTGTTAAAAATTACTGCGACAGTTTGGTACATAACTGAACTAGACATCATGCTTTCCTCATTTCATACCAATGCCTATTGATATATCTATGGATATAAAATCCTTATAATTATCTCATGAAATTGTCATTGAAGTACTTACTGATAAAAGAACGGAAGTGACAAAGTAAAATGCAAAGCCATAAAGTGCTGTTAGTCCCAGGATTCCCGCCGCTGCCCCAGACAGAGCAGACATGGAGGTCCTGCAATACTCCAGCACAAATGCATTCCCTCGCATAGCCAACTCACTGTAGGCTGTAACATTGTCTGAAATCAGAGAGAAATCATACTCCATCTATATTGATCTTAGATGTTCATGTTAACGAGTCACAAATAATGATCAGCAAGTCTTCGAATTTTCACCTTTGTTTCTAACTTTTGGATTTAGAATACTTTTGAAATATTTAGAGGCGATATTTTTAGTGAACAGAATTGTGATGTTGAATGATTAGTATTTTAACTTTTGTTGAGGGAAAGATTTTGCTGATAATTTTCCATTAATGGCAGAATAAGTGATACAGTATAAAGAAAATTAATCAACAGTTGGCAGCATAACCCAACTTATTCTGACATTTCATATATGATGTTTTTATTGATATGACATCAGTGAATTAACTTCAGCCCTATACAAAATTATATTAATATTAGCTACCAGTACTCATCTGCTGTAAGGCTGAAAGACTGTGGATGTAAATTGAGTTAAATAAAGTCACTTACTTTATCAATTGTGAAAGATATTGTCAATATAATATACATGTTGTACAAAGTCATTAGAACATGAAAATAATACTATATATGGTATTATATATGCAAGATGTAATTATTATGTATGAAATTAAATAACAAAATGTCATCTCTGGGAAGCAAAATTCACCCAGGAAGGTTACAAAAATTTAACTGCTGAGTATCATTTTAACTTACAGTTTTTATGAGAGAGAAGTTTTAAGAAGATGAGAAAATTAAACCTATATTTAAGACATTTTCAGTTTGTTTTCGGATCAATATCTACAGCTATTTTTGTTTCCTGAAATATGAAATAAGGAAGGAACTGCTGTCTATGTTTTGTTTTGATTAATCCTTTTGATGCATGCATTTTTATCTGCAGACCAAGTCCGGTCTATTCCCACGAAAATGTTACATTCCCAGAGTCAACGACCCGCTTTGGAAGCATAAACTACAAGGTCTCATGTTTTATTAGGATTCATTTTATTGAATTTCTGTACTGAATATGGAAGTTCGCAAAGAGACACAGGTTCATAGGATTAGAAATCATCTTCTATATATATATAAACATAGATATAGGCATACATGTGTAGTTTATATGTGTCACAGGAATGAAACGCACTGTCTATAAAATCAAGAAAAGCCCAAGAGATAGACCAAATAAAGTGATGTCAACGACTAGGATAAAGAAAGCATAGCCGCTACAGAGGAGACTTACTGAAATAATAAACGAGACAATATAAACTTTGGAATAATAAAGATCTTCTGAAACCACAACTGCCAGGACAGCACAAGGCCGGCAAATCATGAAATGAACAGCTGAACCGGTCACACAACTTTACCAAACTAGATAAATCTACAAGAACACATTACGATGATGTGCTGATCAAAGTAGGACGTGTTAAAATCTCCTGATGTACTCTCTTAATACGGACAAAAGAGCGATATACAGAGCAAAATCAGCACCTTTTCCTTTCCGTTTCGTCTTCACGGCTACACCTGACGCCATCTTGGATATAAAGAATCTTGATCACGCAAAAGCTTGAGCATCACCATGATCAAGGATTAAGTCAATATTTCTAAGAAAGTACACAATATTTCATTATGATAACGAAATGTTTTCAAAGTTTTACTATAAATAATCCGACTAATTTATCAACGACGAGTTGTATAGTATGGTGTGTTTAAATAGCTGACTTCATTATATATTGATAGTAAAGGGGAGATAATTTGGTTCCTACGATTTTGTTATAGTCAAGTTGTTCCAAATGGAAAATTCAAAATTTTCAACAGATAACTTTGTATTGTGTGTATATTCACTGAAGTGGCTTGGCATTGTTGTGTGTTTTTTTTAAGCATTTTGTATGTAATGAGGTAGACATATATGCTTTCTGTATAAGGTATGATGGAACTCCTTGACATGAATTCAGATTTGTGAGATCAAGTTTATTTTTAAATAGCCTTTAATAGCATAAATAATGGACGCAGGCTTCACAGCCTCTATGTCCATATCATTTATATCACAAAGCATAATGAAAACAAATTTCTCTTCCAATGTAACAGCTACAAATACATACATGTTAATGTTCATATGTGAAACATTTATTTTTCCATTGTTCATCTTACATAATTTCAAATTCAATGACAGATTTCGCATTTACAACAGTTTGTGGTAAGCTATTCCAGCAATCGATTACTTGTTGACGGAAAAAATCATCAAGACTACATCGTTTTTCGAAAATTGTTAAAGAGTCCATCATTGCCTCTGTTTTCTTTGTGAAAACTAAGACCTAGCTCTGAGTATATTTTAGCACTACTGCCACATTATACCTGTGGATAAATGTATGATTTGTTAACACAAACAAAATGTGGACTTCCATCAGTCTTCTCCCTCCTTCCCCTTAATCCTGTGTCATGTTTCCACTTCTCTCTCCCATCTCCTATTTCCACCTCCCTCTGTCTCTGCCTGACTCTATTTCCCTTTGCCAATACCTATCTCCACTGGTCTCTGTCACCTCATTTCTCAATTTCCTTTGTCTCCAGCAGCCTGCACCTTCCTGACATTCACATGTTGTCTCCACTTTTCTCTGTTACCTGCCATAGTTCCTCTGTCAGCTGTTCATATGTAGTCTGCTGTGTCCTCATTCTTCTGTCACCAGCTGACCTAACTTCCTTTGTGACCTCTGTCTCCTTATTCTTCTGTCACTTCCAATTCCCATTTTCTCCATCACTTGCTGCCTCCACTTACATAGCCTGTCACTTCCTATTCCCATGTTCTCCATCACTTGCTGCCTCCACTTACATAGCCTGTCACTTCCTGTTCCCATTTTCTCCATCATCTGCTGCCTCCACTTACATAGTCTGTCACTTCCTATTCCCATGTTCTCCATCACTTGCTGCCTCCACTTACATAGCCTGTCACTTCCTGTTCCCATTTTCTCCATCAACGCTGTCTCCACTTACATAGCCTGTCACTTCCTGTTCCCATTTTCTCCATCATCTGCTGCCTCCACTTACATAGTCTGTCACTTCCTATTCCCATGTTCTCCATCACTTGCTGCCTCCACTTACATAGTCTGTCACTTCCTATTCCCATGTTCTCCATCACTTGCTGCCTCCACTTACATAGCCTGTCACTTCCTGTTCCCATTTCCTCTGTTTCCTGCTGTCCCCACTTCCTCTGTCACCCGATGTCTCCACTTTCATAGTCTGTCACTTCCTGTTCCCATTTCCTCCGTTCTTGTTGTCCCCACTTCCTCTGTCACCCGATGTCTCCACTTTCATAGTCTGTCACTTCCTGTTCCCATTTCCTCTGTTTCCTGCTGTCCCCACTTCCATAGCCTGTCACCCCTGTTCCCATGTCTTCACTTACATAGTCTGTCACTTCCTGTTCCCATTTCCTCTGTTTCCTGCTGTCCCCACTTCCTCTGTCACCCGATGTCTCCACTTTCGTAGTCTGCCACTTCCTGTTCCCATTACCTCCGTTCTCGTTGTCCCCACTTCCTCTGTCACCCGATGTCTCCACTTTCATAGTCTGTCACTTCCTGTTCCCATTTCCTCTGTTTCCTGCTGTCCTGACTTCCTCTGTCACCCGATGTCTTCACTTACATAGTCTGTCACTTCCTGTTCCCATTTCCTCTGTTTCCTGCTGTCCCCACTTCCTCTGTCACCCGATGTCTCCACTTTCGTAGTCTGCCACTTTCTGTTCCCATTTCCTCCGTTCTCGTTGTCCCCACTTCCTCTGTCACCCGATGTCTCCACTTTCGTAGTCTGTCACTTCCTGTTCCCATTTCCTTCGTTCTTGTTGTCCCGACTTCCTCTGTCACCTGATGTCTTCACTTACATAGTCTGTCACTTCCTGTTCCCATTTCCTCCGTCTCGTTGTCCCCACTTCCTCTGTTACCTGATGTCTTCACTTACATAGTCTGTCACTTCCTGTTCCCATTTCCTCCGTTCTCGTTGTCCCCACTTCCTCTGTCACCCGATGTCTTCACTTACATAGTTTGTCTCTTCCTGTTCCCATTTCCTCTGTTTCCTCCTATTTCTGCTTCCTTCTGCCATCTGTTGTTTCCTATTTCCTTTCTCACCTTCTATAGATCCTCAAATTTCTCTGTCACCTTATTTTTCTATTTTCTCATTCACCACCTATGTCTTCTCTCATTCCACCATCTCTTTTCCTGTTTCTGTCCTTCCTCCCCCCTGACACTTTATCACCCTCTTAATGTCCAGGATTTTAAAGTTGATTTAAGCTACTGTGAGTAGCCAGTTCTCGGTCAAGTAGGCATGCCACAGTTAAGTGTCCCCGTTAGAGTATCCACAAGTAGGGTACAAACCAAATCGCTAATTGCAATTGTTTGAAATGAAATATTTCCATTGTCATTAAGTGGCATGACTAAGATAATGGGTGAGGTTCCCAGTTCTACTTAAAACCTCCTGTTTCTTGAGCTTTGTGGTCAGTATATTAAACCTCAGATTTCAAACATCACAGACATTACTTGTTTCTCGAGTCTTCTGGTCAGTAGCACACATACTTTGGGAAAGAACTAATTTTAGCATCCTGGTCAGTTACATTCAGAGTTATCAAGCATTAATCAGCTACATGCAGGTATTGGATATTGGACAGACTGCCCCTGATCCTCAGTCTTGTGAGGGTGCTTTTAATTAAATGCAGACATCGGACATTGGACAGACACCTATAGATAAGTTTCTTAGAAGTTGTCTGAAATTACACATCAGACAGATGTCTGAGGATCCTGGAGTATAAGGTAAGTTACATTCACCAATCATTTGCTATCTGACAGACTGTAAGATGTTGAGTATAAACCTTTTGTGTGTTTATATATGCGGTATTAGCTTTATTTTCTTAAAAAAATGCATTTTTAGTGAATATTTTAAGAGACAGGAAAGAAATCCAGAAATATTGATATATTCAATTACACAGTAAGAGATTGAACAAAGCGCGAGAGAGAGAGAGAGAGAGAGAGAGAGAGAGAGAGAGAGAGAGAGAGAGAGAGAGAGAGAGAGAGAGAGAGAGAGAGAGAGAGAGAGAGAGAAAAGAAATCTTTATTTGAGCTGTGAAGTTTGTAAATGTATATCAGTCCTAGCAAAGGCCAGTTCTGATTTATGTTTAGGTCAGCACTTTCACTTACTGGTTAAATTCTAATTTGTTAACTACATGGAATCATACAATTTGTCTGTATAAACATATCCTATGTTACATAAGGTTTCATACAATGTGTCTGTATATACATATCCTATGTTACATAAGGTTTCATACAATGTGTCTGTATATACATATCCTATGTTACATAAGGTTTCATACAATGTGTCTGTAAAAACATATCCTATGTTACATAAGGGTTTCAGAATTGATAGCAATGATTTTGTTAAATCTTATCATAATTCCTTTATGATGCCATATGATTTTCACCACAACAGACTTTTCACAATGAGATTTGTTTAGTTAATTAGAGTTATAGTTAGTGTTGTTGGAATCAGCTTTGATCGCATGCATTTAAACAGTCTCCATTAGACATTGATCTCAGAAATAAGAAAGATGTCAAACTTGAAGAAAGCAAGTGTTAGAATCCTAGTTGGATATATACTGGGACAATCAGGTTAGTGATGACTGGATATAGTGGTACAATCAGGTTAGTGATGTCTGGATATAGTGGTACAATCAGGTTAGTGATGGCTGGATATAGTGGTACTATCAGGTTAGTGATGACTGGATACAGTGGTACAATCAGGTTAGTGATGGCTGGATATAGTGGTACTATCAGGTTAGTGATGACTGGATACAGTGGTACTATCAGGTTAGTGATGACTGGATATAGTGGTACTATCAGGTTGGTGATGACTGGATATAGTGGTACTATCAGGTTAGTGATGGCTGTATACAGTGGTACCATCAGGTTAGTGATGGCTGTATACAGTGGTACAATCAGGTTAGTGATGACTGGATACAGTGGTACTATCAGGTTAGTGATGACTGGATATAGTGGTACTATCAGGTTAGTGATGACTGGATATAGTGGTACTATCAGGTTAGTGATGACTGGATATAGTGGTACTATCAGGTTAGTGATGACTGGATACAGTGGTACAATCAGGTTAGTGATGGCTGGATATAGTGGTACTATCAGGTTAGTGATGACTGGATACAGTGGTACTATCAGGTTAGTGATGACTGGATATAATGGGACAATCAGGTTAGTGATGACTGGATACAGTGGTACAATCAGGTTAGTGATGACTGGATATAGCGGTACTATCAGGTTAGTGATGACTGGATATAGTGGTACTATCAGGTTAGTGATGACTGGATATAATGGGACAATCAGGTTAGTGATGACTGGATACAGTGGTACCATCAGGTTAGTGATGGCTGTATACAGTGGTACAATCAGGTTAGTGATGACTGGATACAGTGGTACTATCAGGTTAGTGATGACTGGATACAGTGGTACTATCAGGTTAGTGATGACTGGATACAGTGGTACTATCAGG